TGCTGCCTACATTACCCACAATGCATTTCAACCTATATGACTGATTTGAGGGGTGTTATTTGCTAAAAGAGGCTAATTAATCAGCAGCAGGTATTAGCAGCTTATCACAGAGGTCTGCACAGATTGTTTTATTTACACGCTGACTCAAGTGACATCACTCGAGGACTACATAATCAGACACACGCAACGCCCTCTGGAGACTCCGAGGGCTTTATCGCACTCAAACCATCTGCCTTCCTAATCCAAAACAACCTATCTGTATAATGTTTATCATCGTAAGGACGCAGTGTCTCGGGATGAGGGACAGGATTTGGGGCTTTGAAACGTTCTGGTTTCTGTTTTTTTCATCATGTTTGAGCTTTGGCTTTATGCAGAAAAAAAACATCCATGTGGCTGAAATGAATCCAGGAATCCATCATCACCTTTCATCTCTAAACCCAGATTTATTATTTAAGAATCATGTTTCCAGTAGAGGGCTGCACGGTGGTGCAGTGGTTAGTCCTGTACCCTCTCTGTGTGGAGGTTCCTGGTTTGAATCCCAGACAGGGTCATGTCAGCCCTGTGATTGGCTGGCGATGAGTCCAGGGTGTAACCCCGCCTCTCGCCCAATGACAGCTGGGATTCAGTCTTATCAAACTTAAACATCAATTTTTAACAATGCAACCTGTTCAAAATGAATTGTTTAACCCCTTCAGCAATTAAAAATAAAAAAGCACATTTGCTATTAAATTAAAAACTAAAATATAAATACTTAACCGCCATGTGACGATATAATATCGCCATACAAAATATCATGATATGGTTAAAAATCAAACAAAGTTGATCCCACAACAACAAAAAAAGAGAAATCCTAGACACCCAATATTGGGTTATTTCTAAAAAATTGCAAGCAAACTTTTTCACACCATCTAAATTGCACAAAGTCATTGGTTGTGCAAATCAGAATCCGGGAGTTTGTTTGTTATATTTGATGGATTCATTCCTCTCCTACACACCTGTCTTATATGAAACTAACTTCTTGATTCTATCCTCATTAAAATAAATCGATTGTTTTGTTTTTAAACACGTTGTATCACAGCTCATTCAAGATTTGACAAATTTTAGCGTACCTGTCTTATCTCCAGGTACGTCTTTGTTACCTGACCAACAGAGGAAATCTTTTTTCCCTCTGTGTGTGTTTGTAATGAAGACGTCTCTGCAGCAGACTTTCTTCTCCTGCTGTCGTCCTGTCAGATCGTCTGCGAGCTCTCAGCCCGTTTCATCACTCGACTCGACGGCAAACAGTCGAGTGGATGCAGATTAACTGGTTTGTAGAGCTTCTGTCTCAGTTTACAGAAAAACAAAGACGAGTGAGTGTGGAGGAGGAGGTCTCACTCTGCTCTCTGTTTGTGATGATTACAGGCTTGTTGACCCGGTGCTCAGACCAACACTGATGAACCCTACAGGGACTTTAAATATAATGAATCTTAACAAAACAACAGCATACTGCCGTTTTCACAGAGTACTGTAGTGTACAGCCAAGTACAAACACACCTCGCACCTACTCTGTCTGAATACTCTCTGTCTCTCTCTCTGGTAGTCGGTCGCCCACACTGTTCTGTCACTCTCTGTCCACCTTTTTTTTAAATAATTGAACACATTTTCTTGAGTTTCACCTGTGACTCCCCCTCCAATGTGCCAGAACATTCACTAATGCATGATGTTGGATTGTATCAGAGAATTATCTGCAGAGCCCCTAAAGCAGTGTTACTCATTGTGCAGCTCGCAAGCCTCATGATGCTCGCCAAGCCTGGTCGCTTTTAATAATATGGTAACGCAGCCAATACATGAAACACAATGTGTTAAATATATATAAATATACATTACACAGCACTATGAGCATTCAGAAGTTCACATCATGTTTCTGTTCTGTTTCATCTGCTCTGGTTTCTTCTATTGTTTTCTCAGCATTTTCAAAAGTGATGGATGAGATTTGAGGCGTTGTAGAGGACAGTAACAATGAGCAGCTGCTTCGTAATGACCTCTCAGGTCTCTCAGGTGTTTGTAATGTCGACGTCTGATTCACTGTAATGACCCAACACATGTTTCAGCCCTGAAATTAGGAGATTCAAACATGCTCCCCGTGTGTAACTGAGGATTATTGATGATTATTACGACCTGCAATTACAGCAGCAGACTCTGTGTGTGCATGTGTTTATCCTTATCTCTAATTCTACTTGATGATCGGCAACATCTGCTGTGTGTGTTGCTAGGAAGCCTCATGATCATTTCCAATAACAATACCGATATTTTTGTATTCACTTTTGATGATATCTGCGAGTACAGATCACAGTGAGCAAAATGACCAGGAGAAACCATAAGGCCGTCAACATTTTTGCTACTTTTTTTAAGATGTATTTTTGGGCCTTTGAGCCTTTTTCTTGGACAGAGAGGACAGTGAATACAGTTGGAAATCAGGGAGAGAGAGAGTGGGGTTTGACATGCGGGAAAGGAGCCACAGGTTCGGACATGGGTCGCATGCTTGGAGGACCATGGCCTCCATACATGGGACGCACGCACTAACCACTGCGCCACCAGCACCCCAACATTTTTGATATCACCAAAATGTTACAGTCTTTGTTATTTCAATGATTGATAGTTTAAAAATGTACAGAAGCTTTATAAACAACTACATCTATATCATGAGTCAGATGTATAAGAGAGGAATGAATCCAGGCAAACTCCTGCACATTGTCTAAATTGCACAAAAATGTTGGCAACCTTTTTTACATGGATAACAAGTTGTGTCTCAAGTTGTGTTTTCATGAATTTCTGCACTCTGTAATCTCTGATTTTTTTCAAAGAAGAATGTCTTTTTAAAAGAAGAATGTGTGATTTTTTGATCCAGTCGCCCTTTGAGCACCAGCATGAAACCAAAACAAACTGCTGTTTGGCCACGCCTCCTCCAAACTGAAGCCTCCGCTCTCCTCCAGCGACACACCTCCAACCCCCCTCCACTCATGTTGCACTAAGGAGTTATGAATTAGAAAGCACCATAATTAAGCACCATTGAGCACAAGCGGCGGGTTAGGGTTCGATATGCAATCACCTATGGTCTGCATTGTTGTGTTAGCGCTCTTTAGTCACTTTGCATGTAAACTGACACAGAATGAGCGTGATCTAAAAACTCTTACTAACATCCAAATAATCAGTGAGTATGTTCTTCTTCTTCTCTCTAGTTCTTGACTAAAACAGCTTTTATACACAAGGGGAGGAGCCGGCCGTCCCGTCCATGTAAACACGGCTCTGACAACAACACAGCCAGCGGGACTCGAGCTTCTCCCTCATTGTAGACAGTCATGACTCAGAGACACATTTACACAGGAGAGACTTTATTCATGATATATTTATCTGTAACATGTCGCACATTCTTCCTTTTAATAAAATTCTCAAAATCAGAGTCTGGATAATTTTTACCTGAATCAGTTCTAGCTCAATAACGGACAGATCTATAATTATTTGACAGATCAGACAGGTTCAGTGTAACTCTATGATCCCCTTTATGGTTTGTGTTTGTTGAATTTATTGTGTTGTTATTGTTTGTGCTGTTACGACACAGATGTTTTGCGCAATCTGACATTTCCACTACGTTTGAATCCATCTTTATTATTATTAGTCTGAAATGTCAGAGCTGGCCAAATGTCGAACGCAGCTCAGACATAAATAATGAAACGCCGATAAACATCAGCTCATTTCGACAACTTGTATAATATAGAAAATAAATAACAGAAGGTGCAGAAATTCATCAGTCACGAGAGAGTGCAGAGAAATTCAAATGCAATTTCATTCCTATGTTTGTATAGTTTTTCTGGGAGTCTCGTTTTCTAATCTGACGAGACTTTTTACTCCTCATTCAACATTTCTCTGACAAAAATATGAAAGGAATAAAGAGACACAAAGGCATGAAAAATGATCACAAATATCTTAAAAAAAACTTACAAAATCCAAATGTTATTTTTGTTTTAGTAAAAGAAATCAAGGTTTTTCGTTCTGGGAAACTAACACTGAAATGTGAAGTTGTTGTGAAGTAATTGAAGTCACACGTCTGTCCCCTTACTAATTAAAGTCTACAAACTTTAATATGCAATCCCCCATTTCCCTTTATACACAAACACAAAGAAATACACAGAAACACATGCGTGCCAACACACTAAAATGAATCTTTTTTTGTTTTTTACAGGAAACTTGTTGCAGCTCAGATTAGATTTCTTCACTAACACAGCCGCAAAACACATCAGTGCTGAGAGTTCTTCCTGGAAACTGAATCTTAGTATTTATTCAATAACATCAGAGAACATTTTAAAAAGCACTTTTTAAATTCAATTCCACCGTGAAGTGCTTTACACTCAGCAGATAAAGGATACAGTCACAGAATCGAAACGCAGAAACGTGGGAAACAAACATCAAACAGAAAAGATTGACTGATTCATTTGTTTAGTATTAGTTTTTGATTTAAAGGGCAAAAACTGAACATTTGGTGAAAAACTCTACTTTAAACTTACAATATGGGGGGGTGGGGGGGTAGGGAGTAGCAGGGAGAACTCTCATAAAGTCCTGGTCTCACCCTGCCTTGGTCTTGGTCTTGACTCGGTCTTGATCCCTAAATGTCTCGGAGCATTTTGGTCTCAACTCTCAAGTATGTCCTGGTCTTGGTTAGTGTGATCTTGACTACAACACTAAGATGCTTGATTAAATGCAGGTTAATTTTAAAGGAGGGTGGTTGCACAACATATATCCATGGGCAGTTTATAAAAATGCAGCAACTGTGCACATTTACACAAGTTATCTACTTCATTCAATTTTAATGTTTTGGTACTTTTAATAATTTCAATAAAGTTTTAGTTTAGCTTGGATAAGTTGTAAAGGATATCTGTCCTAAATTCTTGTTGGTTTCTCGTTTAAATCTTCCAAATTGTATTTTCTCTTTTCTTTTTCTCTTTGTGTGACTGTCTCTTACTCAGAGGGGAAGGTGGAAGTGACTAAAGAGGGGATGAAGTTGTGTACGATGGGACCCGGGAAAAGTGTTTGGAGAGCTGGCAATCCTCTACAACTGTACCCGGACGGCAACTGTCAAAAGTGAGTACACTGTGTGTGTTTTTTCCGGTACATTGGCAACATTCTTTGTTTAATTTGGATGTTTCAATGATGGGGATCAGTTTGATGCCTCAATAAGTCTCTTACACAGAGGATTGGGTTGGTCCTCATATCCACATACAGATTTGTGACAAATGTCCTCACAAACCACAAAACCCATTTAATGTGTGTTATTGTTTGAAGCTCAAATCAAAAGAGCATAAATCCAACATATAAAGAGCACAGTTGATATTGTAGAACCTCTAATGTATTGTAGCAGTAGTTCCCAACCTTGGGCTGGGGACCCTCACAAGTGGTCGGAAGATAAACCTGAGGGGTCCCAAGCTTATTATAGCAGTAAAAACACAAGTGTTTATTGGAGGAGGAAATACAATTTTGTATCACTATATTCCATTTATCATTTAATTAATCACGATAATGAACCATAAATTTAAGTTTGTGTAACTGAAAATGTCATGTCAATTTTAAACTATCGAACAAATCGACAAAATTGTCCTTTGCTTTAGCTGCAATCACCTGTGTCCTGCATTGTTGTGTTAGCATGCTAATGTTAGCGCTCTTTAGTTAGCTCGTAGCTTCGCATTGTTGTGTTAGCATGCTAATGTTAGTGCTCTTTAGTTAGCTCGTAGCTTCACATTGTTGTGCTAGCATGCTAATGTTAGCGCTCTTTAGTTAGCTCATAGCTTCACATTGTTGTGTTAGCATGCTAATGTTAGCGCTCTTTAGTTAGCTCGTAGCTTCACATTGTTGTGTTAGCATGCTAATGTTAGCGCTCTTTAGTTAGCTCATAGCTTCACATCGTTGTGTTAGCATGCTAATGTTAGCGCTCTTTAGTTAGCTCGTAGCTTCACATTTCATGTAAACTGACACAGAATGAGCGTGATGTAAAAACTCTTACTAACATCCAAATAATCAGTGAGTATGTTCTTCTTCTTCTCTCTAGTTCTTGACTAAAACAGCTTTTATACACAAGGGGAGGAGCCGGCCGTCCCGTCCATGTAAACACGGTCTGACAACAACACAGCCAGCGGGACTCGAGCTTCTCCCTCATTGTAGACAGTCAGGACTCAGAGACACATTTACACAGGAGAGACTTTATGATTTATTTATGTGGAACATGTCGCACATTCTTTCTTCAGGATAGTTTAAGAGGTCAAAGTGTTCTGAGAGGAAAACTGCTCAGGTGGAAAGTGTTTCTACCTGAGCAGCAGAGGGCTGCTCATTAAATTTGATGGAATGTGGAAAATATCCAGAAACATGTTCCTACATTTTTATGAATCCTGGATGATCGAGTGCAGAGGCTGTGCGAGATAGACGAGTCTAAATAATGGTGTTCATTTTTAAACTGTAGCTGCAGGAATATTGGTACATCTGCAGCTGTTCATGTCGGGAGGCAATGTAAGTAATTTTAACACGCCGTGCATACTTCATTAATTATTCAAAATGTTGACACCTCCATGGAACTGCAGTTCATCTTCTAAGCTTCAGATATATACGCGAGAGTTCTCTGTGTTTGAATCCGGTTTTTGTTGGTATTACTTTTTTAATAAAACAGTGCTGACATCTTTGTGTAAATATTTATATAACATGCAACATTTGACCACAAGCAATAACCTATGTTTCCCCTACAGAGACAAGTTTCTTTATGATATATTTAAAGGTTAAAGGTCAATTCTGGACTTTAATATTTATAGCAAAGATGATGAAAACATTTTAAAGTAAAACTGAAACTGTTCTTGAAGTGGGCTCAGTCATGCAGTCATGTATGATCTTGTGTTTCCTGTTTGGTATTCTATGATGATTTGTTCTTTTATTGTTCTGTTTGTGTTATTGTTTAGTGTGTTTTGAAGACATACCTAGGGGATGGGCTTTTGAATTTAGCTTTAGGTGATAAATACATATCGGATTACACGCTTCATTCTCGCCCCTATACAAATAAACTTTAAGAAATAAACAAAAGAAGTTGAGCAGCTGGACTTTTCTCCTCTCTGCTCAGTGAGCGTTAACCGTTCGAGGTCGGGACAGCTGGAGGGAGCTGATGTGAGTTTGGGAGACGAGCTGGTTGTCGACAGGAGGAGTGGGAGTTTTGCCGTCTGAACCCATAAAACATCAACCACAACTCTGACAGCTGTGTGTGTGTGCTTTTTAGTGTGTGTGGACCTCCAACTTTTTGTCAGTGCTTCCTGGTGGAGTGCTCGCTAAGCAGTTGCCAGGCAACACCATCCGGTCTTAGCCAATGAGCTAAGTTTTGGCAACAGCGTCTCTTGGCAACAGCGCTGGGTTCGAGGGGATTCGGGTTCCCGTTTGCTGAAGCTTTTTGCTCGTTATCTTCATATTAACAAACGAGCTCCAGCTGGAGTTTATCGGCTCTCACAGCCTTAACTTTATCCTCTCTCACTTCAGCACAGAGCGGTCAGTGTCAGCTTTATGGCTCACATGAATAATTTAAATCAGTTTATATGAAAACAGAAAACACTGAACTCTAAGTCATGCTCAGTTGATATAAACTCAAGAAAAACTGTCAGGACTGTGCCAATAAAAAGAGGCTTTGTTTTCCTGAAATACTAAATACTCCTGAAGGGTTCGGACTCGATGGATAGAGAATAACTTTTATTCTTGGCCACAAAGCAGTCAAACCTGATTGAAACAAAAAGCAGTTCAATAGCTGCACGTTTAAAACCCCAAAGAAACAGTTACTAGACGGAGATGAATTATAAATGAATCAGTGAAACTCAAAAGAAGTTAGTCTCTGAATACAGAGATGCAACAACAGGTAGCTGAGATACAAAACAACGTCTGAAAAGTACAAAACGGGGGAAGAGTCGGTGAGACAAAGCTAACACTTAAAAGCTAACAATGAAAGATCACTCTCTGACAAACCTATTGTGCACAGAAGGCCTTCTTTCAGAAGTTGCACTGTTGCTAATAACATAGATGTAGTACACGGGCCCCTCAGATTTTTGTGTTTGTTCTTAGCTCTGTGAATACCACATGCCATTAGTCAACAAGGTGCGTTCGAGAGCAGCTACTTGAGAACATGAAATCATTCATGTTTTTATTAAATCACCTGCTCATTTATTCCTACACGCTCTGACCTGACCTTTACCGCTCACACATGCAGCAGGTCAGTGTCGCCGTGGCTGTAAGGCTTTAATGCACATTAATGATAATCATTCAAGTGTGACAAGCCCACCTGAAACACACACACACACACACACACACACACACACACACACACACACACACAAAAACAACCATACACAAACTCACACACACACACACACACACACACACACACACACACACACACAAAACAACCATACACACACACACACACCCACACACACACACATACACACACACACACACACACACACACACACACACACACACACACACACACACACACACACAAACAACCATACACACACACACACACACACAAACAACCACACACAAACAACCATACACAAACTCACACACACACACACACACAAAAACCATACACACACACACACACACAAACAACCACACACAAACTCACACACACACTTTAGATTCTTCTTAGACTATAATATGTGCTGCTGTGCAGTGTCTCCTGTTGTTTCCGTGGTTACGCAGACACTTGGCATCTCCGTAGCAACAGACAGGAGGTCATAAAGCAGTGGAAACAAGAAATAATAAAAAATGTGACCAAACAGATGAGCTGTGATTTTTACAACTGATTCATAGAACAGCAGAAGGAGTGGGCAGTGTGTTTAGGTCCTCGAAATCAACAACTAACAATCCATATCCTGATCAGCTGATGAGTTTTATGATCTATAAAATGTTGGATGATAGTGAAAAATGTTTTGGCTTCACTGGGAGCTGTCACGTCATCCATCTTTATGTAAAGTCTATGATGAGAAACTGTAGAAAAGGTGTGACTTTGTAGTGTGTTAAAAGGATTTCTGGGCATTCTTCCTCTAACTTTATTTTATAAAACTGAAATTTAATAAAAAATTGAAGAAGTCAGATATTTAAAAATTCAATAAAGCCCCCTCTCTGATCTGTAATGATCGCTCAGTGTGACGTTCAGAGAGTTTATTTTTTCTGAGCTCAGAAACTTTACAGACCTCTGCTCATTAAACTGAAGGAAGTTTGATCGTCGCCAAGGAAACTGCAGACAATCTACACATACACACACACACACACACACCTAAAAACACACACGGAAGACATCAAGGTAGCTCAGTGTAACCATGGTAACCGGCTGGCTGTCTGTCTAAATATCGGTCCAGGGCTTTAAGGAATAACTGAGGATGGAAGCTCGCTTTAAATCTCAAATATATGTTTGACTTTATTTCTTCTGTTTGTTCAGATTTCTGTAGAAAGTTAGAAAACTGTTAACTTTAGTGTCTTTTTTAATATAGTATTTGTCTTGCTGTAACAAAACCGATAAAGCCTAAGTCCTTCCAGAGAGGGGGCGTGGTCAGACACAGCTCATTTACATATTTAAAGTTACAGACACAGAAACAGCCTGTTCTGAGCAGGGCTGAAATAGAGGGGTTTATAGACATGATCAAATACAGGATCAGAGTGGATTTAGAACAAGAAACTTCACACACATGTTGAAGAGGAGCTCTGACACTTATTTAAACTGAAGAGGAGGAGGAGGAGATGGGACCTTTAAACTCTGGTTAAGTTTTTAACAGATGCTGTGTTGAGCAGAAATGTAGAAAAGTTCTTCCAGCTTCATAAAGATCAAAATGAAAAAAAATAGTTTCCAGGTGAGTGAGAGCTGGACGGGTCAGCTATCCAGACCTCAAGAGAAATAACAGCAGAGATGTTTTTATATAACAACATTCTCACATCGCAGACTTTTTCTGTATTCTGACAGTTTGATCTTCATTCAGCCTGAAATGTCCTCTTTCCTTCACTCCTTCTCTTATTGATTTCCACCTCTGACATCTTAACAGAATTTCCAGCAGATGAAACGAGGTGAAGTCTTCACCGTTTTAAAAGTCATGAAAGCCAAACAATCACAACATCAGTTTATACTGTTTTAACTGGGAGGATTCCCAAACACAGCCCAATACTTTTTTAATCTCAAAAAGGATTTTCAGTAAGAGCAGTTCAAACAACAGTCTGACCCTGAATACCATGAAACATATCTTTAATCTGAAGTCGCACAGCCGCATATTTGCAGGAGGAAAACAGATCGAGGTGTAAAGTCTCCTTTTCTTTCTTTTCTTTTTCTGCAGTTACGACGATTTAAGAGAGTTAATGTTGCATGAAATTATTCAATTAAACCCTCATTTTGATCTGTTTGAGTTTCTCAAAGGCAGTATCATTGAATGATTTGTCCATCTGGTTGGTGTGTAGTAAATGTGTCAGTCATGTCGTTTCTCTCCATGACGGTCTGACAGACAGACTTAGTGGCATCCATTTTTAATAAACGTCTGAACTTCTGCTGGATGTATACAGTCTAACATCACACACAATCACATACACATGTGCTGTATATATATATATATATATATATATGTGTGTGCTGTTGCCATGACGACACCTGCATGCTGTACACATACACCCACACAATCAACAGCAGCAGCAGCAGCATGATTTATTTTTTCATCTGATCTTTAAGTCGAGCACACTCACAGATTAGAGCAAATGTGCATGCAGGCACACATGCGTATACATCCCCACGTGCACGCGGCACACCTGATGTGTTTAAATATTCATATATGCATAAACACACAGCTGTACACTCTGATAACGAAATCAGATCCTCATATCGTCATGCAGGAGCTGCCACCTGAGACGATGTTCAGGATTTACCTGCAGCTCTGATGCCTCTCACAGCCACAGTTCAAATATAATAAGGCCATTTAATATGATTACATGACAGGAAGTTAATAAATGTGTATGCAGGGCTTTATTTAACATATTTCTAAATATGTGTTTCAGCTCTGGTGCATGTGAAGCTGTGGGCGATCGACCGTCAGTGTTATCAAACCATCATGATGAGAACCGGACTCATCAAACATGCAGAGTACATGGACTTCCTCAAGAGGTGAAAACTCTCTTTTCCCCTGCAGGTTTACACTGTACACTGTATATAAGAAATGGACGTAGTCACTGTGACAACACCTGGGCACGGCTTAGCATCTTGGCCTTTATCATCTTGATTTATTTTGGAGCCAGAGGCCTCAATAATTTGGCTGAAGTACCCAGAACAAAGAGTAAAGTTGTATTTTGTAAAAACAAAGAATTAAACTTTCTCTCTCTGCAGCGTTCCCACCTTCCAGGGTCTGTCAGAGGAAATTCTCAATAAACTTGCCGACGTCATGGAGGAGGTGAGACTGTACTCACAAACACACAAACTTTGACCATTACTGAGCTGGTCATATATGAAGAAACCTTTTATTCCTGTATATTCTTATTGTGTTTTAGCACATAAGTTATTAATTTCTGTTAGGACCTAAAGACAATTTCAACCAAAATCTTTAAAAGTGGATCTTGAGAAAATTTACAACCCTGCCTTTACGCATTGTATCATTATTTTGGGGGGAAGGGGTCCTGTGAGGGAGTAGGAGTGGCCCAAAGGTAAATAAGTTGGGAACCACTGGAGTATACCATTCAAAAATATGGTTTAAGGAATTTATTCTCACCCAAGGAAAGAGACCAGATGGATTCACTACATGTGGTATTACACACAATCTTTATGGTCAGATCGATGTGAGAGTACACTGGTGACCTTTTTTTACACACCGCTCCACAGTTCAGTTTTGAATCAATGATGTTCCCAAGGTATTAATAAGATTGAACACACTGGACGGTCTGACCTTTGATAACAGTGTCTTCATTAATGTGAGTTTTCCTCCTAAAATCAATCAGAATATCTTTAGTTTTAGATATTTTTAGACTTCTCACATACTGTACTAGTCAATGACCGTGAAGCAGACTACCAATCAATCAATCTTTATTTGAATAGCACTAATTCATAACAAATGTTATCTGGAGACACACAAAAGAGCAGGTAAAAGACCTTACTAATTGCTGTGTTACAAAGACCCAGCGTTGAGCACTTGAGAACATTTAGCAAAGTTACAGTGGAGAGAAAAAACGTCCTTTTAGACTCTAACAGCATCACCACTCAACAATAATGCTACACACTGTATGTGTTTTTAATTTAAATGAAAATAACTATTTCCACAAGTGGAAGTGTACATACCTTGTATTATTCTATTATTGTATTTTTTCACCCTTTATTTAACTGATGTAAATATGTTTGATTTTTAACTTCTTGTTATTTTTAATCATTATATTCCTGTTTCCTGTTTTCTTGAGCTGTTTCCCCCATGGGGATCAATAAAGTTTATCTTTATCTTTAAGAGATAAAACTCTTGGGACGGAGGGAGATGCAGGTAGAAGGATAGGGACAAATAGAGCTTGGGGGAGGGGCTCCATAGCAACAATCCTGAGGAACCTACGAGACGTCGCGCCCACAGCTAAATGAAGTTAATAAAGCAGATAGCTACTGGACGAACTCCCCCAGACACAGGAACTTTATGTTACTTAATTAACAAGTTGTCTGCATAAATATTTTTAGGCGAACTCGTTAAAATCACTTCCTAATGGGGGTGCCGGTGGATTAGTGGTTGATGTCAGCGCCCCATGTGGAGGGACTTTGTTCCTCTAAGGCAGGCGGCCCAGAATCGGGTCCGACACATGGCTAATTGGTTCCCCGCTCTCTCTCTCTCCCTCTCCCTCCGGTTTCTGGCTCTGTCCACTGTCATATTTCTAAGAAGGAGGCTTGGAAAGCACACAAAAATATCACTTTACAATTTGAGAAAAAAAACAACATATTTTGTAGAATTTCATTTTTCTATCAATTTAATTGTTTTATTCTGATTTATTCGAAAGTCCCAAAAAACATAAAACACAATGATTCTGATTAAATTGTAAGCCTTCATCTTTATGATGCTACTTTTAAATGATCAAACTAATAATGATAATAATAACTTTATTTATATATCACCTTTTATAAACACAGGTTTACAAAGTGCTTTGACAAACAGCAGAAACAAGAACAAACTAAACCAAACACAGAAGAACATAAACAACAACAAGAACATAACAAATGCAAAATACTAAAAATAATTAAATACAATTCAACAGAAAAGAACCCAAAGTGCACGATACCCAACAGACATATAGAACCATCATAAGAACCATCACAAGAACCATCACAAGAACCATGATAAGAACCATCATAAGAACCATCATAAGAACCATGATAAGAACCATCATAAGAACCATCAGAAGAACCATCAGAAGAACCATCATAAGAACCATCAGAAGAACCATCACAAGAACCATCACAAGAACCATCACAAGAACCATCACAAGAACCATGATAAGAACCATCAGAAGAACCATCAGAAGAACCATCATAAGAACCATGATAAGAACCATGATAAGAACCATCAGAAGAACCATCAGAAGAACCATCATAAGAACCATCATAAGAACCATGATAAGAACCATGATAAGAACCATCAGAAGAACCATCAGAAGAACCATCATAAGAACCATCATAAGAACCATGATAAGAACCATCAGAAGAACCATCAGAAGAACCATCAGAAGAACCATCATAAGAACCATCATAAGAACCATCAGAAGAACCATCACAAGAACCATCACAAGAACCATCATAAGAACCATGATAAGAACCATCAGAAGAACCATCAGAAGAACCATCAGAAGAACCATCATAAGAACCATCACAAGAACCATCACAAGAACCATCACAAGAACCATCATAAGAACCATGATAAGAACCATCAGAAGAACCATCAGAAGAACCATCATAAGAACCATGATAAGAACCATCAGAAGAACCATCATAAGAACCATCACAAGAACCATCATAAGAACCATCATAAGAACCATCATAAGAACCATCACAAGAACCATCACAAGAACCATCATAAGAACCATCATAAGAACCATCACAAGAACCATCATAAGAACCATCATAAGAACCATCATGAGAACCATGATAAGAACCATGATAAGAACCATCATAAGAACCATCATAAGAACCATCATAAGAACCATCACAAGAACCATCACAAGAACCATCATAAGAACCATCATAAGAACCATCATAAGAACCCAGGCAACACAAGACTAAGAGGTGTTAAAGTTTGTGAGGGTGACAACGAGGAACTTTAATATACGGAGCATCTCCCATGATGAACATTAAAAGGTGTTACACCTGTTCAGAAAGCCAGCCTCAGCGCTCAGACTCACTGTTGGAAGGGTTTTACAAATCCACTCCCACTCCACACTCCGAGGTTTTTGGACGGTACTCAATGTGGTGGACCCTCCAGGCGAGTGCGAAAGACAGCGTGGAAGTGCGTAGGGTGGAGGGAGGGATTTTTAGAAAAGCGTAGTGAGTACTGATGGTTAAGAAGTCAAGAATCCAGAATCCAGATTGCTATGAAGTCAAACTGTTCTGAAAGCCTTCTGGTTGAAGCACCAATCAGTGAGATGTGTAGAGAGTGAGATGATAAAGGTATCTTACTATCTGATCAGACATTAAAGAAACATGCTATGTTGAAGTGTTGGCTTCTCTGACAACAATTCTAAAAAATAAAGAAAAACAAAGACTGTATTTTTAGTCAATAGCATGACTGTCTTCTTCTGACTCAGACTGTTTTCCCTCCAGTCAGACTCTTCTTCTTCTTCTTCTGTGTTTAGACCCATTATGAAGACGGAGAGTACATCATCAGACAGGGAGCCCGAGGAGACACCTTCTTCATCATCAGTAAGGGAAAGGTAACACAAACACACCTTTTGTATGAATCCAATTAAATGTATTAAATTGATCAGCTGACTCCCTCTGATCGTCTGTTGACACCTGTCAATCAAACTTCCTGACAGGTGAACGTGACCCAGGAGGAGTCGGCAAATCAGGAGCCAACACACCTTAGAGAGCTCACCAGGGGGAACTGGTTTGGAGAGAGAGCTCTACAGGGGTAAGATCTTGTGACCTCTGAACTTCCAAACTTGAACCCTTAAAAGTCTTAACCTGTATTCATGATCATTGTGAGAATCCTCTCAGAGAGCTCACAACTTCTTAAACAGCTCTTCTGAAATGTGGCTAGTGGTTTGTTTTACTCCTTTGTGACATTTTCTGAGCGTTCCCCTTGAGGCCAAATGTATCTTTGGCTTAGAAAGACAGTAAAAAACGCGACTTAATCACAGAACATTCAGACGTCACCATATTGTGTATTTTTAGGTTAAAGGTCAGGGTCAGGGTCTTCAGCTCTTAATAACACCAGTGAGCGTTCAGCAGCAGTCTGACAGGAAATGAGGTTAACAGGAGAGAAGCACTTTATTAAAGGTTGGAAGGGGCGCTGGCTGGTGTGTTTTCATGACCTTCAGTCTTTGTGAGGACCAGCTTGTGTGTCCGATGTGCACAGAAAGGACAGATTTGGAAAGTCGGGACATTTTCTGTACTTCTAATAATTTATATTTTATATTTTTATTATTGCCCAGACTGACTAACTGCAGGAGACAGACTCTAGTGGACACTGGAGGAACTGCAGCTGTAAAGTTAGACATTTTAACATGGAGCTCTATGGGGACTGACTCACTGCAGGAGACAGACTCTAGTGGACACTGGAGGAACTGCAGCTGTAAAGTTAGACATTTTAACTTCGAGCTCTATGGGGACTGACTCACTGCAGGAGACAGACTCTAGTGGACACTGGAGGAACTGCAGCTGTAAAGTTAGACATTTTAACATAGAGCTCTATGGGGACTGACTCACTGCAGGAGACGTTAGCTTTGACTCAACTGTTCAGTTGCTCTGAGATTCAGCAATCACGTTTAGGAATTGGTGGCTGGCTGGATTGAAATATAAAAAAATGCAGATTGGTTTTGCAGATTTTGCATATCTTTCCTCTGATGGCAGAGGTTTGTATTTAGAGGAATTTGTGTTCCTTTATTTTAGGCTCTGCAGAGGCTGATAGTTGTACCTTATTCTTTACCCTTAGATTTGTGCATGCTAGTAAGCCTGCTGTTCAGTTGCGGTTTTTCCAAACCAATCTCATACCTGCTGATGCCCTCCAGGATTACCCGGTAGAATATCAGCGTGATCACATGGCATCTCCTCGAAAAAATGTTCCATACAGAGCCTCGGGGGATCTATGAAGATTAATTTTTCAAGACGTATTGACTGAAATAGAACACGGCACAGATACACACGCAAAAAACATGTGAACTAAAAGCCTGGAAGCATGACACCTATGTGTGTGTGGCATGAAGGAGGACGGTTTCACCCTGCAGGGACATCAATCTATGGTCCTCATATGTACAGTCAGACAAATGTGTGTGTGTGTGTGTGTGTGTGTGTGAGAGTGTCACTGTTGCTGTTCATTTATTTGATTGACTTTAATTAAAGAGGTATCTGGTCAGATGTGTGTGTTCCTTTTCTTATTTCTATCAGTGTGATCATGTGAAAATACCTCCCATATGCACACACACACACACACACACACACACACACACACACACACACACACGCTATAACCAGTTTGTCAGTGTCTCTGGTTTGTGTCTCTGCTGGATTTCCAACCTCCTGTCGGCATCATCACAGCCGCTGCTAATTGGATAAACTGTGTTTCGCTGTTCACAGGGGAGTGCTGTTTACACATCCAATGTGTGTGTGTGTGTGTGTGTGTGTGTGTGTGTGTGTGTGTGTGTGTGTGTGTGTGTGTGTATGTACTGCTTCTTCTATCTCTGTGAGGACAGGCACAGGTTTAAAATTTGTTTATTTCCCTTAATGGGATTGAGAGCATGTTTGTAAATATATTTAGAACCTGAGGACATTGTTCCTGACCATGAGAGGGTTTTTTTGCACTTGAGGTCAAGTTTAAGGAAATTAACACATGAAAGAAACCTGAAGAAACTATTTAACCATGAAGACATTTTTAGACATTTTGAATATTTAATAAAAGAGAGGACACCATTTCATAGTGGGGATATTTTTAGAAACGTGTAACTTTTTAAAACAAGAGTCCCAGTTCAGAACATTTTGAATAAATTCGATTTTATTTTAAACAGTGAGGATTTTTTATAAAGTTAAGACATATTTTAGAAGTGGAGAACTATGGTGTTATATTAATATCAAATCTCAAGAGTGAACCATGATTACAATCGTATTATATTATTTCACGCTTGCACAAATTAACAATCTCTTAAACAAAGTTTTTAACTCGGATTGCCTTTCCAAAATGAAAATGAAGAAATATTTTAAACGAAAGGAAATAATTCAAAAGTAAGGATGTTTTTGTAAAGTTAGGACATCCCTTAAACAGTGAAGAAAACTCTCAGGCAGTGAGAAGATTATACGAAGGTTGGGACAGTTTTCTGGAAAGTGGGAACATTTTTGCACTTGGAGGACGACTTTATAACGTGAGGACAGATTTTACAACGCTGGGCATTCTTAAATCTAGGACATTTTTAAGATGTGATATTTTCATGGAGTGAAAACATCTTCATCGTCATTACAATCGTATGACTGAGGACGTTCTAAGACAGTGAGGACATCTTAAATAGGTAAATTTGGTTTTCTGGAACTCAAATGTTTCTTCAATGTAATCTTTTTGGAATTTGACGATTGGCCTTACAAAGGGAACACACATTTGTCTGGTTATAATCTTCAAAGGTGTTAGCTGGTCATTTTGAGACGGGGTCAGCTGGTAGGGAGAGTTGTCCGTTATGGGTTGTTGGTTTAATTCCGCTCGTCAGAGTATCCTTAAAGAACCCACTGTCCCCACACAGCTCCTGATATCTGTATGTGAAGTAATGGTCGTGTTTTGTCCCGCTCAGATGGAACGGCCGGTTTAATTCATGAGTCTTTGTGTGTGTCTGTTTGTGTTGTGTCCACAGAGAGGATGTGAGAACAGCCAATGTCATTGCTGCGGAGGCCGTCACCTGCCTGGTCATCGACCGAGAGTAAACACACACACACACACACACACACACACACACACATTACGACACTGTTACTTACGGGGATCTTTCACAGAATCAGTGACTGCTTTTCAATCACTTTTTAACCCTCATGTTTATACACCTGTCTTCTTCTTTTTAACTTTTTAAGCCTTCCTTACTCCTTTTTGATTTCCTAATTGCTTACATTTCCCAAAATATCCTCAATTTCTGACATTGCTCTTTAAATGTGACAGCTCAGTTGGCCTCAGCGTCCACCCTTCAAACGCTTTAAGAAATTTCACGGACTGAGGGCATTTTCATTCATGACGAGTACAGATTGTTCTACATGAGCATATAGATAAAGTCCATTTTAAAGACAAGGCTAAATGAATGGGAAAAAATATATACAAGATGAACAACTGTATACCTTTGCATGCATCGAGAAGAAATATGAGCCACCAACCTGCATGTGCCAGCATCTCATTGGTTCCTACCACACTTAATGTTTCTGTCTATTTTATTTTCTTACATGGTTGGTCCTCTTTGGTCTCTTTGCATGTAGCTGGGTTCCTTTGGTGATCTTGTGCTTGTGTGCTGCCCTCTGCTGGTCCTCATCACTAACTACAAGCAAACACATTAAACACAAGAAAGACTTCATGATTTCTCTCTCCGCCCAAAAAACTGAAATATGACCATTTATAATCTCAACATAATAATGATATTTATCTTTCTTTTTCATCATGAGCCTTTAACTTCTTTAAATAATGAACATACTTTTAAAACTTTGATTTATGATGAAATGGTATCATTTGTGGCTGCAGACGTGAAACACATCTCTCTCTTCAACAAACATTAAGTCCATTAAAATATTTTTAAACTGGGACACTTTAGTTTAAATAATATTTTAATAAGTTTAGACTAAACTTCAGGGACTTATTTTGGTTTTTATTATAAATATTGCCACATGTGATTTGTGAGTTGCCATATCTTTTTTTAAGATTATTTTTCTGTTTGAAGTCAGAATTTAAAAACAGCTTTAATCATCAGAACACAAAATATATTTGGTGTTTACACTGGAGACGCTGTATGCTGATTGGCTGCTGTCTTCTCCCTCCTCAGCTCATTCAAACATCTGATTGGTGGACTGGACGATGTTTCGAATAAAGGTTACGAGGACGCTGAAGCCAAGGCCAAGTAGGTTTAACGATCACACACACACACACACACACACACACACACACACACACACACACACACACACACACACACACACACACACACACACACACTAGTGTTACCAAGACCAAGAAATTTAGGGATGGAGACTGAGACCAAGACCAAGACTACGAATATCACTGAAAAATCATCATATTGGGGGGTAAAATCAAACTACAAATAAATAAAAGTTATTTGTTCAGTTATTTGGTGGTCTTGACCGGTCTTGATTTACAATCTGGAGTCCGCCCAGTCTTTGGCCGAGACAAGAACGAGAAAAAATGCTTAAGATTCTGAGACCGAGACCTTCTAAAAGTGGTCTCAGAGACCGGTCTTGAGACCAAGCCTGATTTCGAGCTTTACTTTAGTAAAAGTCTATATTTTGTTTTGTAGGAAAAAGCTGCTGACTCTGTCTTTAAGGAGAACATATTCGACTAAAAACAGCTCCTCCTTCATGCTAGCGTTCATTGTTTTTTTCCTCCGACATGTCAGGAGCAGGTTTGTTGTCTCTGTGGGAATGTTTACAGCAGAAACAGGATCCTCTTATGTAAGAAAAGCTAATAATACAACGTGGCATTCAGGGAGCGACACAACCAGGGAACACTAAAGGACACCGACTAATTACCGAAGACACATAACACCTCGGTCCTGTCAGGTGATTCTGTCCCTGACAGTCATTCTTCTGCGTCATAAATCAGTGTTGAGGAAGAAGATCCACCAGGATGTGATTCACACTGCGATGTAAAAGCACTTTGAGTCGTCAGAAGTCGAGAAAATAAATATACAAGCTTAAATCCATTTAGCATTTAACTAAAGTACATTCGTTAGTATCTGAAAATTGTAGACAGAGATTATACCTGGCTTGCAATGATGTCAGATTTTTAAGCTTTGATATGATTCTAGTAAAAATCAAAACAATATAGATACCTAGCGTATGGACGACAGTTTCACTCATGGCCAAGTGGGCGGTTCCAGCAGTGTGTGACGTCACGTGAGAACTGAGAGTTGCTTTTAGAGTACACAGATGTGAGTTTACTATTTACAGTAGTAGTGATGACATAGGGAGGCATTTTAAACACACACACACACACACACACACACACACACACACACACACACACACACGTAGGAGTGTAATTTAAAATGGTGTGTCTTGTATCAAATGACCGTTGGCATGTCACAGAATGAAGTCATCTCCTCTTATGGTATGGAATCCATACAGCCAAACACCACACACACACACACACACACACACACACACACACACACACACACATACACACACACCTGTCAGTAATGGGAGTTATGTTAACAGTACAAAATAAACCTTGGTTGTTTCATGCATAATAAATACAATACTTGTAAAAATGTATTTTCATTATCTTTTTGTCAAATTTACAAAATGCTTAAAAAAATTACTCCCTTTCATATTTTTATGCCAAAAATTCAAACATAAATATCTCCTAGAACCCTAAATTAATATATCCATTTAGGGCTGCACAGTGGTGCAGTTGTTAGTGCTGTTTCCTCTCTGTGAGGAGGTTCCTGGTTTGAATCCTCGTCTGTCAGGAGTCTCTCTGTGAGGAGGTTCCTGGTTTGAATCCCCGTCCTTCAGGAGTCTCTCTGTGAGGAGGTTCCTGGTTTGAATCCTCGTCTGTCAGGAGTCTCTCTGTGTGGAGGTTCCTGGTTTGAATCCCCATCTGTCAGGAGTCTCTCTGTGAGGAGGTTCCTGGTTTGAATCCTCGTCCTTCAGGAGTCTCTCTGTGTGGAGGTTCCTGGTTTGAATCCTCGTCCTTCAGGAGTCTCTCTGTGAGGAGGTTCCTGGTTTGAATCCTCGTCCTTCAGGAGTCTCTCTGTGAGGAGGTTCCTGGTTTGAATCCTCGTCTGACAGGAGTCTCTCTGTGAGGAGGTTCCTGGTTTGAATCCTCGTCTGACAGGAGTCTCTCTGTGAGGAGGTTCCTGGTTTGAATCCTCGTCTGTCAGGAGTCTCTCTGTGAGGAGGTTCCTGGTTTGAATCCTCGTCTGTCAGGAGTCTCTCTGTGAGGAGGTTCCTGGTTTGAATCCTCGTCCTTCAGGAGTCTCTCTGTGTGGAGGTTCCTGGTTTGAATCCTCGTCTGACAGGAGTCTCTCTGTGAGGAGGTTCCTGGTTTGAATCCCCGTCCTTCAGGAGTCTCTCTGCATGTTCTCCTCGTGCATGTGTCTCTCCAGGTACTCCGTCTTCCTCCCACAGTCCAAAGACATGCTCGTTAGGTTAACTGCTCTCAACTGCTCCTTTCAACCAATGACAGCTGGGATCAGCTCCACACCCCTCGCTACCCCGGGAAAAGCTGTATTGATAATGGATGGATGTTTTGACTACAGACAACACATGTTTTATTACACTTAAACATCAACATCACGTTAAGATAAATTGACTTAACATCATTGATTCTGTGTGAGGTGTAACTTTGGTTGTATCACGTTGGTCCGACTCTTAATGTTTACTATTTCACTAAAGGACACTTCAGCACGTTGAAGGTTGGGGGGATTTGAACCCCGCAGGAAGCTCTAAAGGTTAATCTCTTCCTCGCTATGACAAACTATTTTTAGAGTGTTTATGGGTTGGTTTTGTCCAACAGTCGATCAACAGCATCTACAGTTTCTGAATCTGATTCCACGGCGGCAGTTTCCAGGAAGTAGTCCCGTTTGGAGAAGCACTGACACACGAACACCACACACACACACACACACACACACACCCACACACACACACACACACACACACACACACACACACACACACACACACACACACACACACACACACACACACACACACACACACACACACACACACACACACCAACCCGCGGGTTGGTACCACTGTGTTTTCCACTGTGTTTTCTTTGGCAGACAATATATTTATTTTGAGCTGAGGAGAAAGTTTACTCCACAGAAAGATGCTCTTGTTTTTAAAATAACCCAAAATCCAGGTAGGAAAGGAGACATTTTTGGGCCATTTTTGCATTAATTGGACAGGACAGCTGAAGAGAAACAGGAAAAGTCTGGAGTGGAGAGTAGGGGGACGACATGCAGCAAAGGACAGAGGTCAGATTCAAACCCACAGCCACTGTGAACGAGGACTATTGCATCCGTTCATGGGGCGCACAACATAACCGCTAGGCTCAGGCACCCCAATGGAGAACAAAATTTAAAGTAAATATTGTCTTTAATGTAAAGTTGCCATTTTCCAAACAATCTCTGCTATATGAATGATCGATAGCATCAAAAAGTAATGAAACTAGAAACGACAATCACTCCCATGATTCCCCGCCAGCCTCGACGTCGTCTTTTGTTATTGTTTGGATTGAGAGCCCCCTGGTGGCGGACTTTACATAATGTGTGTTTAAACTTACGTACCAATAATATAATGAGTGGAATCAAAAGTCATTTTGGATACATTGGGATTCAAATTTGATGTCATAATAAGATGCTTTTGCAGATTATAAAATAAGTAGGAACACCGGGTTGACTTGTATTGGAGCCCTAACTTGCTATCACAGATAAACAGAGTGAAATAAAATTTATAAATGCTGAAGCTTAGGGCTAACGTAGAGTTGACATTTTGGACTGGTTTATATGACAGATGATGTGGATGTTGGACCGTTTGTTGTGGGTGGGTATAATCCTGCTCCTGGCTGTTAAAACAGAATGTTGTTTTATTTTTGAGATCCCTTCACCAGACATCAGACTCTCCCTGATGACACCGCAGATCTCTTCACAAGACTTTGACTTTACATTTCTTATAATATAGATATTAAACTCAAACCATTACACACATGGACACATGCAGAAATTAAACACTTGAAGACTGCAGGAAGCTCGCTACATCCGGAGAAATCTTAAGTACTCTTTGTTGTGTCCTGCGGTTTTGAGGTCGGGACAGTCTGTCCTCAAACCTTCAGTCATTTTTATGACTGAGCTGGGTTTACAGGGTGAACCTCCGAGCAATGTTTCTATGTGCTAAAAATACCAGCAGCGTTATGCCATGAGGATCATCCTCTCAGGTTGGTGTTACCCCACCCCTGTAGGACTTGACCGCAGAAGTGTACCCTGTTTTGATAGAAAGGACGAACCCTTCAGAGGCTATCCTCAGACATTGCTTAAGTCTGAGCGTGCACAGTTGGATCTTCTCCGATTGAGACACCCTCACACTTGCAGACTAAATATTCGATTGGGTTTTGAGTTAAATAGAAAAGTAATATTTCCCAAAATCCATCAAGAGTACCAAGACAACAAGCTCTTTTCACAATGCAGTCCAGTTCTGGATTCTGACAGAGTCCCGCTCAGATCAGGACCAGGCTTGTTCTTCACTTTATTGAACACTGAGCTGGAGGATCTGGAAACCTCACTTCACCAACGGTCCCCTGAGACCAGATCTTTGGATCGGTACCTCCACCGTTGGCCATACCCTCACCATGTGAACTGGGACTGCAGCTCTTCCTTTAAGACGGTTCTCTTAAGGACTCTGTGCCGAACATTCTCGTGAGGACTGAGAACCAGCTTCATGTTGGTGAATTTGTGTTCACTTTTCTACTTTGTGACCAAGAGAAATAGTTCCAAACGTTGAAGGAAATTAACGACTTGATGGCTTTTTGTAGATAAAGAACTAAAACATCAAGATCAACTGTTGACTTCCCGTTATTCTTCAAAACCAGACTGCTTTAAACTGCTCAAGAAGACAGCACAACATCTTACCTGAACTATTCCTGTGCTCGAACCAATGCTTTGGTGATAACTGGATGACATTTTTTCTGATTTGTGTGGATTCACGTTTGGAATATGAGAGAGTTGCTTCTAGTCCCAGCGAGGCAGAAGAGAGAGCGGATCACCAGCCTCCCTTCTCCTCTCTCCTCCCCCTTCCCCATCACCTCCTTCTCCATCCAAACCTCCAAAAAGTTCCCGTTCTTCCACGTGGTCAAATGCTGCAGGTACAGCTCAAAGTCCGGCTGGGCAGTCTCCTCTGTTTCCATGGCCAATTTTGACTTTAAACGTCTATGTTTAAGTAGACTGAAGTAGCTTGTTTAGATACAGATGATGCCCTTGCTCTGCAGCTTGATCACCATGTCGAAGCAGAATGGTTACTCTTTCAAATGGTCCAAGAACTGTTCAAAAGTACAATTTCCTTGAGTTCGGTGAATGCATCTCTAGGTTTTGTGTTTTCAGGTACGAGGCAGAGAACGCCTTCTTCTCCAGTCTGAAGTTGACCGACTTCAACATCATCGACACTCTGGGAGTTGGAGGCTTCGGACGTGTTGAGCTGGTATGATCACAATAGATGAAACAATATCAGATTAATTTAACTTGAACTGAATCATTTAAATTCAATGATACAAGAGAAATCGGATGCAGATTTCCAACTTAACTAGTAGAAACACTGAGCAAGATGTTTGAAAGTTGTCAACATTTTAAAGGAGCAGTATGTAACTCTGACACCCAGTGTTTAAAATGGGTACTGCAGTCCAAATTCAAAACATTGTAGAGAGCTGTCCCCCCCCCCCCTCCTCTCTAGAGTAGATGCTCAATCAGGTCACCATGTGGTGGACTCTGAAGCTTCAGTGTTTATTCAGCTCTGCATGGGTCTGTAAACCTTTCTGTGTTCTAACCTCTCTCCATTTTTCAAAAGCATCTCCAATATTGATCCTAGTTTGAGCACGTTTCTGCTCGTGGAGCTTATTAGAAACATGCAGAGGCTTTTTAGGTCGGGTACAATCACTTCTATCTGAACCACTTCTCTTGCCCACTTCCATCGCTGCAACACCTGTTGACCTGATAACTGCTCTCATATCTGGCAAACCGAGGGGTGTCCAAAATGGCCGTGAGGGGGTGCCTTTAAACTGCCTATCTTCTCTGGTCCAAACAAATCCAGACCACAGTCTATTCACTGTGCTTGTTCACATCTGGGTTGTAGAGCAAGGAGAGGAGGAACATTAACCAGAGATATAACCAGAATATGGCTACAGCCCTAACTAGTCATCAAATGTCATCACCCTCACTTAGTGCTGACTTGTGAGGATGATGACGATAAACCATTTGTTCATCTAACACGCACATCTGTGGTTTCAAGTTAGTCTGAGATTTAGCATTTGTTTGGCATCAGTTCGATGCCAGCTTTAAAAAAAAAACAGATTCAGATTAAAGAGTTTCAGCGTAAAGTTTGAGACTAGCTTCAGGCCGTACTACGCTAGCTGTCCCTCCAAGTCCTTTTCGTAGTTCAGAAATCTGCTCGGATGCTATTTGCAGTAACTTTCCAGTAAAGTATCAGTACTGGTAACTGGAAACCAGTCCTCGTGATTCAGAGTCTGGGCTCCTGGCCCTCTCTGTGGCTTTGTAAGGAACTTATATAACCCAGAAAACTGCAGTCAAACAGTTTGGTTCAAATTTCCTACTTGTTTCTCATTATGCTGCAGAAGAACTATAATGTGTTATTCATAACAATTGTCTTGGGTATTAAATGTCTGTCCCCTAATGACTTTATTCATCTTAACGAGTTTATTTCAGACTTAACGAGTCTCTCAGATCATTAAATCTTCAGCAGAGCTTTCTTTGCATCGTTTGCAGTTTTATTGGATTTGTTGATTGCATTAATCCCCACAGTGTACCTGAGGTGTGAGATGGAAAAAGCAGAAGGGGGGTGGAGGGTGGGTGGGTTGTAGCGGGTGGTGCATTGCAGCCACAGTGGTTAGGTTACTTTGCCGCAGAAGGCGTGGCTGGAGGGTTACTGAAGGTCGAGGGGAAGCCCTCCGGCGGGTTTGCCCAAAAGCAGGAAGGAATCCCACTCAGAGACTTCCATCGTGCCTCTGGAGGTATTTTTAGGTGATTCGTCATCGTGTAACTCTGATCTGAGGAAAACACTGACCTCTGATCCGCAGACTGCCTGTCTGACCCCGATCATAACTCTGACACTCAGGCAGACGCAGGGGCAGGGTTTATTTATGCACTGCACAGTGTTTTCACTTTTTATGTAGAATGTGTTGTTTTGTCTTCAGGTTCAGCTGAAGAACAAGGAGGCGAAGACGTTCGCTATGAAGATCCTGAAGAAGCGTCACATCGTCGACACGAGACAACAGGAACACATCCGTTCTGAGAAACACATCATGACTGAGGCGCACTCCGACTTCATCGTCAGGTCAGTCCAACAAGCATCATCATCATCAACAAAAGTGAGGGAACATTCAGCTTTGATGCACAACATTATAAAAATGTGTCTCTCTGAATGTGCTCTCCTCTTCTGTTTCTGTTATTATTTGGATCATGTTATTGTGTATCACAGGTTTCCTGTTTGTGTTCAGGTTGTACCGGACATTTAAAGACAGTAAATATCTCTACATGCTGTTGGAGGCTTGTCTTGGAGGAGAGCTGTGGACTCTCCTGAGAGACAGGTACACATTTAAACATTATCAAAGCCTTTCTGCACTATTTGGCTTTTCCACCCTCTGCTCGTCAACAAATGCGCATTGTACATGAGGGGAGGCATACAGCAATGTGTCTAACAACATTCAGTTGCACTCTGAGACCTTCGGTGGGCACTAAAGCCCACCAAACCAAATAGCTATATGTTATCTCTTTAAACAAATCAAAAAGCCTTCTCATTGTCTAACTGTTTTTTTAAACTATTTTAGGGGTTCATTTGAAGACTCGACCACCAGGTTTTACACGGCATGTGTGGTTGAGGCCTTCGCCTATCTGCACGCCAAAGGCATCATATACAGAGACCTGAAACCTGAAAACCTCATACTGGACAGCCGGGGATACGCCAAGCTGGTAATTTCATACCATGTACATAAAGTAACAGCAGTACTAATGTTAGCATGCTATGCTAAGCTGGAACAGTTTGTGTTTTGTTTCACAGAAAGTGTGCAAAAGAAAATGAGAAGAATTATTTAATTTGACTTCAAACTATGAACGTTGCACTTAATTCCACAAACACAAATTCATTTGGAAATATCCAACAAATAAGCACAAAACTGAAAAGTTCAGTTTTTTAAACTAGTCATTAAGGGACCCTCTCCACGACAGGGAAATAAATCAGGACTTAACAGAAGTTTCTTACCGTGACAAGTGGTGTCACCATCTTTTAAAAGTTTTAATAGAATTTGCTTTAAATGTCAGCCTGTTAGCTTGTGCTATGTCTTGAGTACAAGTGGAGATTCTGTACGGACAAATGAGTTAAAGAGAAAGTCAATAGGACACAAGAAATCCAAGATTCTGAGTTTTTATGACCAGAAGTATCAACAGAAAAGTGTCTTGAGGAGAGGTTGGGAGACACCAAGCCAAGCTTGAGATGCTTCACTGGTTCAAGACAGTAAATCGTTTTCTTTACCAGGTGGACTTTGGTTTCGCCAAAAAGATTGGTGTCTGTAAGAAGACTTGGACGTTCTGCGGCACGCCAGAGTACGTCGCTCCAGAGATCATCCTCAACAAGGGTCACGACGTCTCCGCAGACTACTGGTCTCTGGGTATCCTAATGTATGAGCTGCTGACTGGCAGCCCTCCGTTTTCAGGTCCAGACCCGATGAAAACCTACAACATCATCTTGAGAGGCATCGACATGATCGAGTTCCCCAAGAAGATCACCAAGAACGCCGGCAACCTCATCAAGAAGCTCTGCAGGTAGAGGCCACTGTGTTCCCGGGCAACTCTGATGAACCACAGAGTCATAATTTGTTCTTTTTATCTCTGAATTAATCCTCAATGTTTGTGTGAACAGAGATAATCCCTCAGAGAGACTCGGAAACCTGAAAAACGGAGTCAAAGACATCCAAAAACACAAGTAAGGGAGATGAAAGGAAGCTGGTATCTGATTGGTTGTTTCAGTCCAGAAGTACAGTATAGTCATCACCTGACTTTCACTTTTCATTTCAGTTCCTTTAATTAAAAGGTAAGGCTAAAAGATCTCTCCTTCTCTGTTCAGGTGGTTTGAAGGTTTTAACTGGGAAGGTCTGAGGAAAGGAACTCTGACTCCACCCATCACACCTGATGTGAGTTGAAATAAACCTTTGTTTTATTTCCCCCATAAAGAAAGCCAATCTCATGTTAGACCTTTTTTGACATATGACCACCCGGGCTGTAAATGTGTTTTCTATTCATCAATGTCATCTTAACAACAACTTCTGTTATGTGTATATTACCCATGCGATCGTCGCTAGAAAGATACAATTCTTGTAATCCCTACCTTGTAAACCATCTCAAGATTCGACCAAAACAGCAGCCACAATCTACACATCTGTCAGACCTACCAGTCTTTCTGATTAGTTTTTTTTAACGGCTGAAGGTATACAGTTCTCTTCCGGCTCTAATTTCCCAACAAAAATGGTCCTACTGCATCGGTGAAGGTCCCCACGATCCAAATCCAGAAAAATATTTAATCTAAATACATACCATCCATAAAGACGGATGGATTGCTTCAAAATTTCCATCACTGTCATTTCACCAATCAGGACCTAACATACACTGTTCTTAGGCTACTTTAGCCAATGAGAGCCTGACTAGAAACAGAACTGCAGATGATACAGATGTGTCAGTTGAAAAAGGAAAATAACGCTGATAATTAAGCTATAACAGATTAACGGTTGGTGATGCCCAGCTTGGAATATTACTGTTTGTACTTCAGCATTTCCTCCAGTATGTCAAGAGTTAAATTCCTACCTTAAATTTTAGAATAGGATTAAACCCTGCGTTGTCTAGTCAAGTTTTAAAGGTGTTAAACTCAATTTTGTTCTTTCCAGGTTTCCTCTTCAACTGACACAAGTAACTTTGACAATTTCCCCGAAGACACAGAGGAGCCGCCACCAGACGACAACTCTGGATGGGATTACGATTTTTAGCCCAGTACATAGTTAAACTTTCAACCCGACGCTCTACAATGTGAAATCTTGGAGGAACAATAATGGTTCACCAGGCTGAACAAAGACAAACTTTTTTCAAGCATTTTGGATCCTGTGGGAATAGAACTCCTAATGCTTTGAGAGGGAGCCGACGGAAAAGAACTGGAGTCCTGTCGTTGAGCAAACTGTTCAAACCATCCAGAGGAATTCTGAGCTGAAACCTGAAAACATCTGAGAGCTGGAGGATAAGGTGGTTCAAGTATGAGACAATCAATCTCGTCTACAAGTTTTACCTGTTTCCAAGAAATGGTCAACTTGTTTATCAATTCTCAGAGAGGGGAATGGATCCTGGAAATATTAGAAGAATTAATGCCGAATCCAAAGGGGTTCAAGTAAGTTGTTGACTTTTGTGACCTGGAAAAGTCACTCTACCAACTCCAGTTAGACCCCTATCAGAACTCTGATGTTTTTTGAACAAGAGATACTTGTGCCCTGATGAAAGGATAAGTGCTCAGTGAAGACACCACTCATCCCAGTTATGCCCCTTTACCCTGCTGATAAGTTACATAACTTAACTTATGGCCCTTAGCTGCCACTGCAACCAAAACAGCGATTCAACAGACCCAGGCTCCATTTCCAATCGTTTAGACTGATGGGCAGCAAGAACAAGGACATCACCAGGGTTGTCGAGTTAGGGAACCTCCCTTCACTGGTGTTTTTCCCAATTAGTCCCACTACACCTTGAGAAGGACGGTCAGTGAGTTCTGACGTCCCAGAGCCTCCCCCCTCCATGCTAGCTCTCACCAACCACCGTAACCACACACAGAACTTCTATATCTCAACTACCCTACCACATGGCCATCACAGCCCAAACAGCATTGCCACCTTTAACAGACCTAGGCTCTGTGCATGCTAGTTCCTTAATGCTGAGTTCAATGCTGCAAATAGATTCCTTCAACTGAGAACACTGCTGATTCCTTGTTTAACTGCAGCAGGACCTTGGGTATCTCCACCATTCAGCAGTCATTCTCACTGTAGAGGTTGTTTTGACTCCCCGTAGATTGCAGCAACTCCCAGAGATGATGAGTCCTTTGAATGCTGCGAACTTGACCAACATTCAGCACTCCCAACCACAAAGAAGGTGTTTTAACCTGGAGCAGGGTTCTTTCAGAGGTAAAAAAAAGGATACCATGAATTTACTTAGACCCTTGTCCCCGCTGACGAAACATACCAAGTATTTTTAAATCCCATGAGAAACGTCCTAGGGGGAAAGCAGCTTCCTTGAGAAAAGACATGCTGATACATCAAACAAGGACATCAAGCAGATGTCGCCTATGACCTTATTTTTTTCCCCCATTGCTTTCATGCTTAGGATGCATACTCTTCACCAAATGCACTTTTTATGAAGCAGCCAAAAGAAAACCAGGTCAGGATAGTGGGTCAGAGGAGAGATACTTGCAGCTATCCGGTTTCTAACCACGGAAAGGATCTTAAACGGTCCCTTCAAATGTCACTTCATGATATTGGAGACTACAGCCGTATTTTTTTAGCAGCTCATTGGAAGCCTCAGCTCCTGTCAAGTGTCCTTGATCCCTGGCTGATTCATGACCTTTCTCTCCTTAGAAGAAGATTTTAAAAGACTGCTGCCCATCCTGTGGTATCTGCTGTTTGTGGTTCACATTCTGGAAGCAGTTCAGTAAGTCCTGGGGGCTTTTCCCAGGTTTGACTCTTCAAGCGCAGACTAGAGGAGATGCAGTTGCCAGATGAATCCCTGGTCCAAGTAGCAAACTATCTCCACCGACCTCGGAAGACAAAAGTGAACTTAAGAAAGGAGACGGGAAGGAAAACTCTAAGTCACCATGATGCCTTCACTTCTCATTTCACTTTTGGGGAACTTAAAATCCAAGGACTGAAGGACAAAAAGGTTTGTTTGTAGCAGCTGTGGTCCTCCTCCGTCAGTAACGCGCAGTGATCTGATCATTTCTACTTTAACTTTCCTTTCTACTTTTCCTTTTGTTGTGAATCTTTGGATCAAAGCATGACAAAATTATTTTGTATATATTTTCCAAGCCTTCCTACACATTTTTGCACACACCTACAAACACTCCATTTGCACAAACACATACACGACTTTGTTACATTTCTTAACACCATTTCTTTTCTTGGTTTGTCAAAATTGAGATCATTTCATGACTGTTTCTTTTTGGTTCCAAACCTCTGAATGAGGATCCACATCTTCACATTCTTACAGTAACTTCACAACAAATCTTGAGCTGAAGAACGTGTGCAGTCTTCAAAGTTTGTATTCTTCCGCGTAAAAAAAAAGATTTTAACAGAAATAAAAGGAGGAATTTGTTTTGTATTTCTATTTTGTGGCCTTTTGTAAAAGCAGCTGATTGTCGTTGTTTGGTATAAAGACTTTGTAATAGTGCTCTGAATTTATTGTGATATTTTTGTAAACTGATCAGCGGTGTGTCTTCTGTGAGCTCTGCATGAAACCTATGAAATTCATGTGTTTGGTTTTCAACTACAGCAAAGTTTAAAAATAACAACCAAACAGGCAGAATGTGAAATGTATTAATTTAGTCCAGAGAAAAGTCAGCATTTAAACTTCACCACCATACTCTGGAAAAACTGCCTGGTTGAAACGTCATTTATTTTGAAAACAAAACGATCCTTAAGTGATTTTAAAAAATGTGTTTGGACCAGAAGTAGAATAATTTAAAGTTTATGTTGATTATATTTTGTGAGTATTTTATGAGTTTGTGAAACGAAGCTCGCGTGTCACTGATGTATTTGTATATATTGGGAATATAGTGCTTTATAATGTGCCTGCCGTTTGTAGATTATTATTAGTAGTAGTAGTACTACAGTGGTTGCCATGGTAGCTAATGAAATGTTCTGACTTTCTTGCTCTATCAGTTCAAAAAGCTTTATGGGCATGACTGTTAACACGACAAAACAAAACCTTTTTGCCAAAGCAGGTTGATCTGTTTGAAAAATAAAGTAAAAAACTAAACTAAACTTTTGTCCGTATTCTATGTGTTTTGTTTGAATATTTTTTTATTTATATATATTTTTTGAATATATATATATATTTTTTTTTTTACAATTTTACCAGTTAGGATGCAGTTTAAAATGCAACATGCCATCAGAATACTACATTATAAGTACATTTTACTTTTTCAACAACAGAAGTACTATTTGGTTGATGGGCCTCCGCTTGTTTTATCCGTATTTACATTTTTCAGTAGGTTCACATCAGGTTTCCTACGTAGGCTTCCTTTAAGTATTTACAGGGTTAGTCGTAGATTCAACTCAGATGAGGAAACCACCTCTCACCCCGCACAGCATGATTTCAAAATGGGACCTCTGGATGATTCCCAGTCATATACTAATATTAATCCTGGTTGAATGTTGCAAACATGGCCGATGCTGTTGACAAAAATAATATGCATGTATGTTCAAAAGCGTTAATAACTCGATGAGCTAGGTAAATGTAAGCTCAAACATTAGCATTAAAAGAAGCATAGGCTAAGCTGAAAACAATTTGAAATGTTTTTTATGCGTTTGGGATTGAGTAAATGGGATTTGCTCGTTTCCATGTGTAACTCAGGTCACCTCCTTTAATTTGGCAAACATTACATCTACCAGAGAGCATTTGGTCAGATATCATTTTACTTTTATCCACATGTACACCTCGCTTCTTAGCAGACAACACAGTGTTTCTCATACACTTGATTTATGCAAGAACTTAATTGAGTTTGGCATGAGTAATATTCTCTTTCCAAACACAATGGACACAACCCAGAGCTTCCTAACGTGAGTGTTTTCAACCTGCTTTGACACATCTTCGTAAACTTTTAAGAGAAGTTTTTTTTTTTTTATTGTTTATCAATGAGGAACCCTCTCACAATCTATCTTTGCTGCAGTACCGCTCTCTGCCTGAACCGAATGAAGTGCATCGGTAGGGGCGCTGTTTCACCAAAACTCACATTTGATTAAATAAATTGTGATGAATTAAAAAAATCATGAAAATCAAGGAAAATGAGAACGCTTCACAATAGTGCATGTTATCCTTGCACCAGGGGCCATCCTCCTAATCTTTTCTGTATCGTTCCCAAGTTTATCATGTGTTACAGATTATATAACACAGCCAGATAATAGTGCCTTCTTGTATTTAAAGGAAGGTCAGCAAATATGATGTCTGAGTCAGGGTTCAAACTCAGAAAAATAAAACAGAATACCAGACTGCACATTGTGCACTGTTAAATGTTAAACACTGAGTAACCACTCTCCCTCTGGCCCAGGTCCTGGTTCTGGATCCTGGTACCGTTTGACAGGGTGCGAGCTGAAAGGGATTGTGGGATTTCTATGCAGATCAGCCGTAACAACATGGAGACATAAAGTTCCTCCTCTTCCTCCTCACACTCAGGAGAATGTGGAGGAGGAGGAGGAGGAGGGTCTCAGACCTGCTGTCAGACTGAACATGAGGTGTCCTCCAGTCTTCACTTCTCTCTTCTTATTTAGACACTACTAAGAGACGCCCCAGATCTAAAACTGGATCTGAACTGGACCCAAATAAGAACTGATGGTGCAACAAAAATCTGAACAACAAGCTGGACTCTGATTTAATTTTTTGGAAGCTCTTTATCAGGTCCCATCGTTTTCTTATTATGATGTTTAAAATCTGTCTGATTCTGAATTTATAACCCTTGTTCATTTTCATTATTTATTTTCTTTCCTTTTCTGAAAAGCCTACCACGTACAGTTTATAACGTTAATGAATAGTGATCAGTTGATAATACACAAATTAAATAAAAACATGTAAATGAAAATGCACACATGATTACCAAAAATTAAGCTGCTCAAGATCAATAAAAAAAATACATTTCTGCTTAAAATACAATTCTACAAAACAGTCTCAATATTAGAAGAATACATGTTTAATGTTAACAGATAATTTGCTTCCTCTTCATGTCAACATCTGTGTGTGTCATTTTCTGAACGTCACTCAAACGTTTTCTGTAGTCCTGCGTCAGGAAGTGAAGGTCTCTTGTAGTTCTCCCAACTGGCCGCTAGGTGTCAGTATGTGACAACCCTTTGCTTTAATTCACGTCTAAAACCTCCTTAAAACTCTGTGTTTATGGATAAATATGATGAACATTCAGATGTTTTCATGTCATGTTGTTGTTATTTTAAGAGTTATGTCGTGTTGATTCTGTTCTTAGAATTAAGACCGGAAACAAAGAGCTCTGTTTGATTTCTGGATAAAGAAAATGAAGCTTGATAATTCTGGCGATTTCGCTTTTGTACACTTCGTCAACAAGACTTACGTTTTATTTGTATTTTTCACAAATGTAAGTTTGATTCTGATGAATTCGGCGTACTCACAAAAACGAAATTAGCAGCAGTTTATGTGATTGAATCTGTTTAGGTTCAGTTTTGCTTGGCCGTAAAGCACCGATAATATAGTAATTTAAAAGGTTTTCAGGATTATCTGAGAATCATTTTTAATGCCGAAATAATTGAAAGACCAAACTAATTCAGATAAAGTGTTAAGGTCGTTTAAAAACATCTGTTTAAGTCTTCCACAAACAAAGTTACTTGTAGTCGTATCATTTCTAAAGGACATCCGGCGAGAAATGAATCACTAAACCTCTGCAGGGAGAAGCGTCACTCTGACACACAGGTGGGGTAAATTAGTAACTTTAATCTCCGTTATAAAAGCAATCATTTAGCCCAGGATTAATCAGCTCTTTCTATCAGTTTGTCAGTTTAATTAAACGCCAAATGTGGCTACGTTTAAAATATAAAATCTGTCATTTGTCAAAAGGAAGAGCCCCCCTAATAACTCAGTATTTGACTCAACAACCGGACTCACAATCTAGTATTAAATACTGAAACAAATATAAATCATGGTATTTAATGATGTGTGCTATTATTTGGCACAATATATTTTTCAAAGCAATCTTCTTTGTCTATTTTTCCTGGGTTTAATGTTCCACTCCAGTTTGGCCCCCTTAGTAAAAGTGGTCTAGAACCACCACTGATCTTAATATGCTTTTGCTTACTTTGACCTTATTAGGGCCAAACTAAGCTTAAGAAAAGCATATTAAGATCATAATTCATCACTCACACTAGAAAAAGTTTTCCCGTACCGCGCTTAAGCACGATTGTCCCCCCTCCCCTTTCCCCGCTGGCCTCACACTGCTCCAGGACTAACCGGGCCTGAGCACGATTACCTCTTGAACATAACGTCGTAATACAACACATGCACAGCTTCATGTGATTATGATGCATGCATACAAGACAACGGTTGAACCACATACACACACCAGAGAACAACAGAGAGAACATGACAGATACTTTACTGACTTTGTGTCTTATTTAGAGTCATGCTCGTCGATACAGACAGAACACTCCAGGATTTCTCGATTAGTTGAGGAGGGGATGTCCATGTTTTGTCCCTGTGATTGTGCTCGTGCATGAACTGTACCGTTCTGAAGCGCACCTCTTCCAAGCGTGCCAAGGAAGTGTGTGATTTTGGAAGTGTGTGAAAATAAGTAAACGCCCCTGAGTGCAGGATGAGTCATCAGACATTTGAAGCGTTTTAAAAGGAAGAGAAAATATAGTTATTCAGATGTAAAAAAAAAAATCTTTAGATTATTCTTTATTGAGATTTATTTGGAAGATAAATTAACATTCAACAGGAACGCTGGGAAATGTATTTTTCATTTAATGGGGACTTTGAAGGTGAAACAAAAGAGGAAACTGGATGTTAAGGGGTTAAAACTCCTCCTCCTCCCCCTCCTCCTCACTTTTTTATGAATGAGATCTACACACACACACACACACACACACACACACACACAAACACACACACACACACACACACACACACACACACACACACACACACACACACACACACACACAGTGATGTCAGCGACGAGCCCATCCCCCACTGATGCGGGAAAAACCTCACGATGAAAAAGAGAGAGAGGCTTCCTCATGTTTCTAGAAGTCTCTCTCTCTCATTTATCACGGCAGAGGGAATCGGGCAAGCAAGCATCACCCCCCCCCTCCCCCATCACTCCATCCGCCCTCCTCCTCTCCGTCCCTCACGAGCCTGAGGATGAGTAATCCAGCGAGGGAGGGCGAACGAGGTAGAAGAAGAATGGGGGAGTGAGAGAGGGAGGATACCGACGCAGCATCAGCATCAGCATCATCATCATCATCGTCAGTGAACGTGCAGAGTGAGAGGATGAACATTCAAAACCCTGCAGCTCCTCTCTCACCTCTGAGCTCTGGGAAAGACGGAGCCAGCTAATTCCTGGACCGTCACATGATGAAACAGAAGAAGAGGCAGGGCATGAAGTGGATTGCATTACCGTGAGCATTTGGGATTAAAACAATCTAATCACTGGATTAAAGAAGGAAAAGGAGAAAACCAGAGGAGGCAGGAAGAACATTTGTATCGCTGTAATCTTCACCTGCGTAATGTGCTGCATGGCTGATTAATCTCTGGTAAAGCCGGACAAGAGGGAGGCTTCCTCCCTTATGATACAGGACGATACCTGACTAATTCATGGAGAGGAGGTCAGTTGACTCATCGCAGCGATTGTGTGGACTGACCTCTTCCTGAACAGAAACCCCTCCCCTCTTTAGTATCCGTCCTAACTAACAAATCTGTTTCACGACTTCACATGTGCTGCTTGTTTGCCTTGGATCTGTCTAATACCTGGAAATATTGAACCACAACATCACCTCGCAGCAACTGGACTCTCTGTACTACGAGTCCACGTTCAGCCTTCTCCTGGGACCGGGTTAATCTCTGGATCAGCAGCTCTGGCATGTTCTGTTTCTGCCTGCAGAGTTCTCTGCTGAAGCTCCAGGCGCTGGAGGTGGAGGGGGGTCCGTCTCTGGGTCCGTCCCCCGAGGAGAGCCCCCCTGCCCTGGGCAGCAAGGAGCAGAAGAGCCCCTGTGGGCCTGTGGAGCTCGGAGGGAAGGAGGGGAAGACTCTGGCTCTCTGCCACAGCGCCCCTGCTGACGAGAACAGCCCACCAGGTACGCACAACACCTGTCTGTCTGCAGAGACACCTGTCTGTCTGCAGAGACACCTGAATGTTTGTCTGCTGCACACCTGTCTGTCTGCTGCACACTTGTCTGTCTGCAGGCACACCTGTCTGTCTGTCTGTCCATACTAAGGTTATCAGTTCTTTGCTGATACCATGCATTTTTATTTGATACAGTCTTCACAGGTGTGTAGGAGAGGAATGCACCCTTTGCAACCTGCAGACAAACTCCTGCACGCTGCCTAAGTTGCACAAAAAACATGCTTTAAAGGAAGAATGTGATGAAGTAGATGTCGCCCTTCAGCTCCAGCATGAAACCAAAACAAACTTCTGTTTGGCCACGCCTCCTCCATACTGAAGCCTCCGCTCTCCTCCAGAGACACACCTCCAACCCCCCTCCACACCAAGGAGTTATGAATTAGAAAGCACCATAATTAAGTCCCGTTAAGCGCAGGTGGCGGACAAAATTGTCCTCGGCTCGAGCTGCAGTCAGCTGTGTCCTGCATTGTGTTAGCATGCTAATGTTAGCGCTCTTTAGTTAGCTCGTAGCTTCATATTGTTTGTGTTAGCATGCTAATGTTAGCGCTCTTTAGTTAGCTCGTAGCTTCACATTTCATGTAAACTGACACAGAATGAGCGTGATCTAAAAACTCTTACTAACATCCAAATAATCAGTGAGTATGTTCTTCTTCTTCGCTCTAGTTCTTGACTAAAACAGCTTTTATACACAAGGGGAGGAGCCGGCCGTCCCGTCCATGTAAACACGGCTCTGACAACAACACAGCCAGCGGGACTCGAGCTTCTCCCTCATTGTAGACAGTCAGGACTCAGAGACACATTTACACAGGACAGACTGGATTTATGATTTATATTTATGTGGAACATGTCGATCATTCTTCCTTTAAAACTTGGTTTTATACTTCCCTGAGCATGCAGCTTCCAAGAGTAAACACAAACCTTACAACAACAAAAAAGTGTTTATACATCATAAGAAACCAAAGATATGTACGATTCAGGAAGTCTCCTTTTGTGCATCATAAAGGAATTGACACAAAAACACAAGAAGACGTTTCTTTATGATGCATGTTTTCGTCCTCATTCTGATTCGTTCATTCATTGTTTGTTTCCTGTTTATGTTTCTCATGAAACACCGACGGCGGTCCTTATGTCGCTCTAACATGTCACAGACTTGTGTTGAAGCTTTCAGTCTTCTGGTGACTGTTATTTTGCTCAGCACGCCACCAGTCATGCTCTGACTATGCGCAGCTATTTATAGAGCAGCATGCAGGAATAAAACACTTTGCAGCATGTGAGGCACGCTCGCTGACCGCCGAGCACGCCTCTGCTGCCAAATCCACTGCTACACATTTAGATTCCCTCCAACGTGTCTGCTCTGAGACGGTGAAACACAGCCCTATTAAACACGCTGGAAGACGTCCTACCTCACATTTAACCATATTTTTACAAGATCAAATGACTGTTTAGAGGCTCAAAGTAGAAATAAAATGTGTCACTCATTTTTATAATCAATCTTTCGCCAATGTGAGGATACGTACTGATTTTGTTCTAGGTGTTTCTTGGACGTTCTTTTGGTCTTTTTGGTGACCCTCTGTGTCATTGAGGTGATGGTTTTGAAGGAGGGTTAAGTTGACCCTTTTTGGTGGTCGCGGTTGATGTTAAGTAATGGAACCAACCACCTTAAGGATGAATATAAAGACCTTTGGGACAAACAGAAGGCCAAATTTAACCACCTTAAGGAAAGATAGAACTATTAAAAAGACATCCAGACCAGTACCACCTCAGTGACTTCAACAAACCACCTAAAGGTCCTCTTGTCTTTTAGAGCAGGGGTTCCCAAACTTTTCATCCCGCGACCCCCAAAATAACGATGTGAGAGACCGGGGACCCCCTCTGTCCCTGGAAGTGATTAAAGCATAACAGTGCACACAGCAGCACGCACTAATGGGCCTTTATCCAAACACTGACATTAGAACAACAATAACAAATACAGCAGCCTTAAACTAATTGAACAACATTTTTGTTTCACAGTTTCACAATTTCACAATAATAGGTAAAATACGTAATTTCAAGTCATTTCCAGTTTGCATTTGTTTTTGGAAGGCAACTCGCGACCCCCCTCCCAGTGTCTCCCGACCCCCACTTTGGGAACCACTGGTCTAGAGGATCAAAGAAAACATTTTTAGGAATCTTTCAAACTTAAGCACAAGAAACCTCCTAAAGACTCCAAACTAAAGGATCTCCTCAACCTCTTTGGAGACCATTTGATCCCCTTCCTCTCTTAGGTGGTTCCATTTGTCCTAATGTTGGTCTTTTTGTCCTTAAAGGCTTTATATGCCATTTTTTTGATCCAGCAGATGTCGCCCTTGAGCACCAGCATGAAATCAAAACAACTCGCGCTGCATTGTTGTGTTAGCATGCTAATGCTAGCGATCTTTATTATGCTGGTATCTTCACACTGCATGTAAATTTACCTGAAATGAGCGTGATCTAGAAACACAGTTAAGCAGTGAGTACAGTATGTTATTCTTCTTTTCTCTAGTCCCTCAATTAAACAACTTTTATACACGAGGGGAGGAGTCAGCCGGCCGTCCTGGCGATGTAAACAAAGTGAAGATAGGACTCTGAAAACTCTGAAAACATCACAGACAGTGGGACTCGGGTGTTACACCCATTGTAGACAGTCATGACTCACAGAGTTATTTTCAGAGGATATACTTGATTTCTATTATATTTAAGTGTGAAACATCGCTTATAAAGCCTTTAAGGTGGTTCGGTTTTTCCTAATGGTGGTTTATGTGTCCTTCAGGGAGTCCATTTGTCCCAATGGTGGTTCTAGTTTTCCAAATCGGGTTCTATCTGTCCATAAGGTGGTTCCATTTCTACTTGAGGTTCTCTCTTTTATTTGTTCTTAAGGTGGTATCCTACTATTTTTCTTCAAGGTGGTTCTTTTAGTGTTGAAAGTGGTTTCCATTTGTCCTTCTGTTCATCGATATGTGTCCTTCAGGTGGTTTAACTACTCCTTATGGTTTTTCTGGGTTTTTTTCTGCTGTTTCTGTTTGGTGCTGTTCGTCCTCCGAGAATCTCAAAGACATTAAGCGGGTTCTTGGGATCCTTTAAAATATTTCAATGCTCATTCAGGATGTAAAAGTTCCCTTGGGTTGTTCTGTTAGGAGTAGACTTTCATCCTTCTGATCACCAGAGACTTCTAGATGTTCTTTATGATACTCAAGATGACACAGGGATGTTGATGTTGTTGTCATGAAAGAAAACTGTAGTGGAGCATCAAGCGATTGTAAGATGGTTCTGGAGATAAGAGGTTTTCATATGAACTAATGACTCTTAAAATAAGTTATTTAAGTTTGTTTAAAATCCTTACAGATGTCGTTGTGTTTATGGTTAGGGTTGGTATGAACAGGTGGACTTGATTGTTACCTAAATGTTTTTACTCACTTTGTGTCCTTACAGAGATCCTGAACGTCCTGACCCGACCTCCACAGTCTCCCCGACACCAGCCGTTAACTGCCATCCACCCGGGCCAGCAGTCCCTCACCCCGGATGGAGCGCTGCCCCCGAGCCCTCACCCCTCCCCCTACTCCCCTCAGAGGGGCAGCCCCGGGGGTGAGGGAGGAGACGGAGGAGGAGGAGGAGGCGGGGCTCTCCTCCAGCTGCTGGCAGGCGGTCCAAGCCCTCTGCCCTCCCCCCGCTGCTCCAGCCTCACCCACAGCCTGAGGTTTAACTCAGACCCCGAAACAGCTCCATCACCGCCCTGCAGCCAGCAGTACATCCTGTAAGTCTCACCTGTCTAACTGTCTGTCTCCTCATTGGTCTGTCTTGTGGTTGGGTTAAGGAGACTCTGAACGTTTGAATATGTTGACCTGGGTATCAGATTTGACTTGAGACTTGTTGGTCTGGAATTTAAACTTGTACCTACCTAGTGTCCACATACTTTTGGCTTTAAGTTGCCGAGGTAACAAAACAGCGACAGAAACGTCTCCTCCTTACTTTAACTCTCATCCAGGTCTACACTCCCCCCCCCCCCCCCTTCCCCACTACGCTCTGCCAATGAAAGGCGTCTGATCCAACCTTCACAACAGGGTCCTAAGACGCTGACTAGACTCTTCTCCTCTGTCGCCCCCCGGTGGTGGAATGAACTTCCAAACTCCATGTGATCTGCAGAGTCCCTCTGCACCTTTAAGAAAAAGCTAAAGACTCTTTCATGAATACCTACTAACTTAATGATGATGGTCTCCATATTATTGATGATGATGATGATGGTAATGACGATGGTTTTTGTTTGATAACGATGACTTATAAGATGGTTTCTATACTGATTAGAGCTCTCAAGAACTGCCCTCAATGTTGTGCTTTGCCTCTGGTCACTTCCTGTCAGCACCTGTGTGTCCAATCAGACTCAAAGCTGATCGTTTGCTCTTACTCACATTGTTCCCTTTTTTCTAGATCCTTGCTTGTGTTGTTCTTACTCTCTGATGTACGCTGCTTTGGATAAAAGCGTCTGCTAAGTGAATTGTAGAAATATCTCCAGGACAACGTTTTATTTTACTGAAACATTTAAAAAGAAATCCATAGCGTTTCACATGACGTCTGAGCAATGACGTATTTAAAAATCATCAGCTGTCTGCTGCATCGACGTGTCTTATATAATCACAGCTCTTCTTCTTCTTCTGTTTTCTGACCCACTGCCTGAAGCTGTGACCCAGTTTATGAGTCTGATGTCTCCAATCTGACTAACATAATAATACTAAAACACACACACACACACACACACACACACACACACACACACACACACAAAGACTCAGACTCAAGAAATCAGATGAATCTTTAAACGTGAAAAGGATCAAAATGTTAGCAGATAAAAACTTTAAGTTCTTCCAACAGGAACGTTGTGACACAAAGAAATGTGAAAATGAGAAGAGAGAATACTTTCAGATTAAAGACTCATCTGAGTGTGTGTGGGCATGTCTCCTGTGTTTACCTGTCCAGGTGTCGGGGCAGGGAGCGTGCGGAGGTCGTGGAGGATGAGTGCCCCCACTCCATCCCGTTCCTGGGTAAACACATTCAGACCCTGAAGAAGAAAGTCCGCAGGTTCGAGGATCAGTTCGAGCATGAGATGAACTACAAGGTAAGTTCACCTGACGCTCATATTTCACCAAATAGTTCTGTTCAGTACCATATGCCATTTTTTCTTATCCTGATGCTGCCAATATTTTTCCTGCAATTTTTGTTGATCAAAAACAAGAAATTAATAATAATAATAATAATAATAATATATTTATTTTATTTTATTATTATTAGTATTATTTTTTCTTTCTAAATGTTAAATTAATTAACTTTTTTCTCTTCGTACCTTTTCTATATATATATATATATATATATATATATATATATATATATATATATATATATATATATAAATGGGGAAGGGTGAAAAAATTATGTGATGAAATATGACAACTAATGTAGTAAAACAGCCTGCAATAAAGTATTTTAAAAAAATAATAAATAAATAAATTACTAAATATCTGATGCTTAGGATTTCTGTTTTTGGAAACCTGGTATCAAAACAGATTTTTAGGATTTCTCTTTCTTACTTCTAGTTTGAAGTTCTTGAATCATGACAAGCCTATTATAAATTATGTTGATGATGTCACAATGTGTTTCTTTCCTCCAGCCGTCTCACAACGATAAATACTCCAACCCGGAGATGATCCGCATCATGAATGAACTGGCCAAGGCTCGCAAACAGCTCAAAGGTAAAAAAAACAAAAAAAAAACACCTCTCTGACGTAACGCAGATTAGTTCACTAATCTGCTCCTGGAAAGAGACATTAATGTTTGCAGATTGAATCCTCCAATCATGTGAAGCTTCTGAGAGACAGAAATGTGAAAATCCTTGACCCCACAATATTTTTAAAGATATTAAAAATATTTTTGAAATCTTACAAATTTGGTGTTTAACTTGATGTTTTGCATCACAGCTACTCATTAAATATTATTTAAGAATGCCATTATCAGGATTATGAAGCAGAAGCATGATACGAGTCTCAAACAACCAGATGTGTGAGTTGGAAAAAGTTGAAACGGAGTCCCATTTTCTTTTGCATTGTACAAAATCTGATGATTTAAGAGAATTATTGTTTCATGAAGTAAAATCTGAAATATTGGGGCGGACAGATGTGCAGAAACTGGAATGGCTGTTTAAGTTTAACTTGATAATTTTGTTTCAAAAGCTTGGAGAAGAAGACAGGATATTCTGTTTAATGAGTTTGACTTCTTGCTTTCTCTTTTTTTTTCTTGAGAATGAATATAGCTTACCTAGTGCATGTTTTTCATTTATGGTGTCATGCAGGCTGGGCATATGGATGTATGTATGACACAATAATTAAATAAAAAACTAAAACTAAAACTAAAAAAACCAAAAACGTCAGTAAATGTGTTAAACTGAAGTTCTGTGTGTGCTGCAGAGCTGAGACTCCGACAGTCGGTGTTTGAGTCCAAGGAGCAGGACGGTCCAGAAAACTCCTGCAGGTAACACAAACACTCAACCCTCACATCGTCCCGGTGAAATACGGTATCATGAGATCCTTCTTCAGTGTAAATCTGTCCTGCAGGTACGGCTCGGGCCAGCAGGGGGCGTCTGAGCACAAACCCACCCTGGAGGAGACCGTGGAGTCTCTGTTCAGACGGATGCGAGAGAAGAGACAGGCGCTGGGTCTGCCCGACAACATGAAGGTCTGTATTGTGTTCATACAGCAAACACCAAAACGCTGACCGATTTTAGTCCCACTCATCTGACTCTGTGTGTGTGTGTGTGTGTGTGTGTGTGTGTGTGTGTGTGTGTGTGTGTGTGTGTGTAAACAGGAGATGACTCAGGCTCAGATGGTGTTGGAGAAGATCACTCTGCAGAAATGTCTGCTCTACTTTGAGAGTCTGCACGGCCGACCGGTGAGTCACAGCGCCATCTAGTGGACAGTGAAAGAACAAAGACCGTATCCTGCAGTTCCTCAAGTGTCCACTAGAGGCTGGCTGCAGAAGCACAGGAAGTCACATACACACCCAGAGAAAGCCACAACATTTTTTTAAAGTATTTTTTGGGGAAATGTTTGCCTTTATTGTAAAAGGACAGCTGAAGAGAGACAGGAAATGTTGGGAGGAGAGAGAGAGCAGGGGAAGACATGCAGGTGACCACAACGAGTACTATGACCTCCATACATGGGGCACACAACACAACCACAAGGCTATCTGGCACCCTTGCCACGACATTTTTTAAAACTAGAAGTTTTAGCTTCTTTCAAGTTTAGAGAAAAAAAATGCAAGTTAGTTTGAAATTAGAAATTGTACTTAGTTATTGAGAAAATGTTGCAGATTAAAATATGATGAAAATATTGATTACAGCTGTTATGATGTATTAATGATACAGGGAACTAAGCAGGAGAGGAACCTGGTGAAGCCTCTGTACGACAGATACACAATGATCAAACGGTTACTGTGTGCCAGTCCGACCCCCATCACAACCATCGTGAGTAACACACACACACACACACACACACACACACACACTGACAGTTTTTTAAAAAACTGGTGAACCCCTTAAACTTTGAACCGCTAAAAATATATAACCGTGTGATGTATTAACTCAGCCTAACTCAGCCTCAGTTCCCTGTGAATTAAAATAAATGTAAAGTATTATATGATGACATTTAAATGTTGTGTTTTTACTGGTGAAGAATCTCAGATTTCTTTGGAGGATGAACTCTGTACATTAGGGTTTTTCTGTTGTTGTTCTCTCAGGAGGAAGAGGACGGTTCTGATGAAGACTCAACGAGCTCCATGACGGTCGTCGAACCTCCGGTCCCGCCTCCTCGCAGAGCGGCCCGACCAGCTGCCGTCGAGGAGGAAAGTGACCGGGACAGCGACCCCGCCTTCGTGTCCCCCATAGTGGAGGTGAAAACTGTCCATCAGCAGCCAGCAGCTCTGACCATGGCTAACCTGCACGAGGCCTCCAGGTGTGGGGATGTTTAAGATGTGTTTAAGTCAGAGTCTGTGCTGTAGGGACAACATGGATTAATCTTCGAAAAGTAATATTTTTGGCCTATTATCATGAAGCACTAGGCAGCTCCTTGCGTCTTTTAGAGGTATAATATGTGACGTTTTAAACATTTATTTAGCAGATATCAAAACAACTATATCTGTGAATAAAATGTGGAGTAATGACTTCCTAAAAAGAGAGTGAAGTCAAACTCCCTCTGGGTTTGTTGCTCCCTGATGAGACACACTTCCTTCAGCTTGGTTATGTTTCACTCAGAGGCTCAGACATACTGTATTTCCCCGCCACACCCACTCAGGTAGTGATGTCACACTTGCAGAAAACTCCTGAAAAACCGCACTTAATTTACGCTCTTGTGTTGACAGTGTGATTCTGAAAGTGAATTGTTTTTTTTCTGTGCAGTTAGTCCTAAAAAAATTCAATAACCTCTACAATCTGTCTATTTAAACCAGGTCTCAGCTGCTGATCTGTCTGCGTGAGACGAGAGCAGAGAAGAAGACGAGACGTAAAGCTCTGAGAGAGTTTGAGGACGAGTTTTACCGCCAGACTGGAAGGTAAGAGTATAGAAGGAGTGCAACAAGGATCTATTCTGAGCCCATTGTAATTTTCTATATTTCATATTCCTTGTGTTTCCTTTTAGAATTTGCCAAAAAGAGGATCGTACTCCGATGAAAGATGAATACCAGGAATACAAACAGCTAAAGGCTAAGCTTCGACTGCTGGAGGTCCTCCTCAGCAAACAGGAAGTCCCTAAAACGAAGTGAGAGGAAACATCAGCTCCTGGAAACTCCTCCATCAAAAAAAAAAAAAAATTCATCTATTCATGGGATAACCTGAAGTAAAAGTGTTTATTTAAAAGAACCGTACAACCTTAAGCTGTTTAAGGAATTAATTTTCCTCTCTGAGAGTTAGAAATTTGCATTGATACCATCCTCCTGTGTTTGGTTAAATTTACGCTGAAGTGGGAAGTGGAAATGCTGCGCTCCTGCCATGTGAACAAAATCACTACAAATTAGAGTTGTGACGATATCAGAAATACGATTCTAGGAAAAAATCAAACAATATTCATTCCTGTTTGACCCCATGGTTTCACATATTGGGAAATGTCATTTTTTAATGACAAAAAATGTAAGTCAAACTCCTGCCCACTGTCTAAATTGCATCAAAATGTTAGCGATGTTTCAAGAAGCTGCCCATGTTTTTGTGCAATTCAGACAGTGTGCAGGAGCTTTTTGTTAAAAAACTGAAGATATGAAGTTTTTTTAAGCTTCTGTACTTTTTGATACTGTCGATAATTAAACATATTCAATGAATAACATATTAAGGTAAAAGTTTCAATGTTAAAATGCTACCTTGCCATGCTAAGATTCATGCTAACATGCTCCTGTTAGGGTAAACTCATTGTTATAATGGTAATGTGTCTCATTACACTAGAACATAAAATGTAAAACATTTCTGCAGAGTTAGCATATTTCAGGAAACTCTGCGTTAGCATTAGTTCTACAAAGTGAATCACATTGAGCCGTGCCTAACCGTATGTTAGCATTTCAGCGTAATACATTTAGCACGTTATGGTAGCATGCTGGCATTGAATATCTTTATCACATCGTGTGTTTCAGGTTATTGAGGCAGCTGATATGATGGTAGAAACTCAGGCCCTGATTCACTAAAAATGGATTGTGGCGGCTAATAGCTACAGAAATTGTGCATCATTTGCTCCCTCTACCTGCACCGTCTCAAGTTCCAATTCACAAAGCATATAGTGTATAGCGCTAATGATATTCAGACACAAACACGCTCAGAAAATGGTCATGGTATGAGTACTTTACAAAAGTAATTTTTACAAAGGTGGATTTTTTTTCCTGATACTGGAAACTTTGTGGTGACGTCTCTTATAAATATTGCGACGCAGTTACCACCAACTCTCAGCAGACGGTAATTTTTTCACTGTAATTGAGCATGGCTTTTAGCACCGGTGTTTGTGAATTAGAAGCTTTTTGCAGTCAAGCTGATTTGCACAGTAAAGGGGCAATTTTTCCCTTAATGACTACAAAATGGATAATTTAAATATGTGCAACCAGCACCGGCGCACAGAGATGTTTTCTCTGCAGCTCAGTTAGGGAAGCATTTGCCCTTGTGTGTTACGGTATGTGAAATAGACATTGTCGCTGACTCATTTTAACAGGTTTATGGGGCTTAAAAAGCAGTGCAATCCTTTTGTGAATCAGGCCCTCTGTGATCTTTAGTTTATGTGTTCGTAAAAAACTGTAAATAATCTTGCAGAGATTTATGAAGATCGTAGCTTCCTGTGTGTACTGTCAGTGGAAACTTGTATACCAGCATCCTACAGTGTGTAATTAATGACCTGCATCCTCAGATGTGAATCATTTTGTAAAACTGCATTTATTCCAGTCTGCAAAGATGAGGATTTGTCTGAAGGTAAAACACGTTTTCCTTCCGTCTCGTTTGATTTAAAGGACCAAAGGATGTTTTTTAAGGGGCTAAATGTGTGTTTGTCGAACTGAAAGCACTTTAAAATGTTAGCGAGGGCGTGGAGAAAGAGAGTTTATTTATGAATGACTTTATTAATGATCAGGTTTTATGTTTTTAAAACAGCATTCAGGAGTCTCTGTTTACTGATCAGGTTCGTTTTGATCTCCATCAAAGTGTTTTGGGGCAAAGATGCAATGTATAAATTATTAATATTATACAGGATGTCAAGATAATCTGTAATGTGGAGAAATAGATTAATTTGTATTTATATCAAAACTTTCCATGTGGAAAAAAAGGGAATTTATTTTCATCCAAAGTCTAATGTTAATATGCAAAATGTTCTGATTTTAGAGATCACTGCAGTGTGAGTGAGCACGCAGGTGAACTTTGTATCCCTGCAGAGCGTTACAGAAAGAGATTTAACAGGAGGACAGACGGAAGAGGACATGCTGGAGAGAAACATGTGAGACGGGAATGTATCTGATGTAAAACCTTTGGCTTTGTCTCAGCGTCTGAAGATTTTAACATCAGAGAGCTATGTCGGATTTCTGCCCTGAACTTTGACTCTCAGTGCACGTTGTGTTGATGTTTTCATGCTCCACATTCTGACATGAATCCAAAATGTGATGATTAACAATGTCCCTGTTGTCGTGCAGTTCTGGTTTGCTTGACGAATTTCTACACAGACGAGTACAAAATAAATATTTTTGCTATTAACAAAGTTTTGACGTTTTTTATTACGTTTGAATCAGGTGTCTTTTATGATGATCAGGAGCCTTGAATTCTGAGAAATTTCACTGGTAGTAAAAGCTTTTAGTGACTCTGAAGACGTCAGACGTTCCTTCATACGGCGTAATGACGGGTCGCAGGCCTTTCATCTGTTTGTAGTGTCCAAAGTGTTTGATCCTGTAGGAGCCGCTAGGGGCCGTCTGGGGGATGTGCCACTCGACTGTGGAGTTGCTCTCACGGTTTGATCCTTTCAGCCACTGAAACCTGAAAGCACAAATCAAAGTAAAATCCCTTATAATATAGAGAGAGACGGGTGTTTTTTAAACTACTTAACCACCCTTTTAACAACAGACATGGCGTCCAGAGGTGGGAACAGTTAATCAAAAATGCAACTATGTTAACCGTTAATCCGTAAACGAAGTTGCTAACATTGCTAACACAGTTAATATTACTGGAAATTAACATAAAGTTCTAGGAACTGTTGGAACCGTTCCCCCCTTTTTTTAATTAATTCCGCAACCCAGGAACAATGAACTATTTTAGTTCCGGTTTAGGGGAACCTTTTTAGCTCCTGATTCAGAGTTGGTACCATGGTGGTGCGAATGAAAACAGACAATCCCCATGATGTGTAGTTCTAAGGGAATTCCCTAGTGGATAGTAGCGGACTGTTTGGTCCGCAAACACCTATTAACGTTTACCGGTATAATCATAAAATGTCAGTTGATTCTAGTTCTGAATAGGGCATGTATGTGTTGAAACCTTTTTCTATATAAAAACATTGTCTTTTATTGTTGCTGCTCTCTCTGAATGTATAAATGTCGGTCATGAAGCATTTCACAATAAAAGCACCCGGGTCAGTGATGGGAGTTTTTGCCCGTTATTCAATAAGCTCTATAAAGTACAGGGGGGCGCTATGCTCTCGCTCAGGTTATCTGAGAACCATCTTACAATGTAAGTGCGGGGTAACAGAATTTAGCTGTCAAAGGTTTTGATGATCTTTTTTTTTTTTTTTAAATCAATGTTAAAAATGATGTTTAAAAAAGCACCAATAGGTAACAATTGACCTGCTCTGATTCAATCTCCATCTTATCTTCTCTGTACTAAATGCTTTTTATGTTAATGCTTTTAAAACACGTCAGTATAACTTACTTTTAACAAATTATTTTATAATGTGGAAATTGTATTTTTTATTTTAAAACAGATATGAAAGCGCCTGTCACTGGTCTTTATATTTAAAATCACCTACCACACTTTTACCTACCTGGTTTCCCATGATGCATCATTGTAGATCACTTCCCAGGAGCTTGTTCTGTTGTCATAAAGCTCCACAGTAACAAAAGTTTTATCTCTCTGTAATGAAACCACAGGACGCAGCATGTGAAAGGATACAAAAGACTGAAGAAAGAAGAGACAAATAGGTTAAGTTGAAAAAGCTTCTGGTCTTACAATGTCTCCAGAATGTCTCGGGTTTCCTGCTACGAATGTGACCAAGACAACATCCCCCTGAAAAAAACCCCAATAAAATAATTTAGTTGGTGCTGCAGGATCTTCAGACAGAATAAAACAGGGCCCAGTACTGAATTCTGAGGGACACCATAAAACAAAAACTTTAAGCAGAAGAAGCTGTGTGTGTCCTACTTGTCTGTAGATGGGGTAAACCTGCTGCAGGACGTCTCCGAAGCTGCTGTTCTCTGGTTTCCTGTCAACAGTTGCAGCGGAAAGGAGGTTGAAGAGTTTCTCAAAGAAAGGAGGCTCGGGGCCAATTGGGAGCTCCGACACTCTGTCCTGAAAACACAAAATCACACAAAGCATCACTGTAAATGCTCCTGGTAAAATACAATACGGTTTAAGAAGCTACTGTTCATTTTCCCTGTCTTACTTTTTTCACAAGGATAATTTGACATAAAACCTTGAACTAGATCACTCATAATATTTTGGGGAATTTAAACAGAAAGTATAATGTTGTCATGGCTTAAGCTGTAGCTAACAAGTTTCTCCCTGTTATTTTCAGACTCAGTCTATTTAAATATTTTCCTGAATTAGCTGTTAGCTGCTCTTCTTAGTAGTGTGCACATACATGTACAGACACTTATCATTGGATTAGTTTTGTACTGGAAAAAACTGAAAAGCAAACACAATACATGGATTCTTAGGCAAGTTTTGACTTATTCAGAGAACAAGTTTTGCTGTAATGTGAAACTATATTTTTGATGTTTATTCCTGATGTCAGGGATAATTAATTGTTTGTGGAGAGTTGGTTGAACAGAATTTAATGATATTTGTTTTATGTATTTGTGGTTGAATAAATTGTATTATTGCTCAGAAAAAAGTGCAATCTTGTCATGCAAATTGTGGTGGCAAGTGTGCTCCAATTTCCTCAAATACCTTCTTACCCTTACAATAGCGCCATCAGCCATAAAGCTACAGCTACAGTTTTCAGTTGTTTACATAAACCTGCATGCACATGTCTTTTTCACTTCATTCATATTCACTTCATTTTTCAACATAATCTCACCTGTGCAATGGCTCTTGCCAGGCTTCTGTACTGCTGTAGGTACGCACTGAGCGTGTGTGGACCATATATGGTGGAGGCTCCTTCATATCGCTGCACCTGTAAAAAAAAAAAAAAAAGTTGACAGTTGATAGTAACGATCAGTTTGAATCTTTCTAATTTGATGGACGGCTTTTAATAGTTCAGTTCCCATGACCCTCAGCGTCGATGTACCTGGTACTCTTCAAAGGTGGTGATGTAGTGAGTGTATATGTTACTCAGGCCAGCGATCACCACCTCTACATCCTTGAATGCCCCCTCAGATTGGAGCTCCTGATGCACACACAAACTCACATTTGGTATGATGATATGTTACAGGTGAGTATCAGTGCAGATGTTTGTGTTCATTGTGTCTTACCTGTTTGACTGCTTCTCGTAGCCTCCTACCTGACATGGTGCTGTTAACGTGCAGAAAAACCGGTAAAAATGAGTTGTGTCGTTGTATAGTTAGTACTTTTACCATTTGCAGTATTAGCAGCAGTATTACAATCATGAGAGGTAGTGTCTTTATTATAAAAGTAAAATGTTGTTACGTCATTTCTCCAGGAACTGCTACGATAGCTACGGAGCCGATGGTGATGATCTGAACATCGACGATCTGAGGATGCCATGGCAATGGCCAGTTCATCTACACACACACACACACACACACACACACACACACACACACACACAAAGTCTTTAATAATACAAACACATAAATGCACCTTTAAAGTAAACTTTGTAGAGGTCAAATTTTAATTTGTGATTTATATTGTACATTGGTTATATATGGATGTATCACACATTTTGTATAGGTCTTATTTTATAATTGTACAGGTTTAATTTTGATCATATTTCTGTTTCATTTAAATGTTTGTACAGGTTTGCAGGTGAATAGGGGGTACAGTGGGTTTTGTTAGATGTAAAAAAAATGTTTTAAGTCATGTGTCTTGTAAGTTGCTACTACTATCTATCTATCTATTTATCTATATAAAATGTACTATTTTTATTGTGACCATTTATTTTTTCACAAATTGAAGATGGTCCCCACAATGTGATTGTGTAATCACAACTTTGTCCCCACATTGTCAGTAAAACAAGTTGCACACACACACACACCTAACAAATAACAGATGCACATTAACAAACAGAAACACAACACTGTGTAAAAGCTCATCCTCACCTCCCCCGTGCTAAACAGGATCGGTTTCGGATAGTGACACTCCTGTGTCTCATTGGACGGTTCCCCCACCAGAGCATCTCTGATCCCGTCCCAGAACGGGTCGCCCTCCACAGCGCCTACATGAAGTAACGCAGAGGACAAGAGACAGGTACGCAATGAGAGAGAAAGAGAGAGGCTCAGTTAGACAGAGATTCAAAAATGTAACAGCACAGTGAAAGTAGAAAAACAGTAAAATCACCCTGAGTGAAGTTAAGATCTCCTCCTCCGTCTGTGGTTCCTGCTGCAAAACTGTGACCCAGAGCCGGTTTACACGTTTTGACCTGAAACATAAATAAATTTAATAATTATTCTGCTGACTAAAAGAGATACATATCTTATGACTAAGATTTTCAATACTTTATACCTTGTTTTTCAAGCCAAAACGATGCCAATGTATTTGTACGATTTAGACAATGTGATGTAGTTTGCTTGCAACTTTTAATATTTAAAGACAACACATTACCCAATAATGTGTGCCTAGGACTATTCAAAACATCCCTGTAATGTGTGGCTGTAATGTTAACATAAGAAGGGAAATTTCAAAATTTTTATTTTTTATTCTGTAATTATTTTTGTGACTTTAACAAACACAATTTCCCATAAGCCCACAAAACAACACAAGATGCATCTTTAGACAAATGCTTTCTCTTCATGGCCACTGACCGTGTGTGTATTGTTGATCTGAACAGTAACGTCCGTCATGTTGACCCACTGATGTGCGGAGTGAAGTAAACCTGTCACCTCTTCTGCTGTGTTAGCATACAGCTCCTGCAGGGGGCAGCATCACACACACACATTTACACATATCTATGTTAGAGAAGAATCTGTACTGATTTATGGTTCACTGTACATTTCTTCTCATATTAACCCAAAAACAAGACCTAAAATTCAAATAAAAACCAAAAAAATGTTATGGGTAAAATTTTGGGACATGGGAATGTGGGTCCTCATAAACCAGGTAAACAAACACACCGATTTAAACATACTGGGGGAGATGCAATAAAAGTCAGACACACACACAGAGCTACCTTGGCCTTCTTGTAGATATTTTCTCCGATGATTCTCGTGCTCTCAAACATGTCCTCTCCAGGTCCGAACGCCTTACACTCCTTAGTCTAACACACACACACTTCCAGTTAACTTTCTGCTGATTGTACTGAATTTGTGTGTGTGTGCATGTGTTTGTATGTATGTGTGTGTGTTTACCCCGCCATCAGGACAGGAGCTGTTCAGGTAGTCACAAGGCATTCCAGTGTTCATACAGTGAGGTCCTTTAGTGTTCGGACTGACGTCACCGAGGTTACTGGAGGAAAAACCAGCAACAAAACCTCCCTGATCACACACACACACACACACACACACACACACACACACACACACACACACACACAAAGTTAGACAAGTGATATGGAGACCAGGAATAATAGTTGCACAATCTTTTGGGGAGATATAACCAACTGTAATTCACCTGTCCAGGTAGCTCTCCAGGGTTCTTGTCCTGTTCCAGCAGGTAGGAAGCGTAGCCCATGTTATCGCTGCTCACCATCAGGTTGGTGTAGTTCATGCTGACGGCGTGGACGGCGAACCAGCTATGTGTGTGTGGGGGGCGGAGTCAAAGCAACAGTCAGGTAAATAGATAGCAACTTGTAAAGCAGCTTAAAGACAGTTTTAAATTTAATTGTCAATAAATAAACATGTTTTTACTCCAGTTTAATCAATCACATAATTGTTGTTTTTATCTAAATTGTAGATGCCTGTATTTAAAAAAGCTAAACTCATATTATTATAAAAATGAAGTATGCTGTGTGTTTACCTGAGCATACCTATCCCGTCTCCGTCCAGATCAGTGAACTTCAGGACCACCACCTGTTTATCAGTGTTCCACTTATACCTGAAGGGATCGATAAAAACAATAATCAATTATAACTTTATAAAATGTCTCCTCTCTTTTATGTGACTTCAGCAAACACAGATTAATCTCAGAGGTATTTACCAGAGACAGTAAATCAATACATAATGTAAATAGGGTTCATATTTTAATACACAATATATTAACTCTCTCTCTCTCTCTCTCTCTCTCTCTCTCTCTCTCTCTCTCTCTCTCTCTCTCTCTCTCGCTCATTGTCTACCTGTGTCTCTCGTCCTCAGGGTTGTTCATGTAGGAGTGAGGACTTCTGTTCAGGCTGCTGTCGTCCAGTTCTCCTATGCTCCTGTAAATCCTGCCCGGCCTCATGTTACTGTGGGCTATGTCTATACTCTGGAATGTAAGGTTTAATTTATTAATGCACGGTACATAAGGCTCTGTCTATATCCTGGAAACAAGGTTAAAATTATTAATTCATGTTATATCAGGCTCTGTCTATATCCTGGAAACAGTTTTAAAATTATTAATGGATGGTAAATAAGACACTGTCTATGCTCTGAAATGCAAAGATTTGCTTTTAATAATACATGTTACGTTAGACTCTGTCTAGTTCATGAAAAATAAGTTTAAATACTTCATACATGGCAAATAAGGCTCTGTCTACACCCTGGAAAAAATGATTAGAGTATTAATGTGTAATTAATAAGGCTCTATCTATATCCTGGAGACAAGGTTAAAACTATTGATGCATGGTACAGAAAGCACTGTCTATGTTCCAAAAAATCCTAGAAACATAGTTAAAATTAGAAACACATGGTACATAAGGCTCTTTCCATTCCCTGAAAACAAAGTTTAAATTCTAGAGTTTAAGAGTTTATGATGTTATGTCTGGTATGTAAAACTACTGGTTACAGAAACCAAGGTAAATATTTTTTTGTTAATATTAATAAAATCTTCACGTGCAGTGATTTGTAGGTTGGTTTGCTAAGTTTAACACCTGCAGCTGTTTGTTAAAAAAGTTGATTCATATGTCACCTTAACGATGCCGTTGACGAGCGGCTCAACCGACGCCTTGATGTAACCTTTACTGCTCATCATAAACAGAGTATACTGAAAATATCCACCCAGTCCACAGTGAGTGTGAGTCCCGCTTAGAACCACGTTATCCTGACCGTACAGATCCCCGTACTTCAGCTTCAAGGCCTGAAGAACCTGCACACACAAACACACAGACTCGAATAATTATCGTTTTTATTTTTATTATACACACATGCATGAGTTAGGTTTGTCAAAGTGTATGATCCTATGTGTGTGTGTGTGTGTGTGTGTTCACCTCCAGTCTTAGTCTCTGTGAAATCATTCCCACGTCTGCGGTGACGAACACAACTCTCTTCCTCCAGTCGTCGATGATGAAGGCTCGGCTGAATAGGCGAGTGTGTATGCCTGCAGCGTTCTGCTGAGGGTTTGCATAACCCATCTAACAATACACACACACACACACACACACACACACACACACACACACACACACACACACACACACACACACACACACACACACACACGCACGCACACACACAGCTGTGTCTTTATGCCAACACTATTATCTTAATTTTCCTACAAGGAACCTTTTGATCTCAAGCTCCATTTATTTCTGACTCAGGAATTCTCATTGGAGCAGAATCTCTTTTCAGACCTGGCGGGAGCAAACGAAGAACCACGACCTCAGATTCTTGTCTCCTTCATGCATCACTGCAGACCAGCTCAGATGAAGCCAACAGAACCAGAGAGATGTGACGCAGCAGGTTGTTTATGATCGGACTGTAGAGTGTGATATCTTGTCATATCTCAGATTTCCACAGTGAAATAAAAATAAAGATTAACAGTCCAAACACGCCCAGTCTACACTGGAGACTTTGGAATTTGATTCCCGGATCATCAAAAGTGTTTGGATATTCTTTATGTTCTTCAGTGAGCTGCTGCTTATATGTGAAGCCAAAATCATGTTTACATATAAATACACCTTCAAATGTTAAAAGAAAAAGTGTTTTGTTTCTAAAGTGGTGAACAGATGTCTTTGAAGGTTTGTTCCTGTGTTCAGAAACGTAAAGAATCAACCATGATGATCATCACTTTAAAGTTTGTTATTGTCTCTATACTGTTCTATTCCCCTTGTTAGGTTAGCTCCACCATTCAGATATCTACTGACACAGCCTGTTTAGCATCCCCTGTTGCCATGGAAACCTGCAGGTACTGACCAGAGGGATTTCAGCCGGCGGCCCGGTGCAATCAGCTCGACCGACGCCGATCAGATAAGGTGTATGCTGAGGCTCCGGGGTCGGAGGAAGAGTCGGCGAGGGACCTGAGAGGATGACAGAGGAGGGAGAGTGTTTGTTTTTTAAAAGAATACTCTGTTCACTCGGGATCTTGAGAAAGGCGCTGGAATGTATTCGTTATCGTGGGTAAACAGAGTAATGCCAAGGTCAGACTACACAATCTTTTTGTCCGTCACAATGGTCACTTTGTCAGATTAGGCGATCACATAGCCATACGCTGTGACTTGACCAACAGACATGACAGGGTACTCGGTGGTACCCCACCAATCATCGAGGTCATTACACTTGAAGGAAGACAAGGGGGCCTAGACGACACCCGGAAAGAAGACTACTGTGTGTGTAAAGCGCTCTGGGCTCTCATTGGTCAGCGCTACTTATTTGATGGAACACATTGTTGGCCCAAAAAGAAAAAACTAACATGTTAGACTTTCTGTCGGGAAGTCCTGAGGCATCCAAGATGTGGCCTTGATTGTGTTTCAGTATTACACACTACATGGGATAAAATTATCAATTTCCCGGGGTCTCCTGGAACGAGCTAAAAATCATGCTGATAACGTGTAGTCTGATATTGGCATAACATTAAATGTATAGATAAATGTCCTGTTTAGGCTTCTGTAGTGACCACCTGAAAGCTACACAAAGAACCTTAAAATAAGCTGATTTCATAAATGTTGTTTTTACTGTCTTTAAATCTAATGTTTAAACACAAACCAAAAACACATTTTCCTAAATAAATTTTCTGTCTATGATCTCAGCTCAAAGCTCATTGGTCCTCACTGAAGATATCATTTGTAGTTCTTTAGTGTATGTTTAAAAAAGTCACAGCTGATCTCTGTAGTTCTTATCAATCAAATAGGAGGAAACTGAACGTTTGTGGAGGACTATTTTCAGCAGCGGATGAATCAGCATTCTGTGCTCTGGTTGAATAACATGCAAGCTTTGTTCTGTGTGTCTGTCTCTCTATGTCTGTGTGTTAGTGTGTTCTCACCTGTGTGTGTTTCTGTAGCCATTAGTGCGATCAGTGTCACACTCACGGCTGTCATGAGGACAAACAGGACAGCGAAAATCAGCTCCCGTGCAGAAAGACCACAACACACAGACTTCCTGCTCCCCATGATGTCGGACCGTGTGGACACGAGGGGTCTGAAAGGATCAGACACACAGGAGCATTCTGAACAATGTTTGCACAGCACAGGTAAAAGATACAAATGAACATAACATATAGCTAAATGACCTGAAGAACAAAAACAAATCCAACAGCCAAAGAAACCAAACAACAAAATACCCAACAAACATATTCAACCCAACCTTCACAAACCATTCATAAGAACCGTCACAAGAAACCATCACAAGAACCATCACAAGAAACCATCATAAGAACATCACAAGAAACTATTATAAGAAACCATCATACAAATCCATCATAAGAACCATCACAAGAAACCATTATAAGAAACCATCATACAAATCCATCATAAGAACCATCACAAGAACCCAGCATAAGAACCCATGATAGGATCCATCCTACAAACCATCACAAGAACCAATCGTTAGAAACCATCTTAAGAACATCACAAGAAACCATTATAAGAAACCATCATACAAATCCATCATAAGAACCATCACAAGAAACCATTATAAGAAACCATCATACAAATCCATCATAGGAACCATCACAAGAAACCATTATAAGAAACCATCATAAGAACCATCACAAGAAACCATTATAAGAAACCATTACAAGAAAACATTATAAGAAACCATCATACAAATCCATCATAAGAACCATCACAAGAACCCAGCATAAGAACCCATGATAGGATCCATCCTACAAACCATCACAAGAACCAATCGTTAGAGAACATCACAAGAAACCATTATAAGAAACCATCATACGAATCCATCATAGGAACCATCACAAGAAACCATTATAAGAAACCATTACAAGAAACCATCACAAAAAAACAATATAAGAAACCATCATAAGAGCCATCACAAGAAACCATTATAAGAAACCATTATAAGAAACCATCATAATAACTCATCATAAGATCCAACATAGGAAGAATTCTGTACTCTAGAGCACAGCTAGTCTTCCATTAGGTCCACATAAAAAAACATGTTTGAGGCTGTATTTGAATGTAACATGAAAACATGATTAAGCCTTACAGGCCACACAAACCATCACATTTAGAAGAGAGAACTATGTGAATCTAAACTATACAAACAAACATGATCATGTCAAACCCGAGACATTAATTTAAAACATGAGGTCAAGATAAACTTAAGTGCACAGTAACTTTGTTACTTGTCCCAAGGTGTTTCTTTAGTCAGTAACAGCTGTAAGGAATTCCATGTTTTCATTGCTCTGTATTTGACTGTTTGTTTAAAGAAGTTGGTGTTTGCATTGGGTTGTAAAAAATGTCCTTTTGTCCCTCATCTGGTGGCGTATGTATACGATTCTAAACTTTAGACTTTGTTCTTAATTCAACACTAGCCGTAGATTAAATTTTTATCGGTACCGTTGCTGTCTGTTCAAAGTAAAGTTTTATTAAAGTTTATAGTTGCAGCTAGCAAGTTACAAATGGTTGAGAGCAGTCAGAGATAACAGTGAAAGTGACTTTCAGTAACAGCCGTGGCAGCGTCCAATCAGAGAGAATTTAACAATGTAAACAAGGAAATACTTTTCCACTGAGTCACAGCGGCATGATGGACTCCAAAAAAACCACAGAAGAGCTCAGACGTTAAATTAATCAGAATCTACTTTAAGAGAAAAAACTCACCTTGAGTTTAGAGCAGAGAAAGTGTTTGTGTTGATTCTGATGTGAAGGTCTGAGAGCCGCTCGGCTGTTATCTCGCTGATAAACAGGTAATTTCCTCTATCACTCCAAAGTTCACACACCTGAGCCTCTCTCAGATTATAAAGTATAGATAAAACACATTATATAAAGACACTATAATTATTATTAACTTTTGAAAAGCTGTTTGGTGTTTGAGTTTGAGTTTGAGCACAGAAAGATTTAAAACTGTCCCAGCTCAACATCCACTGCAGCGTTTCTTCAACAACTTTCTACCAAATATATTCACCTAACCTTTATCTGTTTGAGCCATGGTGAAAAGTGCTGAATAATCCTCTACCCAGTGTCTTATCTGCTTATTTGTCTGCAGTGGGCAAAACGTTTCTGATAACCTGACACAAGGGATAATAATTATAATAATAATAAAGTTTATTTATAAAGCAATTATCAAAACCAACGTCACAAAGTGCTTTACAGAAAAAAAAAAAAATCCCAACAGTCAAATGCACAACAATAAAATCCTATTAAAAGCATGAAAAATAAAACAACAGTGCAGGCAATCATCCAATTAACAGAAAAAAAGGGAAACAACCGAGACAAAGAAAAACATCCTGGATGAAAAAGGATTATATGTAAACAAAATGTAGATAAAAATGTGTTTTTAAAAGTGATTTAAAAGAAGATACTGATGTAGCTAGTCTGAGATCCTCAGGCAGGTCGTTCCACAGCCGAGGAGCCCGAGCTAGAAATGCTCGATCTCCTTTAGTTTTCAAGTTTGAGGGGTGAACAGTAAGGAGGTTCCTGCCTGAGGATCTCAGATTACGCACTGGCAGGTAAGGGGACAGCAGTTCAGAAATATATTCTGGGGCTAGACCGTGAAGTGCTTTAAAAGTAAGAAGTAAAACCTTAAAATCAATCCTAAAAGAAATGGGTAGCCAGTGTAAGGTCATTAAAACAGGAGTGATATGTTCTCTCTTCTTCGTTTTTGTTAAAAGTCTCGCGGCTGAATTTTGCACGATTTGGAGACGGCTGATTAATTTTTGGTTTACACCTGTTAAAATACCGTTACAATAGTCTAATCTTGAAGCGATAAAAGTATGAATGATTGTTTGTGTGTCGTTAAAAGAAAGCATTGATCTTATTCTCGCAATATTCCTGAGGTGGTAACAGCATGACTGGACAATTTGTTTTGTGTGTTTCTCAAAGGTGAGATTGCTGTCAAAGGTCACTCCCAGGTTTCTGACATTTTGCTTTACATTAAAGGATAGAGGACCAAGGGAGGAGAGGACATCTGGGTGCAACTTATCAGGGCCAATTATTAAAATTTCAGTTTTGTCAGCGTTTAATTTGAGAAAATTTGCTGACATCCATTTCTTAATGTCTGTAAAACAATTTATGAGGTCTTCTAGGTTTGGAGAAGCCCTTTGGTCAATTGGGAGATACAGCTGTGTGTCATCAGCGTAGCAGTGAAACTGGATGGGCATTGAAACACCAAACAAGGGTTAGGGTCTTTATAAAACCCAAATTGACCCATTATCACTGGAAAACCAGTGTCGTTATAACCGAGATAAACAGGTAAAAAAGTCAAGACCTTCACCAAACAACCAAAATGTTGACATTATCATGGGAAAACTGAAAATCAAATGCATTGATGCATGTTCTCATAGGGCTTCTGTAATTATCAGAGAAACTTCAAGGACGTCCCTTAAGGAAGTTATATTATTGTAAGATATCAGATTTTTGGATTCTGATGCATGAATGTTAGAACGATATTTTACTGTAAATGCTCCAGATTGAGACACCTTCACTTTGATAAGTAAGTCTAGTTGTTCAGAGTTTAAGCTTCAGTCCCAAAAGTGATTAAACAAACTGACATCTTTTGTTTGTAGTTCCTGATAAAGAAAAATCACAACCAAACTTGTCACACATTTTTTAGAAGTTTATTTTTGGAAGATTTAAGAAGCTTTAATGTGATAGATGTGTATTTGAGGTTTTCTCAGCGAGTAGATCAGTTAAAGTACGGTGTGGGGTCGCTCTTGTCTTTCATCTGGACGTGGACATGTGATGTAATTCCTGGGTAAACTTGCTGCATCGGCAGCATGACGCCGATCCTCTCCCCTTTCCTGACAGTTCCAGAGACTCGATCCGGCCGAACGTAGAACAACTTGAATGTCAGATCTGCAGAAACACTTTATTTCAGTAAGAGTTCAAAATAGGGTTGTCATGACACCAGATTTTCAAACTTTGATATGGTACGGCTGTGGCTCAGTGGTAGAGTGGCTCATCGCTCAACAGAAAGGTCGGGGGTTCGACCCCCAGCTCCTGCAGCAACATGTCGATGTGTAAACCCCAAGATGCTCCCACTGCTTTATCATCCTACAATTATATGTCACTTAAGCTAACTCAGAAAACTAGGAATTCACACAAATATTTATAGCAAAAATCGACAACATGTCTCACGTAGATGTATTCGAGTAGAAAGTAGAAAAAATAAGCATAATTTTAGATACAAATACCTTAAATTTGTACTTCAGAATTAAGTAAAAAAGATCGTTATAAGATATGTGTGTGATAGACTGACCCCCTCCACTCAAGTTGATGCCGCTGTTGATGGCGGCTTTGTTGGGGTCGTTGTAGACGGTGAGTTTCCCTTCCAGAGTCACGTCAAACGGAGCGTAGACAACCGATCCGTCCTCGCACACGATATCCAGACCTTTATGCGTCCTACTGCCCCTGAAACACAGTAAACATCTAGCTTTAACAGCTGATTCATGTCCACAGAGTCTACAAGACATTTGGGATAATGCTTAGCAGGGTGTCCATTATCAGGGTTTTTTGAACACCTGATTATGGACATTTCAAAGGATAAGATTACACACATACTAGTGTAATTTGGGGAAAAAATAGGATGATTTATCTCTTTTTTTTCATGAATATAAAACATATTACAGTTCAGTTATTTATAGTCCTCTAGCTGTCTAGCTGTTGAATGATTCAGTATGAACAGTGTGATCCTTTTTCATACTTAAATATTGTGGCCAATCTAGTAAACAGCCGGGCATTTCTTGCAAACACATTTTGGAATTTTGGAACGTACTAAACACTAATTGTGACGTCATTTTTAGCATTAATTGTATCAAAGTCTGCGGTTACGAACACAGTCAAAGATTTGCACCTACAAATGGTCGGCCATGTTTACTGTGGTCAGCCTGAAGCAAAGAGCTGAATCATCAAACATGTTTACTGTGGTTTACTGTGAATGGAATGTGAGATGATGTGGTCCACAGTATCAGTGAGTTCAGAGGGGCGGTGTACTTCCTGCATCCTCTGTGGTACAGGTGCCATCCTGTGTGTGTTCAGGGGTACTGCAGGACTGTTGGAAAACTAAAGTTTATTTTTTTCCGCATCCCCTTTCTTGAGCTACGTCCCAGTCTGCAAAGTTTTTAATATTCGACCGACTGATTAAAGAAATGCCTCTCATTATTAAATTTAGACGTAAGCTTGTTAACAAACTGCATCATTTTTAAAAAGAGGCTTTTACTGCATCCCGGTAACTTTTGTTTTTCAGTTTAGATATTTCATTTTTCAGCTTCAAAATATATAAAAGAGTGTTACCTTCCGGCTCCATAGTGTCCCTGTCCCCAGCTGTCGCTGATTCTCCTTCTGTTAGTAGGGTTTCCACTGCACAGCTGACCAAACTGTTCGCCATCACACACGCACAACACAGCTAGACACACACACACACACACACACACACACACACACACACACACACACACACACACACACATACACACACACACACACACACATGTTTAAATAACTTTAGGAGACATCACACTGACTTAAAAGTAATTTTCTGGACATTTATCCTATATAAATATTATATTATTGAAAAAAGTTTGAATCTTGACATTTATTATCTGCGGTCCAGATTCATGTCCCCAAATAGGACACGCGTCCCCACATTGTACTACAAACATGTACAGTCAAAACACACAGGGCAAAAGTTTCTGTTTATATTTTCTTTCTAACAAACAAAAGTGTTAACTATTTGTCATTATAGATAAATATTATAATTTCCTCTTGCATATCTTCTGTGTAAAATAATTCATGTAAAAAATTACAGTAAATAGATTTAATCAGTGGTTCTCAACTCGTCGAGCCTCAGGACCCAGAGAGAGCAGAGAAATATTTAACTTCCATGTTCAGCAAAATGAATGAAATTGCAAAAGTCTGAGTTTGAAAGGTCAAAAATCTGAAGCTTGATTGATAACAAAGTTAAATTTAAAGCTGCTGATTTGTCAGATTTAATCTGAATTAACGATGTCTCTGTTTCTCACCCAGCAACACGACGACGACTCTCATCTTCAGCTCTGAAAGTTTGATCCGGATGATCGAGAGTTTCTTCTGTTTTAAGGTAAAAACTGAAGCTTCTCTCAGGTTTTATAGACGCTGATGTTCCTCTTTCAACAGGTTGGAAAGTCCGCACGGAAAAGCAGAAGCAGGTCAACAGTTTGTTTTCTTGTTTCTTATCGGGGACTATTTATTATTTCTCAACAAAGAGGACGTCCTGCTCACTGTTTACCTATCCTCACCTTTGATCTCAGCATTTCCCAAACACACGCCAAGGAGCCGTCCAATCACCTTCTGTTTTTACTGCTTTGTTTTGAAATTAAAACTGAACTACACCCTCAAGAACAATTTACAGAAAAGTGTCAACAGATATTATTTGAATAAGCACTCAGAAAGCACCTTCATTACCTTCACCGTTTTAATGGATTCAAAGAGACATTTTGAACATTAAATCCAAATAAAATACAGCTCCACATACATGAGGAAAGGAAGTTCCATTACATTTATAATAAATCTATATTAAGTTTTAAAGTGATTTTTTAAGAAGTATCTATTTTGGGGAATATTGCATCACATATACTGTGCGATATAGATGTACTTTGGTAGATCAGCCCTGATGCTGGTCTGTGTTTAAACTGTTTACCTGTCCTCACCTTTGATCTCAGCATTTCCCGAACACAAACTGTCAGCATGCCATGGAGCCGTCCAATCACCTTCTGTTTTTACTGCTTTGTTTTGAAACTAAAACTGAACTACACCCTCAAGAACAATTTACAGAAAAGTGTCAACAGATATTTATTTGAATGAGCGCCATACCTTCACTTATTTACTCCGTTTTATTGGTTTCAAAGAGACATTTTGAACATTAAATACAAATGAAATACAGCTCCACATACATGAGGAAAGGAGGTTCCATTACATTTATAATAAATCTATATTTATTAAGTTTTAAAGTGACCTTTTCAAATGTTATTCATACAAGATTAAAAATAAAAAAAACAGATTTTTTAATCATATTTGTGATGTTTATGTCTCTTAATTCTTTCATTTACCAAAGTCTGCAGTGATTTAATCCCTGAGAGCTCATACGTCATTATATCACATCAAACACACACAAACAAATATCCACCTTTTATTTTAAACAGGCATGGCAACTTTACAACAATCTATACAAACTTGAAAAACATCTATACAATCTTAAATCACGGCCTGTGCAAGTTATGAATAAATCTACAAACGTTCATGTCATACATTCAGTCTTCACATGTTTTAAAAAGTTAGGTTCAGGAGTAAAATATATTTATCTGTTTTCATATTCTAAATTAACCTTTCAGTAGATTCCATCTTCTATCTCGGAGAATATTGCACCATGTTTACTGTACGGACTAGATGTACTTTGGTAGAGGCTGGTCTGTGTTTTAAAGGGGACATGTTATGAAAAATCCTCTTCTACAGTGTTTCTGAACATATATCTGGGTAACCTGAGAGTCTACTGACCCACAACATGTGAAATAAATCCATGTTTGTAGTCTGCATAAGTCTTACAACACAGAGAAAAATGCTCTGTTTCTAATGTGCTCTCCTTGTGATGTCACAGTGGGATTCTGATAAAAAAAAATAAAAAAATCCCCTCCCCTCCCCTGGTATCTCCACCCATGGACTCCACCCCCAGCATAGAACAAAACTTTTGAGCAGGTCGGCCATTTTTATTCTCTCTACAGAGGAGTGATGTCTACGGGGAAAACTCAGGGGGCGTGGTCACTGCATTTAAAGAGACACACACACACCAAAACGGAGCGTTCTGAGAGAGCTGGTTTATACAGGGTCACAAACCTCCTCTGGTGCTTGATTCATGTTATATTTTGACCAAAGCACAGCACAGATGTTTCATTTAGACCACAGGGGACTGTTTGAAAAGGTGGAGGAGGACTGTTTGAAAAGGTGGAGGAGGGGACTGTTTGAAAAGGTGGAGGAGGGGACTGTTTGAAAAGATGGAGGAGGACTATTTGAAAAGGTGGAGGAGGACTGTTTGAAAAGGTGGAGGAGGACTGTTTGAAAAGGTGGAGGAGGACTGTTTGAAAAGGTGGAGGAGGAGGACTGTTTGAAAAGGTGGAGGAGAGGACTGTTTGAAAAGATGGAGGAGGACTATTTGAAAAGGTGGAGGAGGAGGACTGTTTGAAAAGGTGGAGGAGGGGACTGTTTGAAAAGGTGGAGGAGGGGACTGTTTGAAAAGGTGGAGGAGAGGACTGTTTGAAAAGGTGGAGGAGGGGACTGTTTGAAAAGGTGGAGGAGGGGACTGTTTGAAAAGGTGGAGGAGAGGACTGTTTGAAAAGATGGAGGAGGGGACTGTTTGAAAAGGTGGAGGAGGGGACTGTTTGATAAAGTGGAGGAGGGGGATGATATGTCCTCTTTAAAACGACCTCTGTCACTTCATCTGTTTCTTCTGCACTACATTTAACCCTGTGATTCTTAAACACTACCTGTTGTTAGTTCTGGGCAATATATCAAGTTTTTAAGATTTGTCGATATATGTTTAAACAAGACAAGAGGGTAAGACAATCTCGTTTGTATCAGTATAGTTTAATTTGCGTTTTAATAATGTTACATGTTTCTTCTGTGGCCAGTTTGCCCGCTCTCACTCTGTCCCTCTTCACCCTGCTCCGCCTCTCTCCCTCTCTAAGGCCTAGTCCAAACGTGGACGTTTTTTTTTTAAAAACGCACCTTTAATAAAACTCCTTCCAGGGTGAAGATGTTCAGAAACTCAGTTTAAGGTGTTTCTGTGAAGACGGGGAAAACAGAGTTTAGTTCTTGTGATGTTTAAAGTTTAAGCTTCTGGTTTCTCCTCTGTGTGTCATCTTGCGACGTAACCAAACTAGCGCTGGTGTTAACGTTGCTAACTGGACTTTTTACACGCTCACACATACACACACAGTTACTCTCCCACTATGCTGACGAGCAGAGACGCCTGAATGGACGACTTTGAAAATGAAACGGTCATTGCAGACGAATTGCGAGAACATTTTAGTAAGTCGTTTCGCGTTTTCATGTGGACGAAGATGTTTTGGTGAGTGTTGACAGGATTATTTTTTTAAACAGAGGAATTTGAAAACAGTACCTATTTACATGTGAAACTCAAAAACTGCCTGAATAATAAAAAACTCAGCTGTGTGTATTTTACTGAAAGGTTGCAAAAAATGTTGTGCAATATAAACAAAACTATCTCTCTTGCTGCAGCTTTTGGTTAAGAGCGTTGCAAATGTTGTTGTGAAATTAAGACAGTGTGATAGTTAAGAATTTACCTGTTACTGGGCACCAAAAACTTGCCGTGGTATCAAACAGGTATCATTTGATTTTGATTTTTGATTTTGACTAGAATCATATTAAAGTTTAAGCTTCTGGTGTCGTGATGATCCAGAGCGTAAGTGAGTCTGTAATAAATCAATCAGAAGTCCGTCAGTGATTTGGGTGGGGTGGGCGGGGGGGGCGTCTGTCGTCAGTTGAGCATCAGTCCCTCGCTGACGGGCATGTTGATATGGGCGGAAAGTAGAGGGGAGCTCCGCCCCTCATGCAGGACGAACACCTTGATGATGTCAGAGATGCCCTTGTCGCTGGTGCACTCAACGAAGGTCTCAACGGGGTAGATGAGTCCGGGCACCAGCAGCGGGATCCTCATGTACGGGTTCTTCATCCGGTACAGACCCTCGTCGAACAGGAAGCTGATGGCCAGGTTCATGACGGGCCGACACGCCGCCGTGTTCTGGACGTTCAGGGTCAGTTTGAAGGACGGGCCCAGGCCCTGCACCACGGCGTTCATCTTGAGCGGCTCGGTGAGGCTGGAGGACATCGGGGTCATGCTGGACTCCAGAGCTTTGACGTAGGCCTTCGCTGCAGCCAGACGCAGGCGGCTCAGATCCATCTGGAAGGCGCGGTGCATCGCAACGCCGTTCTCTCGCTCCCGGAGAGTCTGGTCCACGTACAGCTTGGTCTTCTTGGGCACGTTGAGGCGGATGCTCTGAGCCACCGGCGGCCCAGGGGCGCTGTCCCTGTCCTCAAAGGCCGCCGTCCTCTTCAGGATCTTCACCATCAGACCGCCTCCTTTGGTGGTCATGATGAGGGTCCCGTCCTCGCGCCCGTAGCGACCAAAGCAGATACTGGTTATCACGTCGGGGGTCTTTATGGTGCTCAGCAGGTTCTTATCCCGGTAAAGTTGGACCTCACAGTTAGCCAGACCCACCAGGACCGCCTGGAAACCCTTGGTGGGGAGGTCCATGGACGCCATAGTGCAGATGGGAGCAGGGAGGTCGACTCTCCACAACTTCTTCCCCTGAAGTCAAGAAAAGAGACTCAACATGTTAGATACTTTGATACTTTCTTGAATCATTTTGAAGTTGAAAATTCTGCTATGGTGACAGTTTTGTACCTTCTGCGTGAAGCCCTGCAGGCTCTCGTCGCTGCAGCCGACCACCATGTTCTTCCCGACCCTCACCAAGCCCACGGGGTGAGCCGCCAGCTCCACACAGTACTTTGGTTTGTCCGAGTCTCTGAGGAACAGCAGCACAGACATCTGTCAGGTCCTTGTCTTATTTTTGGATTCTTGACAGTAAAAAAAAAAAAAAGGGGTCAAGAGCTTACCTGCGGAGGATGTAGATGTTGCCGTTGCGACACGCCACTGTTATACGAAACTCCACGTCGTACTGGCCCGTCACGTCCATCATGGTGGGAGCAGTAGGCAGAACCATCTGAGACAGAAACACAGAAGCGTCGCACAAAAATGTATATCGAACATTACACGTAAGTGAAGCTTACAGTCAGAGCTCGAGGTCAAAACTGTAAAAACAGTAATTGAAAGGGGCCAGGTTCTAAACCCTGTGGTACTCCACAGGAAAATGTATTTGTACTATATGACTATACTTTGTTTAATTCACTTCTTCTTCGTCTTCTACAATTCAGCTTCATATCTAAAAAAAATGTTGTTCTCTTGAGGTATTGACAAGTATTGAATAATCCATAATTTTTACAGCCTCAGTGTGTTAGGAGGTTACCTTTGTGAGGATAATGAAAGCCTCGGGGTCGAGGATGTAGACATCGCTGCTCTCCGTGCCGATCACCAAACAGCTGACTCCGTCTTCATCAGCCGTGCTCTTCTTCAGAGTGCCGATGCACGTGATGACTGTCTGAGACATGCACAGGATTTATAATGTGTGAGAGTCCTGAGATAACTAGGTGTCATGGTTTGTCTCTGTATGAAGGAAAATTAAATAACGGCTCGTTTGTTTTTTTGTGTATGACACTAAACTACAGGTCGGGTTACATTTGGCAGTGTTGGCATTAGTAATGAGTCATCATATTAATCCTTCAACACGTCATGTCAAGATGTCACATATAGGATGATATTGATATAATGATGAGCGTTACCTGCCGTTTGATTGGCTGCTGCTTGTGAAGCTGCACAAACTCGTCCATGTCGTTTGTGTCCAGAGAGAGGAAGTGTAGCGAGCGGACGGACAGCGGTACATCGGCCTTGTTCCTGATGCTCTCCAACATCTCCTTCAGGGTCAGAGGGTCGATCTGCCCCTCCCTCACCTGCTGCCACACGTCCTGACCAATCGGAGCGCCAGATTTTAATGATCCATATCATCAAATAGTACCAAAAGCTTTAAAGACAATAAAGATAAAGGTGACCAACCTGCTCCAGTGTGTTCACATCCATCCCCGGCAGTGTGAACTTGAAGTACGGTCTCATGTTTTTGTAGACGTAGATGCAGGGTCCGGACGCCACGGCGACAGCGGGGATGCGGGGCTCGTGCAGGTCCATGAAGAAGGCGACAAGGCCAGCGGGAAGGTCGAGCAGGGTGCTCTCGCTCATCAGCGCAGTGCCCCGGTACACCTTCAGCTTCATCCCCGACGAGCCGGAGCCTAGGTCCCCCAACACCAGCCGGCTCTCCCCGTCCCCGCTCAGGTCAGCCAGGTCCACACAGGATGAGAAGGTGTACAGCCCCGCCACCGGGTCGTAGTGAGCATCCAGCCACTTCCCTCCATCGCCACCACTCAACTCCACAGAAGTCATGATGGTTGCGGGGGGGGGGGGGTCACTTCACACCTGATCTCTGTAAGAATTAGTCCTGAATTAAGACTGAGGTTGTGAACATTTAAATAAAATGTATCTGAGCTTTAAAGAAACTTCAGATCTTCAGTCATGTTAATGGTCTCAACCTGACGCTACAGTATAATTGGAAAAAACTGAACACACTGCCTATGTTCTGCCTAATTGTATTGAAGAGATAACTGAAAAAAAATGTGGAGAAACTATCAAATTCGAAGGACGTTTATAATTTGGATGCTCAATTCATTAAAAAATATAGCTCTATACTGATTACACCTCTGACTCATCTTATTAATTTATCAATTAGAACTTGTAAATTTCCGAGTAATTGGAAAAAGGCAGTCATTACACCAATCTTTAAAACAGGTGACTGCGATTTGGTGAGCAACTACCGCCCTCTCTCTATTCTCCCTGTAATGTCAAAGGTACTTGAAAAGGTTGTGGCGGCACAGGTTTTTGACCATCTGGAGACAAATCAGCTCTTACATCCTCAACAATTTGGTTTCAGACCAAAATATTCAACAGAAACTGCAAATAGTTTTTCATTGAGAATGTAAAGTAAATGGTAAATGGACTTGAGCTTATAAAACACTTTTCTAGTCTTCCGACTACTCAAAGCGTTTTTACAGCGCAGGTCACAGCCGCTCACACGCTGATGGTAGTGATCACTGTGTATCCATCAGAAGTAACTAATCACATTCACACACCACCACTGAAGCAGCGGGAGCAATTCAGGGTTAAGTGTCTTGCCCAAGGACACATCAGACATGTTGCTCAGCTGGGGATCGAACCCTTAACCTTCCGGTTGAGAGACACGACTCTAACACTTTTTTCCGTTAAAGTAATTTAATTGAAAGAATCACGAATGTTGGGAATAAATATTCTGAACTTTACAACATAAATAATTAACTTATAAAATCTTATAAACCCATTTTTTAAAGGAAACCCCATTATCAGTTACTATAACGACGCTCTCTCACCGTTGTCAAGGAAACCGTGTTGCTGCGTCTCCCACAGCCGCCCTTTATCCCGACTTCTGCCTTTTATAACGAAACAGTTTGACTTCTCTGCAATTAAAAAATCATGTAAACCGTTTCAGAGTCAGATTTTATCCAGTTAAAGGAGGTTAATTAGCAGCTAGCTGCTGTATCTGACGCTGTAATCCTCAAATCCACTCCAAATCCGACCCTCCTTCCTGCCCTCCGCTAGCGCTGGCGCCGACCGATGACGTCAATTTCATCCGCCGATGGTATGTATTTTTTTTAAGAATTTATAATCCTAAGAATAATACAATGAAAAAAAATTATTTAACGATATTATAAAACACAAAATTCAGTAGATTATAATTTACGTTATCATTGAGGCTACATAATCTCGCGAGTTTGATTCCGAGGGTGCGAGCGAGCTCTGCCTGACGTCACTCTGTGCCTGCACCTGATTGGTCGTCCGGTCTCAGTTTAAAAACTGAACCGCGGAGACGCGAGAAGCAGCTAAAGCTAACGTTACGGTCTTTTTCGACGTTTCTTACTTCAAATGTGATGCATGGTGAATAAAAAAACATCCGGAGTGAGTTAAAATGACCTTAAATATTCTACACCGTTGATTCCTTGCAACGTTTTGGTACTTAAAATAAGTTAAAAAGAATGAGCTGACGCGTGCATTCATTAATGGGGGTTAGCTTATGTGGCTAATGCTAACAACAAAGTTAACAGTTTTTAAACTCTTTGCTTTACAGTCTAACTACTTTGACCTTAAAGTGTCTGTGTGACCGAAAAGTAGTGATTGTTTGTAACCTAAGTGTGTTTATAATGCGGATTTAACTCTTCTTACTAATATTCACATTTAAGAGTATTATTATTATTATTATTATTATTATTATTGTTATTATTATTGTTGTTGTTGATAATAATGTAAACATGTTCTTTATGATCAGGATCAAACCGTGAAGTCGACATAGATATAATCTCCATCATAGTTTTCTATTTAAGGATTTAGACTTTAAAAATTGTGCATTTAATGATTTCTGGATTTTAGAATTCAATTCAATTCAAAAAACTTTATTTGTCCCCGGGGGGCAAAGACACAGAGCAGTAAATTAACAACAGTGCAGGTAGATGAAACATTTTAACCTCAATATAAAGTGTCAATTTAAATACAATTTAAAGTTTAAACTTAACTTAAATACAAATATAAAAGAGAAGATATAAGTGGACAGTGATCGGACTGACAGATGTAAACAGATGTAAACAGAACTATGTACAGTAAACGAGAAATAAATATATATATACAGAGCTATGTGCAAGTAGGCAAATACTAAATGATAAGTTATTAAGGTGAATAATGGAACAACAGAACTAATATATACAATATAACTGTAAAGGTAAAAATGAGATAAATAAAGTGACGGATAAGTGATAGTGATGGATAAGAAACAACAGGAATAAAGTAACCAGAACTGTATGAATACTGAAATAGAAAGGATAGAATAAAGTGATGTAGTGCATGAGACCAGATAGTATTGTTAACCGTTTTTAATCGATACTTTTTTGATGCCATTTATTTTAAAACAAGGTCAAGAGCAACATAATAAGCGTAATGATGATTTTACGTTTTTGTCGGCAGAGATGATGGAGTCTTGTTTTGCCGGGAAGGCAGAGAGAGTTGGACCGGTGGAGGTGGATGACATCAGGAAAGATCTGTTTGGTGAATTTGCCGCTCTTCCAGCCGAGGTCAGTCCGTCTGTCTCTTCCTGTATACATGACGTGCAGCTCACCGTTCTGCACGTTCCTGTAGTTATGTTTGTTCTTCCTCCTTCAGGACGCTGTTCCGTCACAGTCGGAGAACCTACAGGTATTCCTGAGGGTTCGACCTTTCACTGCAGCTGAGAGTGACAGCGAAGGTTCACAGGTAACATCAAAACACACACAGACTCTGTAGACAGGATTTTAAAATAAAATAAGGGATTTTCTTACAACACCTTTTTGACCATTTGTCTATAAATTCAACCGCTGAAAATCAGTAAGTTATAACAACGATGTTCTGCTCACCTTGAAGAGATGTGATGATAATTTTCGCTGCAGTTACATTACATTAAAGGTTTATTTGATTAGACAATTCACAGAAACAAGGAGCAAGCTCCAGATTTTTATACATGATTATTTATTCCTCTTATTTGTAACTTCAACATCTTCGGGTGTGAGACCGTCGGTTGGACAAAGTGTGTGCAGTCTTTCATGAGAAGCTGTTTTATGAGTTTCTTTGTTTTTAAGGAGTGTGTGACCATCGAGGGACCGGACACTGTGGTCCTGAAGGCTCCTAGGAGCTGTCAATCAAACAGACAGAATGAGAAGTCCCTCCCACAGACGGCACAGAGGTTCAGCTTCACACAGGTAACAGTGGCATCACCTGTCTCTCTGTGGCTCTGGTGAAGACCGTTAGATACATGAAGAAACTGTTTGTGGTTTACATCCTGTTTGTTGTTGTTGCTTCATCGAGCAAACATTCACGCTCCTCTCTGGTTGCTGTCTCATTGTTCAGGTGTTTGGTCCGGACTCCAGTCAGAGGAAGGTGTTCGAGGGTTCAGTTCGAGGTTTGGTCCGAGGCGTTCTGGACGGAGGAAACTGTTTGGTGTTCACATACGGGGTCACCAACGCTGGAAAGACCTTCACATTCCTCGGTCAGAAACACAGCCTGTCTGAAAATGGATCCGCTGTAGTCCAGCTTGTGTTTCCTTTTTTTTTTTTTTTTTTTTTTTTTTTATAAATCTGCTCTGTCTGTATCTCAGGTCCGGACCATGACTCGGGTCTGTTGCCGCGCTCTCTGTCTGTGATCTTTAACAGCATTGAGGGTCGTCTGTACAGCCGGGTGGATCTGAAGCCTCAGCGCTGCAGAGACTTCACCAGACTGACTCCAGACCAGCAGGCGGCAGAGCTCAGCAGCAAGAAGAACCTGCTCAGGCTGTTGAAAGAGGTCAGAGAGACACACACACACACACACACACACACACACACACACACACACACACACACACACACACACACACACACACACACACACACACACACACACACCATCTGTGCACAATGTGTGGGTGTTCTGTTAATAGTGTGTTTTTTTTTTTGTCTTTGTCTCTGCAGAGTGACAAAAATCTGACCGCTGGAAGATCAACGTTTCTTGATGGTCCGTGATATTTTTTACTCTGGAGTCAAATCTGCTGTTTCATCAAGTAAACCATGAGAAAACATATAACTCAAAGTACTGACTGTGTGTGTGTATGCTTGTGTTTCTGTGTGTTCAGGCTCGTCTCTCAGCACAGACAGCAGCGTGAACAGCACCTCAGACTCCGACAGTTTCTGTCTCGACGTCTCCTCAAACGTCCGTTATTCTGTCTGGGTTTCTTTCTGTGAGATTTACAACGACAACATCCACGACCTGCTGGAACAGGTACACACACATTCATTACTCTGAGTTTCAGCTTTTACCTTCTGGGAGAAGATTCAGGGTCCCTCAGACCGCTTTAAACATTAATTTGTGCTTTAATGTTCTTGAATTTTCTGACTAACAGGTGATGTAGGATGATGTGCAATAATAATCCTCAGTGTCTTGTAACCTTTAAATTAAACACCGTGTTCCCAAACTTTAACTCCAGGACCAGATTCCAAGTCTTTACCTGAATCACTCTGAGATATTTTATCACAGACGCTGCCTCCAAAAACTTTACAAAACGATCTTTAACACTTTGAAGTTATTCTCGTTATTGAGAAGTGAGGTGTCGACAAAACGCTCTCACTTTTAGACTCCATCCTAAAACTGATTAATCTGTGATTGATTTGTGATGTTCAGATTCCCGGTGGACACCAGAGGAGGACGGTGCTGCGTCTGTCTCAGGACGTCAAAGGAAACTCCTTCATTAAAGGTATCACTGTGTGTCTTCTTTATGTTTAGTACTATGATCTTTTACTGTGTTTGTAATTAAGTTAGTGCTGGGATTGAAAGAGCATGCTGTAGATTTGATTGGACCACACAAGGAGAAATTAGTAAATAATAAATAGGAGGTTTGTGAGATTAATGTATCATCTCTCCTCTTATATTTGATGATGTTATTGAATTCATATTGGTTTGCATTTGTCTCTAAATTCTTTTTAACAGTCTAACTTCCTGTCAAAAAAAAACTTTTCTGCACTTGCATTTGTCTGAAAGGTTTTTTATAAATAAATTTTGATTGATAAACTGCGGTTTAAGTTTCTATGACCTGTAAGCTTACAGTTGTAATGGTTTCAAATTTAAAGCATCTTTCTGTGTGTGTGTGTGTTTCAGACCTGAGGTGGGTCCAGGTGAACAGCTCGGAGGAGGCCTACAGAGTGATGAAGATCGGGAAGAAGAACCAGAGTTTCTCCTCCACCAGACTGAACCAGCTCTCCAGCAGGAGGTCAGCTGCTCCACGCTGTTTTCTGTTTTCATCAAACCTTTATTTATTCTCCAAAGGACATGGAGGTTTCCCTTGTTTACAATGTCGGCGAGGTTACAAGCACATTTTAAACACTCAAAAAACCAACACAAGTGGCTAAAATTCAAAATCCTAAACTCTGCAAGAGAGGGGAGAACTCCGATCTTTAGATTTTTAATGGAGGGCGTTTTATAAATTTGGGGCATCAGAGTTCAGTGAAAGCTTGAGGGACTTTAAGGGTGGTTTCACATTAGGGACCCGGGCCTGATCCGAGCACGCTTCACCCAAAGGTCCAGTTCATCTGATCAGTGTGAACACAAATGTACCGTACTCGGGTACCGTGCCAGAGTCCCCATCGAAGAGTTGGTCTCTGGCACGATTCATGAGTACTCATGTACAGTCAACTTCCTTATTTGACCACAATGTTCCTGCACAGGCTTGTTTTCTCTTCTGCTGCTCGGTACATATGGAAGTAAGAAGAGGGTCGTTGTTGTTGGCATATCAGAAATAACAAAACACATTAGCACAGTCAGCAGGAAGGACTCAGCCTACGAGTGGTTGCCATGGTTACGACTTCTTTCTGACTGTGTACATATGCAAGTGTAGTCGGGTACAGAGGCCCTTATTCATTAATCACTCATTTGAACGCAGACCAGCGGGGGGAGGAGGGAGGAATCATGCTCGAGTACGGTACGGTGAAAACACCTTTTAGAACAAGCCAATCAGTAGTACATGTCATGTTGAAGTAAAGTTGTAATTACTGTCGTCATTTAGTCTTTCCTTGCAACCTCTGGAAGATGAGCAGTACAATTAAAAACAAGAATGAACCAGGAATGTGTACTTTCCAACAAACTCGCCTTCTCTAATCATGTTTCTGTGTGTCTCTGCAGCCACAGCATCTTCTCCGTCAGGATCCTAAAAGTGGACGACGTTGGAGTTCCCAGAGTCCTCGGTATCAGCGAGTAAGCTCACACTTTATTCATTAAGAACGCCATCTGTACGAGAAGGGTTTAAAGTCGTTCCCTTTAGACATTCAGTACTGCTTGTAAATTATTATTTTTTTTGTCTTTAGGTTGGCTCTTTGTGACCTCGCCGGCTCCGAGCGATGTTCTCGGACTCAAAACACCGGAGAGCGATTGAAAGAAGCGGGAAACATCAACAGCTCTCTGCTGACACTCGGGAAGTGCATCAACGCCATGAGACTCAACCAACACGCCAAGTATGACATGTCATCGCCTCTGAACCCAGTCAGCCTTCTGTCGGAGAGAAATCGTATTCCCAAAAGACAGAAGAATAACTGATGACGTGTTTCTCTCTGCAGGTTTCAGCACCACATCCCCTTCAGGGAGTCCAAGCTGACCCACTTCCTGCAGTTCTTCTTCTGTGGTGCCGGCCGGGTCTCCATGGTGGTCAACATCAACCAGAACTCGTCCTGCTTCGACGAGACGCTCAACGTTCTAAAGTTCTCGGCTCTCGCCCAGAAGGTCAGCACAAACTCAAACAAAGAGATCGACAGTTTATCATAAAATGTGCTGTAAAAAATAAAAGTATAGAGGACTGAGAGTAGGTCCCTGAGGAACCCCTCTGAACTAAAAGGTTTTAAAATCTGTGGACTCTTTTTCTTACCAGGTGGTGGTGTTGAATACAAGGCCAGTTGTTGTGGACGAGGCCCCCCACAGGTCGGCCATGGAGCTGTCGATGATTATCGACGAGGCTGATCAGCGCAGAAACGTCTCCGGGCGGGGCAGGAAGAGCTCGCTGGTCGCTTGGGAAACGACCCTGGAGGACGTGCAGGAGGATGAGGACGGTGAAGACTGGGATGAGGAGGAAGAAGAGGAGGAGGAGGAGGAGGAGGAGAGTGCGATGGAGGGAACAGTGCTGGAGGCAGGAGGAGAGGAGGACGAGGAAGAGGAGGGGGACAGGACCATGGAGGAAGACCACAGGGTAAAGTTCAAATCAAAGCGTCCTCTCTTTTCTAAAAAAAAAAAAAAAAAAGTCTGTGAAGTCATGTATCAAAGAAGAAGAAGAAATGTTTCTGTGCTTCTTCAGTCCGACAGGGAGGCGGCGCTGCGTTTGGTTCTGGAGGCTCAGATCAGAGAAGAAGTCAGCACTGAGTTCATGGAGCTCTTCAACAAGATGGAGAAAGACTACAGGTAACTCGGGATCTTAAACTTTGATACGATTCCAGTAGAATCAAACGATATTGATACCTGTAAGATAGATAGATAGATAGATAGATAGATACTTTATTGATCCCGAGGGAAATTCAAAGCATCCAGGAGCAGGTTACAAAGACGTACATGACATGAAACATTTGTTACAAATTAAACCACAAGACCCCCCCCCCCCCAGTTCAAACTTAAACTGTGCAATTAAAAATAGACTTATACAAGAAATGTACATAACCCGTGCAGGGTTATGTACAGTTGAGGAAACAAATCTGTAATTAGACCTGAATATAAAAAATAAAAAAGTGTTGACCTTCTGAAATTGTGTTGTTTATATATGTACAGCAATGTTTAAAAAGAAGATCCAAAAAATGAATTATCAAAAAACAGACATTAAATAACGTGTGTGTGTGTGTGTGTGTGTGTGTGTGTGTGTGTCAGTGAGCGTCTGGAGAAGGAGAGAGAGATCATGGAGGAGCGAGCGGAGAAGAGGGTGGAGATCCTGAAGAATCTGGTCAACAAGACGGTCGACCTTTCTGCTGTCAACGCTGAGTCCACCAAGGTGATCACACACACACACACACACACACACACACACACACACACACACACACACACACCTGACTCATCACTGGTGATTATTGGTGATCACTTATAGTATTTATGATTTGTTTTTTAGCAGGAGCAGGAGGCTCTGTTAGAAGGATTCATCAGCTCGATGACTGAAGACCTGGAGAGAATCAAAGAAGACGCTCAGAGTGCTCAGCGCTGTCTGACTGAACACGCACATGTTGCAGGTACACACACACACACTCTGCAGATACACACACACACTGAAGGTACTGACACACACACACACACACTGAAGGTACTGACACACACACACACTCTGCAGGTACAAACACACACACAGACACACACTCTGAAGGTACTCACGCGCGCACACACCTTGCAAAGACTCACACTCTGCAGATACACACACACACTGAAGGTACTGACACACAGACACACACTCTGAAGGTACTCACACGCGCGCACACACCTTGCAAAGACTCACACTCTTGCAGGGTACACACACTCTCTTACTTGTGGTCGTTTCAGTGGATGTAACTTTGACTTGTTTATTGCAGAGCTTGAAGCGCTGCGACTGGAGAAGCAGCAAAATTCAAAATCCTAAACTCTGCAAGAGAGGGGAGAACTCCGATCTTTAGATTTTTAATGGAGGGCGTTTTATAAATTTGGGGCATCAGAGTTCAGTGAAAGCTTGAGGGACTTTAAGGGTGGTTTCACATTAGGGACCCGGGCCTGATCCGAGCACGCTTCACCCAAAGGTCCAGTTCATCTGATCAGTGTGAACACAAATGTACCGTACTCGGGTACCGTGCCAGAGTCCCCATCGAAGAGTTGGTCTCTGGCACGATTCATGAGTACTCATGTACAGTCAACTTCCTTATTTGACCACAATGTTCCTGCACAGGCTTGTTTTCTCTTCTGCTGCTCGGTACATATGGAAGTAAGAAGAGGGTCGTTGTTGTTGGCATATCAGAAATAACAAAACACATTAGCACAGTCAGCAGGAAGGACTCAGCCCACGAGTGGTTGCCATGGTTACGACTTCTTTCTGACTGTGTACATATGCAAGTGTAGTCGGGTACAGAGGCCCTTATTCATTAATCACTCATTTGAACGCAGACCAGCGGGGGGAGGAGGGAGGAATCATGCTCGAGTACGGTACGGTGAAAACACCTTTTAGAACAAGCCAATCAGTAGTACATGTCATGTTGAAGTAAAGTTGTAATTACTGTCGTCATTTAGTCTTTCCTTGCAACCTCTGGAAGATGAGCAGTACAATTAAAAACAAGAATGAACCAGGAATGTGTACTTTCCAACAAACTCGCCTTCTCTAATCATGTTTCTGTGTGTCTCTGCAGCCACAGCATCTTCTCCGTCAGGATCCTAAAAGTGGACGACGTTGGAGTTCCCAGAGTCCTCGGTATCAGCGAGTAAGCTCACACTTTATTCATTAAGAACGCCATCTGTACGAGAAGGGTTTAAAGTCGTTCCCTTCAGACATTCAGTACTGCTTGTAAATTATTATTTTTTTTGTCTTTAGGTTGGCTCTTTGTGACCTCGCTGGCTCCGAGCGATGTTCTCGGACTCAAAACACCGGAGAGCGATTGAAAGAAGCAGGAAACATCAACAGCTCTCTGCTGACACTCGGGAAGTGCATCAACGCCATGAGACTCAACCAACACGCCAAGTATGACATGTCATCGCCTCTGAACCCAGTCAGCCTTCTGTCGGAGAGAAATCGTATTCCCAAAAGACAGAAGAATAACTGATGACGTGTTTCTCTCTGCAGGTTTCAGCACCACATCCCCTTCAGGGAGTCCAAGCTGACCCACTTCCTGCAGTTCTTCTTCTGTGGTGCCGGCCGGGTCTCCATGGTGGTCAACATCAACCAGAACTCGTCCTGCTTCGACGAGACGCTCAACGTTCTAAAGTTCTCGGCTCTCGCCCAGAAGGTCAGCACAAACTCAAACAAAGAGATCGACAGTTTATCATAAAATGTGCTGTAAAAAAGTATAGAGGACTGAGAGTAGGTCCCTGAGGAACCCCTCTGAACTAAAAGGTTTTAAAATCTGTGGACTCTTTTTCTTACCAGGTGGTGGTGTTGAATACAAGGCCAGTTGTTGTGGACGAGGCCCCCCACAGGTCGGCCATGGAGCTGTCGATGATTATCGACGAGGCTGATCAGCGCAGAAACGTCTCCGGGCGGGGCAGGAAGAGCTCGCTGGTCGCTTGGGAAACGACCCTGGAGGACGTGCAGGAGGATGAGGACGGTGAAGACTGGGATGAGGAGGAAGAAGAGGAGGAGGAGGAGGAGGAGGAGAGTGCGATGGAGGGAACAGTGCTGGAGGCAGGAGGAGAGGAGGGAAGAGGAGGGGGACAGGACCATGGAGGAAGACCACAGGGTAAAGTTCAAATCAAAGCGTCCTCTCTTTTCTAAAAAAAAAAAAAAAGTCTGTGAAGTCATGTATCAAAGAAGAAGAAGAAATGTTTCTGTGCTTCTTCAGTCCGACAGGGAGGCGGCGCTGCGTTTGGTTCTGGAGGCTCAGATCAGAGAAGAAGTCAGCACTGAGTTCATGGAGCTCTTCAACAAGATGGAGAAAGACTACAGGTAACTCGGGATCTTAAACTTTGATACGATTCCAGTAGAATCAAACGATATTGATACCTGTAAGATAGATAGATAGATACTTTATTGATCCCGAGGGAAATTCAAAGCATCCAGGAGCAGGTTACAAAGACGTACATGACATGAAACATTTGTTACAAATTAAACCACAAGACCCCCCCCCAGTTCAAACTTAAACTGTGCAATTAAAAATAGACTTATACAAGAAATGTACATAACCCGTGCAGGGTTATGTACAGTTGAGGAAACAAATCTGTAATTAGACCTGAATATAAAAAATAAAAAAGTGTTGACCTTCTGAAATTGTGTTGTTTATATATGTACAGCAATGTTTAAAAAGAAGATCCAAAAAATGAATTATCAAAAAACAGACATTAAATAACGTGTGTGTGTGTGTGTGTGTGTCAGTGAGCGTCTGGAGAAGGAGAGAGAGATCATGGAGGAGCGAGCGGAGAAGAGGGTGGAGATCCTGAAGAATCTGGTCAACAAGACGGTCGACCTTTCTGCTGTCAACGCTGAGTCCACCAAGGTGATCACACACACACACACACACACACACACACACACACACACACACACACACACACACAACACACACACACACAACACACACCTGACTCATCACTGGTGATTATTGGTGATCACTTACAGTATTTATGATTTGTTTTTTAGCAGGAGCAGGAGGCTCTGTTAGAAGGATTCATCAGCTCGATGACTGAAGACCTGGAGAGAATCAAAGAAGACGCTCAGAGTGCTCAGCGCTGTCTGACTGAACACGCACATGTTGCAGGTACACACACACACACTCTGCAGATACACACACACACTGAAGGTACTGACACACACACACACACACACACACTGAAGGTACTGACACACACACACACTCTGCAGGTACAAACACACACACAGACACACACTCTGAAGGTACTCACGCGCGCACACACCTTGCAAAGACTCACACTCTGCAGATACACACACACACTGAAGGTACTGACACACAGACACACACTCTGAAGGTACTCACACGCGCGCACACACCTTGCAAAGACTCACACTCTGCAGGTACACACACTCTCTTATTGTGGTCGTTTCAGTGGATGTAACTTTGACTTGTTTATTGCAGAGCTTGAAGCGCTGCGACTGGAGAAGCAGCAGACACACGACCAGCTGCAGGAGGCCATGGAGGTACTGTTTGTTTCTTCTTCTGTGGTGTTTTCAGGTGCCGTCGTTTTCTTCCTCAGCTTCTTATTTCAGCTTCACAGGAAGCTGAATATGTTCAGTCATCTGGTTTAAAAGTACTGGACAGAATAAAAGTAGGGTTGAGAATATACCAATGTGATGGGATTGACATGAAACAAGAGGTCGAGGTCGGATCTGACCCCACGGCTACTACAATGGCTATTGATGCGAGTAGCAGCCATGTTGGATTTTAACTAGTGCTACTGAAGGGCGGCGTTCCTGATGACGTATCAGACCGGCAACTCTGAATGTCTGAGATCAAATTAAACTCTCACACATGTTTATGTTTTTAATGCAACATAAATTAAAATTTAAAAAAGGATCAGTTACCTTTTTTTAAAACAACTAGTGTGCCTTCTTAAGCTCCTCCCCCTACAGCGTGCCTTGGTAGCTTTTGAAAGACGGCTGCAGTTTGTACTTTTAGTCTTTTTATCCATGTGTCTCCTTCACAGGAAAAGTTACCTTAAAGGTTAAAGGTCATTTAAGCATTACACCTTCATACTCTGCTCTGATTGGACAGCTGTTTTCTCTTGATGTGATGTCATTTGTTCCTCTAACCCGAGCCGTGTGTTTTTATTGTTTTCTAGAGTCTGCAGCAGCAGAAAGAGAAATTATCAGACCTGATGGAGATCTGTCAGCAGAAAGACGAAATCATCAACAAACTGCTGAAGGAGGAGATCCTGAAACTGGAGGAGAGGAGGGGGAGACAGAGGAAGCAGCAGGAGGAGGAGGAGGAGGAGGAGGTGGTGGGGGGGGGGAGCAGGGCGTTCGAGGCTGTGAGGAGAGAGATGGAGAGGCTGCAGGCGAGCTCACAGGTGAGTTCATCAGGGATGTGATGCTTCTTCATTTTCAGACCTGAGAAGTGAAGTTTGTTTTTATTTTGTAACAAATTTATTGGAAGGAAGTTTTTATTGTCATAAATAGTTTTAACACTTTCCCTGAAACATCAAGAGTTAAACTTAGCTCGACACGCTTCGCTAAAGATGTTTGAAGTCTTTTTTAAAGTAAGAATTATTTAAAATAAACTGTTTTCTTCATTAACAATAAAATAAATGCATGCTGAGTAGAAATGCTAACCCTGTTATTGTGTGTGTGTGTGTGTGTGTGTGTGTGTAGAGATGTGGTGGGCGTGTCCTCACAGATCAGGACGCTCAAGTCTCTCCTCTGAGATCCAACATGGCCGACAGGAAGAAAACCCCCAGAACTACAGGGAGGAAGAGGAAGAGCTGTGAGATGCAGGTGTGTGTGTCTGACGAGTTATTTAAAAGACCTGCCTCTGAAATCTGCATAGATGTCACACGCCTGACCTGTGTGTGTGTGTGTGTGTGTGTGTGTGTGTGTGTGTGTGTGTGTGTGTGTGTGTGTGTGTGTGTGTGTGTGTGTGTGTGTTGTGTGTGTGTGTGTGTGTGTGTGTGTGTGTGTGTGTGTGTGTGTGTGTGTGTGTGTGTGTGGTGTGTGTGTGTGTGTGTGTGTGTGTGTGTGTGTGTGTGTGTGTGTGTGTGTGTGTGTGTGTGTGTCAGGGCCTGGTGTTCAGCGAGAATAAGAGAAACCGAGTGAGGAACACACGGAAAGACAAAGAGGTGAGAAATCAAATCATGAAGTCAACATCCAAACATCTGTCCAGACGAGCTTCCACGCTGAAACACTTTTCATCAAATCAACAAAGCCTTGTTCTGGTCAGACCTCCTTCCTGTCCGCCGTGTGGTATCTGATAACTTCCTGTTTGTCCTTCAGTCCTGCTCTGTGGTGAAGGAGAAGAGAGACGGCGCTCTGCAGAAGATCGGAGAGTTGATCCACAGCTCGCCCTCCATCCTGGGCAGCAAAGGTCAGAGTCACCGTCGGTTCAGTCTGACACCCCGAGTCCAACCGGGGCGGAAAAGCTCTGGCTTTGTGATCGGGAGCGCTGCATGTGCTTCTTGTTTCTATGACAACGGTGTATGACCGACACTGCCCCGTTACTTTTTACTGCATGTTTTAAAGCGTTTTCTTTCCTTCGCTATGAGCATCAAACGGAGGTCGATTGTCCTCCTACTTTGAGATTAATAATAATCTCAGCCTCACTATCACGGCTCTGATCGTACACGGAGCAGGTCCCGACTAATCTACTGTTATGACTGGCTAGTTGAAAAGAGCGCCAGTGACGTGAACAGCGCCCTTCTGCAGTGTGAAGACTTTAGGTAGAAGCGCTCCGAGCGGCAGAGTGCTCAGAAAACTCAACAAACGCTTACTTGATCTTGTTTTATACAGTGGTCTCAGCCCTAACAACTTTGAGACAAAGGATATCTGTGTGTCAGACCACAAACTGGTTTTATTCAGAATGGTTCTATCTCAGCCACCTTTTATTAGCAAGGCACCTGTCCGCAGCAGGGTTTTTAACTCTACGTCTGCTAGCAAGTTTAAGGAGCTTTTTATTTCTGTCTCTTCAACTGCCTTTTACAGAGGAGCTGGTCTCCTCTTTTAATCTCACCTGTCAAACTGTGCTGGACTCTGTTGCTCCTTATAAAGACAAAAAAACTAACAGAGCTCCACAGCCATGGCTAAACGAACTGACTCAGGATCTAAAAAGAGACTGCAGAAGGAAAGAACGAAAATGGAAAAAAACAGGCTTGCATGTATTTTATGAAATATGGAGAGATTCAATGATACAATACCAAAAGGAAGTTAAAGGCGCAAGAGCAGCATTTTATTCTAATCTGATTTTAGCCAATCATTCTAACCCCAGAATTTTATTTAAGGTTTTAGAATCAATCACCACCCCCTCCCCTTCTTATTTTACTGATCCTTCTCAGGATCTATGTGAGAAGTTTTTAACTTATTTTACTAATAAAGTCAAAGACATTAGGCAACAAATCATTCCCCCAGACCGTATTTTAGACACCAGCAGGGAACTTAACAGTTATTTTAGCAGTTTTGAGCCAGTGTCCTTGACCTTTTTAGCTGAAATTTTAACCCACATGAAATCAGCTACGTGCAGCCTTGATTTTATTCCCACAACATTTCTCAAAGAGGTTTTTAACACAGTTGGACCCAGTATTTTATCCATTATTAATAGTTCCTTGGCGGAAGGTGTAGTCCTCTCTGCTTTTAAACATGCTGTGGTCCAACCACTTTTAAAGAAACCCAACCTTGATCCCACTGATTTTAACAATTTTAGACCAATCTCAAAACTTCCATTTTTATCAAAAGTTTTAGAAAAGGTGGTTTCAACACAACTTTTATCTTTTATGACTGAAAATAACCTCTTTGAGAAATTCCAATCCGGTTTTAGAGCTTGTCACAGCACAGAGACTGCCCTCCTCAAGGTAACCAATGACCTTCTTTTAGCAGCAGACAGAGGGGAGGGCACAATTTTAATTCTTTTAGATCTTAGCGCAGCTTTTGATACTGTTGATCACACAATTTTAACTGATCGTCTCAGACATTGGGTTGGTTTAAAGGATACTGCACTTAGCTGGTTTTACTCTTATCTTTTAGAAAGAACCTTCGCGGTCACCATCGGTAACTACTCCTCCTCTACCTCTAACATTACCTGTGGTGTACCGCAAGGTTCGGTTTTAGGTCCCATTTTATTCTCCATTTATATGCTGCCTCTTGGCCAAATAATTGAACGCCACAATGTCTCCTTTCACTGCTACGCAGACGACACACAGATATACCTTCCTTTGAGACCTGAGGACCCTAGGAGCCTAGCTGCTGTCAGAAACTGCCTAAACGATATCAACTGCTGGATGGCACAAAACTTTCTCCAACTGTACAATTCTAAATCTGAAATCATAGTATTCAACCCGCCAAACACCACTCATATCTCAAAGAGCAGCCTCGGTCCCTTATTCGCCAATGTCCAACCCACCGCCAGAAATCTAGGAATAACATTCGACTGCAATCTCACCTTTGAATCCCATATCAAAACAGTTGTCCGATCAAGCTTCTTCCATCTACGCACCATCTCCAAAATTAAAACAATCCTAACCCAACAAGACCTTGAAAAGATCATCCACGCCCTCATCTTCTCCCGACTTGACTACTGTAACTCCCTCTTTTCCGGAATCACAAATAAGTCACTGTCTCGCCTCCAGCTGGTCCAAAATGCAGCAGCTAGGCTTCTTACTGGTTGTAACAGACGACATCACATCACTCCAATTTTAGCTTCATTACACTGGCTTCCTGTACGTTCTAGAATCGATTTTAAGATTTTACTCATTACTTTTAAAGCACGGACGGGGCTGGCTCCAAGCTATATAACAGAGTTACTGACACCATATGAGCCAGCCCGCAGTCTTAGATCCTCGGGTGGGAGCCTCCTGGTCGTTCCAAAGTCGAGACTTAAAACTAAAGGTGACCGGGCCTTTTCAGTCAGGGCCCCTCGACTTTGGAACGACCTCCCTGAGGAGATAAGACTCGCAGACTCCCTCAATTCTTTTAAATCCCTTCTTAAAACATACTTTTACAGACTTGCTTTTATGTGATGTCGTCTTCTTAATGTCTTCTCTTACTGGTTTTACTATTTTTATCTTCTTCTACTTCTTACTGTCTTTTATTTATGGTCTTATCTCGTATTTATGCTCATATCTTAATCTCCTCTTGTGTTTTAACTTGGTAATTTCTTATCTTACTTACTTTGTCTATTTATGTTTCGTATTTATAGTTAATTTTTATTTTTATTAATATTATAGTTTTGGGTTTTTTGATCCTTTAACCACTTGTTTTTATTTCCTTTACTGCGCTTACCTTCTCATTGCTTTTTATTTGCTTTTATCTCTTAGTTTCTTACATCTTTTTAAATCTTTGGTCCTCTTGGTCTCAGCTCATGTTGTTGGGTTCTTGTGTTCCTGGGTTCTTATGATGGTTCTTATGATGGTTGGGTTATATATGTCTGGTTGGGTATCGTGCACTTTGGGTTCTTTTCTGTTGAATTGTTTTTAATTATTTTTGGTATTTTGCATCTGTTATATTCTTACTGTTGTTAATGTTTTTCTGTGTTTAGTTTGCTTTGTTCTTGCTGTTTGTCAAAGCACTTTGTAAACCTGTGTTTTTAAAAGGTGCTATATAAATAAAGTTATTATTATTATTATTATTACACGTTTAATCCCGTGGTGGATTGTAACTCAAGGAAAGCAGGACAACCTCTGAGCGTCGTCCTTCTGATTGTCTCGGTGCTGTTTTGTTGTTGTTTCACTAATGAGCCAGCAGAGGGCGCTGCTGCAGCTCAGACTCTGAACGGTCAGGTGACTTTCCCTTTAACATGAACTTTAATCTCTTCTCTCTCTCTCTCTGCAGCTAAAACCATCCTCAGCCTGGTCAGTGGACCTGAGGCGGTTACCACGGCAACCAAACCGAAAAGAGGCCGGAAAAAGCTTTTCAAGAAAGACGCGGAATCGCCGCTGTTTGACTTGCCACACCCGGTGAGAGACACACACACACACACACACACACACACACGTGTGCTTGAACTTCTACCCTCGTGAGGACACTTAAGACTTAACGAGGACTTCTTCTGTGAAGTAAATTATTTGTAGTTGTAAAGAATAACTAAACCCCCAGGACCCCTTTTTTTCCCAGCTGAAAACCTCTGTATGTAGTGTTGTTGATCAATCCAGCTCCGCATCTCGACATTTAAAACTATTTAAGTATTTAAACTTCCTCTTGAGCTTTAATTGGAGCTTTAATCTGTTTGTTTTGTTTCAGACGTCAGGCGGAGCGGACGAGGAGAAGGAGAGCGATCACGTCATCATTAAGAGACAGCTGAGATCAAAAACATGCAGGAAGTGAAGACGAGGAGGAAATCCTTTTAAATATCTGTACAGTTAGTTTTACTTTGTATTTTTTAGGAGTTTTTTTTGTTTTTCATCGTTGGGGGTGAATAAAAAGATGTGAGAACAACCCTTCTTACTTTAATAAAAATAAAAATGATTCCCAGCCTCCGTCTGACGAACGCTCGTCTGTCTGTTTACTGAACGACTTGTTTCTAAAACCGTTTTCACATCTGCACTCCTGAAACTATCTAGATAGTTTCAGGAGTGCAGATGTGAAAACGGTTCTCTGACAACAATGCAGCAGCCAGTATGTCCTCCTTCTAACTTTAGATTCTGCTCCTGAATGCTCTGGATTTGTTTGGACCAGAGAAGGTAGGTGCTTTTAAGACCCCCCCACACGGCTGTTTTGGACGCCCCTCGGTTTGTCAGATATGAGAGCAGTTATCAGGTCAACAGGTGTTGCAGTGATGGAAGCGGTCAAGAGAAGTGGTTCAGATAGAAGTGATTGTACCCGACCTAAAAAGCCTCTGCATGTTTCTAATAAGCTCCACGAGCAGAAACGTGCTCAAACTAGGATCAATATTGGAGATGCTTTTGAAAAATGGAGAGAGGTTAGAACACAGAAAGGTTTACAGACCCATGCAGAGCTGGATAAACACTGAAGCTTCAGAGTCCACCACATGGTGACCTGAGTGAGCATCCACTCTAGAGAGGAGGGGGGGGGCAGGTCTCTATGATGTTTAGAATTTTAACTGCAGTACCCATTTTAAACACTAGGGGTCTGAATTGCATACTGCTGCTTTAAATGTATTTATAAATTACGACAGATTCTGTGGATTGTGTTTGTTTCTATTGTTTTTATTCATTGGTTGTTCTAGGAGGCAGCTGAACGTTTGCAGCACTTTGAGGTCACAATTGTAGTTTCTGTTTTTGGTTCTTCAGACTTCAAAAAGAGTTACTTAAAAAAAACATTTCCCTGAATAGAACAAAAATATTTTCACAATAAAATTTTTAAGCACCTTGCATATTTTCACATTGACATGAACATTTTGGCAGCATCATCACTGGAGTCATTAAATCACATTTACAGTCACTTCATCACACAGACGACTTTTTCATCCCAACGCTCATCCAGTGAGCTCAAAGACAAGATGAGGTTCCTGTTTTATTTTGTTAATTCCTGTTCTTGTTGAAGATCCCATATTCTCCTCATGTTCACCTTTCATGTCTGTAAAACCTTTTGAGCAGCTTTGAATGATTTATTTATTTTACACAGGTGTCAGTAAAATCCCTCATTTCAGCTTTTTTCAGCTGCTGTCTCTTTAAGGCCCCCCTCCCCACATGCCCACTTTATTCTGATTGGTCAGCTCTCTGGAAGCCCTCTGTTGGGGCCGAACGCTGCAGGGCTGCAAGGGGAGGGGCTGCTCTCCAGTGCTGGGAGAAGAGAGTCTATGTAAGAGGTTTCAGCGGGGCTTGAAGCCGTCTGGTTCTGGTCTGATTCTTGGTTTCATATCGGGGAACTATGGCATTTAGCGCCCTCTGTAGATTTATCCTGGGATTACTCCAAAATCTATTTACAATGTTCTTCTCGGTCGTGCTCCAGCTCTGAGGTTCAAATCAACCAATCAGAGGCTCTCCACACAGGAAGCTGGAGTTTTTGGCTTTGACTCCTGTGACTACAAAAATATAAGCATGAAGTTTTGTTGCAGTGATGGGAGACTTAATTTATTTGCATTTGATTGACAGATTCCTCGACCAATCACAGCTCCCACCACTGAGTCTTGTGTCCATGAACACGATTGGTTGATTCATCTGACGCTACGAGGCGACGGTGTCAGTGACAGCCAGCTCCTTCTTATAGGTGATGTGGCATTCTGGTTGGTCCGACACACTGAGGGGGAGCGGCTCAGGCTTGGTGTCCTTGGTGATGGAAGTCAGCTGATGGCGGCGACAGTGTCGTATCCCGGCAACAGTAGTGAGGACGAGCGAGCTGGCCAGCAGGGCGGCGCCACTGAGGAAGAATGTGGCGGTGTAACTTTGCGTGAGGTCGACGAGCCAACCTGCAGCAAGAGAAGAAGAAAGATGATGTGGTGTGTTTAAAGTCTGTGAGAAAAGCGGGACAAATTAGTGAATTTGAAGCAAAATTATCCTCGGTTTTAAAACGGGCACTGTACTGTCTCCCCCCCCCCTCCTCTCTGGAGTCGGTGCTTACGCATGTTGCCATGTCTCGGACACTGAAGCTTCAGTGTTTAGCCAGCTCTGCATCGGTTTGTAAAGCTTTCTGAGAATTGTGGAGCCACATGTCTGATGTGTCCTTGAGCAAGACACACAACCCCAAGCTGCTCCCGCTGCTTTTACTTGAATTATATTCAAGTTTAAATTGATGTTATTGGGCCACCGCTTCTATAAACAGTTTTTAAACCTATTCAATACCCTTTAAAAAAAACTTTAATTCATCCCCTGTGGAGAGAAGCTGTAGTCTATCAAAGGATCTTTGCTCTTTGCTCTCTGTGACCGACCAATCAGCTGCCAGCTCTGTGGTGTTACATAAAGAAGCTGCAATCTCTTGCTTAGGTGTTATTATCGCTCCCTGTCGTAAATATTACATCACATCCTGCTGATCCATCAGTTACCAGATTGATTTCTTCACTTTGGTTCAGAGTACCGTTCAAACTTTAACAGTACAGAGAATTTCTCTGCAAGCTGAGCCCCTCCAGGACCAACACTGAAAAATAAGTGACACATTGCTGGCAAAAATTCATAGCATGAACTACAAGTGTGGCTGACTGAAGTAGCCTTCAATTCTGCAATTCATTTATCAGACACCTTTATCTAAAGCATCGTACATCAGAGATTAAGAGCAAGACGAGTGAGGATCTAGAGTGGAGGAGACAACGTCAACGAACAGCTTTAAGTCTGATCGGACACACAGGAAGTGACCAGAAACAGGGCACAGGTGCTGACAGGAAGTGACCAGAGGCGGAGCACAGGTACTGACAGGAAGTGACCAGAGGCGGAGCACAGGTGCTGACAGGAAGTGACCAGAGGCGGAGCACAGGTGCTGACAGGAAGTGACCAGAGGCAGAGCACAGGTGCTGACAGGAAGTGACCAGAGGCAGAGCACAGGTGCTGACAGGAAGTGACCAGAGGCAGAGCACAGGTGCTGACAGGAAGTGACCAGAGGCAGAGCACAGGTGCTGACAGGAAGCAACCAGAGGCAGAGCAGAGGTGCTGACAGGTGACCAGTTAGTTAATATACCGTCATCAACAACATCGGCAACTTGTTTGTGAGACCATCGAAACCATCCTAAATATCGTTGTCATCGTCATCACTATCATTAAGGTTGTAGGTGTTCATAAAGAGCTGGGTCTTTAGCTTTTTCTTAAAGGTGCAGAGGGACTCTTCAGACCCAATGGAGTTTGGTGGTTCGTTCCACCAACAGGGGGCGCCAGAGGAGAAGAGTCTAGTTAGTTGTAGTTTTCTTTGCATTGAAGTATAACACATTTGATCGTGCTTTTATACGCATCACTAAACATTGCATATGACACGTTTTCATTTGGTCATCAAAATTAAACATTCTGCAGGAGATTATTTAAAAAGATTTCACGTGAAGCCGTAGGTTACATGTTGGTTTTTGGTTTCTCACCTCCAATTGGCGGGCTGACCAAGTAGGGGATTGCATGGAGAAAGTAGACAACGCCAAGCGCCGAGGACAGGTACGGAGCTCCCACCAGGTCTGACGTCACCACGGGTATCAGCGCCACGTAGGCGCCGTCGAAGTACCCGTAGAGGACGGCGAATGGCACAAGAAGGGAGAAGGAGCAAAGTAAGGGAGTGAAGAGGCAGCAGAGACCCTCCATCGCCACAGAGAAGATGTAACACGTCAGGCGGTATGGCTTTAAACACCTGAAGGATAGAAAAACATGTTTATCATTCGAACGGGAGGAGAGAAAACAGACTGGAGACAAGATTTTAAACAAAGCCATGTTGGATTATCCAACGCTGCTGTGTACTGGTTTCAAGTCGGATAGACTATACCTGTGGGGTCTCTCAAGGATCAGCCCTTGGCCCCCATCTTTTTTACCCTCTACATGCTCCCCCTCTGCTGCACCATCAGCCTGCATGGAATATAGATCCACCGATATGCTGATGACACTCAACTCTACCTGAAAACTGACTCCTCCCTCTCTGCAGCAAGATTTTAAACACAGCCATGTTGGACTATCCAACTAAGATTTATTTCTACCCCGGTCCTTCACAGTTCATACAAAGAATATTAAAAATGTTAAGTTATGAATTAAGCAAGGACGACTGGTCAAAAATCCTATCAAATACGGGGAGGTATATAAAGGAGGCTAGGGGGAAATTTACTCAATATAAAATAACACATAGGTTTTATTTTACTCCTTCTAAACTCCATAGGATGGGCATACTGGCCAAGAATTTATGTTGGAAGTGACAGACAGAACCAGGAACATTTTTACATGCACTCTGGGAATGCAAACTTGTAAACCCATTTTGGGACAAAGTCATGGAACACATAGGTAAGGGGTTGGGTATGACAATACCTAAATCACCAAGGATTTGCCTGTTAGGGGATCAAACTGAATTGACCGAAGTATCGAAATATGACCTTGTTGTGATAAACGTTGGGGTCGTAACGGCTGCACAATTGATCCTTAGATTATGGAAAAGTACGAAAAGTACGTCCCCCCCACAATTTAAGCAATGGATGGAACTTATGTCAGAAACCGTGTCTTATGAACAAGTGTTAGCCAGAATCAATAATGAAGGTGAGAACTTCCAGAGGTTATGGGGCCACTTTTTTGCTTATACATGTAGTACCATTGGTGCATTGTAATGATAAAGACGTGGTACTGTGTATACTGTGGTTACTGAATTGTTATTTTGGTTCCAATTATGTACTCAGTTGTTATGGGACTTTGGGCATACTGTTGTACAACAACAATTCTGTCTGTTTTGTTTGTTGAATGTTAAGTTAAAATAAAAAGTTGAATTACAAAAATAAAATAAATAAGATAAATGTTAAGCTGAGTAAAGCTTCAGTCAACGAGTCGTACCGTCTGTCCGTCAGCCAGCCGAAGGTAATGTTCCCCACGATGTCGATGACTCCCAGGATGGACATGAGGAAGGCGGCCTGCTGGTGGCTGACGCCCACGCTCAGGGCGTACGGCACCAGGTAGACAAAGGGGAGGCTGCAGCCGCTTGCCAGGAACAGGAAGGACACGGCCAGGCCCAGGAAGTCAGGTAACAGCAGGAAGCGGTACTCCTTACTAGACAGGAAATGGGAGCTGAAGCAACGCCGCCTCTTCTGAAGTTGCGGGGGGGCGACATTTCCTGATGACAGGAGGTGGTCCTCGGATTCTTTGGAGAGTTTCACTGCGAGCTCGGCGTCATGTGACAAGACGTTGGCTGTATCAGGAGGCAGGAAGGTGAGGATTATGGAGACAGCTTAATCTGCTTTACATGTTGTTGCTAGGTAACCATGTGCCAGTCTCACGGTGATGTTTTATGCGACAGAACAACTAACTTTGGAATTATTTCCATTTCAGCACACTTGATTTTATCGTCTGTAATTATTAGCGTGACAGGCAGCGCACTTTTACTCACCAGGTTTCTCCCCCCCTCCTGACTCCCCCTCATTCCCCTCCGTCTCGTCCTCCTTCACTGTGATTGGTCGGAGCAGCGCCCCGCAGACGATTAGGTTGGCCACGAAGGCGCTGAGAACGAGCAGCGCCCCCCTCCACGAGTACATCTCGATGAGCAGCTGCACCGCCGGCGCCAACACAAATGTGCCGATCCCGCTGCCGGACATGGCGATGCCGTACGCCAACGCCTTCCGTCTGCGGAAGTAACAGCCGACCATGACGATGGCGGGCGTGTAACAGAGAGCAAAGCCCACACCTGGAGAGTGAAGACAGTTCAATAATTAAGTGATGAAACTGAAATTATTATGTCATGAATTCACGCTATACAAATAAAACTAACTGATTGATGTGTGTGTGAGGAGACGTCAGGTGTGTGTCTACCTGTTAGGACTCCCATGCTGAGGTAGAGGAGCTCCAGGCTGCTGCTGAAGGAGGAGAGAAGGAGCCCAGAGGAGGCGAGGAGTCCCCCCAACATCACAGACACCCTGCACGACCACCGGTTAGCAACCAGGCTGCCCACAGGAGCTACACACACACACACACAGAGTCATTCAGCTGATTGATTGATTATTGATCAGAGTCGATCTCTCACTTCAGTACTGACCAAAGAGCATGGTGGTGCAGTCAACCAGGCTGTGAATCCACGCCGTCGCAGCGTAATCAGCTTCAAAATGAGCCTGAAACTCCACGAAGAAGATGGACACACACCTGAAGACACACAGAGGAAGTAATCAATCAATCAATCAATCAATCAATCAATCAATCAAACATTTGAAAACATGTTTGGGGAGCAAAAAATCTGGTCCCCACAACAATAGCCTCAGATTTAACATTCAAGGGTCTAAAATGATGCTATGTGAAGTTGGATACTGCCTGGTTATTTTAATCTTATTACAGAGGGGGGTCCCCAGAAAGGATGCTCTGGCCTTGTGTCTTAACAATGTTATAAAAACAAGGAAGTGTGTGTGGTATTGTGTTGCTATAAAGATGTTTAAAAATTGTTAAGACAAGGGTGGTCACATTATAATAATTTTAAACCACACAATATCAATACCTGTTGTTTTGATACCACAGCAACAAAAATAGAATACCTCAACACACATTATTGGGTCATTTCTAGTTTTCATAAATCTGGAATATCGTTTGTGACGTCCATGCCTTGAGGTCCCTTTCTGACAAGAGGCCCCAGGCAACTGTCTACCTTTGCCTAATGGTAAAACCGTCAATGGTGTTATCTACTGTAATGTGTAACATGTAAAGACACACAGATCGTTTACAGCTGATTTCTGTTCTGGACTTCAGAACATCACAGAAAAAAAGTTTTCCTGTTATACAACACTATGGACACATTATGATCACATGACCAGATGTTTATACTGATCGAAGTTTGAGTCAAATTCAAATCTCGACACACATAAGAGTAATGCATTGTGTGAATCAGCAGAGTATTAGAAACAAAGTTTGTTTGAGTGAGTCCTGCTGCTTGTGTGTGTTTGTTTGTGGAGGTTAAACTGTGAAAAGGAAATGTGTGTCACAGGTCAACACGAGACAACCGGGGGGCTGCAGGTGGTCAAAGGTCTCAGAAGGAGGCAGCTACTCTCAAGCTGTTTCCTCACATGCATGAAACCCTGAAATGTGTTTGTGAACACTAATGGTCTTATTGTTCATCCCCAACTTGACCTAGACATTTTCCTGCCAGCCTCCTATTAAAATTTCTGTAGCCATTTTCACACATGCACCCCAGAAAATCTTCCTGACTTGGTTGTTCACACACTCACAGCAGGAGACTTTCCATGTTGGGCAGGAGGGGAGATACAACATACAGAGAACACGGAAATCGCTGACAACAGAGTTGAACACTATAATCAGCCCTTATATCAGTGCTGTGTAGTTCAACATATTCACTGAATTGACAAAAGAGAAGAGAATTACACACTGTTGAACAGAAAACACCATGAAGCGGGCCAAATTAAAATATTCAGCATTAAGTAGTTGCTTATTAGCATGCTAATTAGAAGCTTACTGGCTGATATTAGTCATTATCAAGCGCTAATTAGTACCTTAGTTATCTTGTCCTTCCATCTATATGATATTTTATACTTTATAAAATATTTAATGTTTAAAAAAACCTATATACTGTATAAATGTTGTACTTTTGTACGGTTAAAGAGTAGCCGAGTCGCCCTATGATTCCAGAGGGCTGGAACATCTTGCATCACGAATGCAATGGTTCCCATTCAATGAGGGGTACCTGAACGCACCGTTAGCGTCGGTCTGTAGTAACATGTCAGCAGAAAGTGACGCCTCAGTGAGGTGATGTAAGTCTGAAAAAAACTAATGTTTGTTCAGGTGTCAGAGTCTCACGTCGGCAAGTGCTGTGCTTTACTTAATGCAGACAAACACACACACACACACACACACACACACACACACTCGCTTTAGTAGGTCATGCAGTTCATTGTGTTACATAATCACCCAGAACTTTGAGGTCGGCTGGTGGGAGGATTAACTTTATCTTTATCATAGAATTGAGGCTAAAGGGTAAATTTAAATTTTTTTAACAGCTTTTCATATTTTTGTAAACTATCAAACAACGGTTGTTGTGATCCCAGAATCTCACGATTCGATTTGATTCCGATCCTTGGGGTCCCGATTTGATTCAGAATCTATTTTCAATTCAAAATGATTCATGATTCAAAGTCTATTTATGAATGAGTACATACTTCAGGATCTTCTCCAGTCATCTGTGAGACTGGCTGAATTTATTGCTGCTCCATTTGGCATCCTACTGAGTTAAAGAGCTAGCATTAGCACGTAGCATGGAGTGACTGATTAGCAAAAAAAAAACGATTTTTGGAAGTTATGAATCTATTTTAAATCTCAGAAGATAAGATTCTTGATTTTCGCATAAATCGTAATTTTACCATCTCTAATGACAACCCTAGTAGAAAGTCCAAGTGACAGACCATGCAGTTCCACTATTGTCCACTAGAGGCTGCCTCCAAAAGGGAGTCAATCCCCGGAGAGCCCCGTGTTGAAATGTCCAACTTTACAGCAGTAATAAACATGTTTAGAGTCGGGTTGTCATGATATCTGTATTTCAATACTTCAATACAATTCTAGTAACAATCACATGATAGTGATGTTTGTTTGATACCATGGCAACTAAAAATAATTGCATGAATATTCCTGCATGCTGTCTCAATTGTACAAAGAAATGGTCAACGTTTCTGTACACAATTTTCGATTGATTCATTTCACTCTTACACGCCTGTCTCTTACACATATATCTATTTTTTCCCAAAGCTGCAGTACTTTTTGATACTATTGATCAATAAAATAACAGACTTTGTTGTTTAAAAACACGAGGAATACAGTTCTTTGACAACTTTATGTCTGAAGAACGCTCATATATTCAGTTTACTATCAAAGAAGATCAACAAATTGTTCTAGCATGAAAATTTAAAAGATAATTTTTGTAATTTTTTGGAAAAAATAACTTCTAAATGTTAAAATTATCAGTTTATTCTGTTTACTTTGAATGGAAATGAACTTTTGCATATTTCTGTTGTCTTTGAAGTTGACACATGTTGTTTACCAACAGCTGTAAGTCAACCTGTGTATGCATTGTGTGTGTGTGTGTGTGTGTGTGTGTGTGTGTGTGTGTGTGTGTGTGTGTGTGTGTGTCAGAGACTGTGTGTATTTGTACGTCTATCTTTTAAAGGACAGATTTCTGTTTTACGTTTTCAAAGTGAGGACATTTCATCTTTCCAAACTTCACAGATCTGTCTGAGGGTCCAGATTTGGTTTAAACATTCAGGTTATGAGCCGGGTTTTTTATTTTGGGGGTAAAAACAGGAGGGAGAGCGAGGGTCCCCTCCAGTACAGAAATACAAACTGTTTGTGTGTGTGTGGTGTTGACAGAAACAGAAGCTTGCCCTCGTCTTCACGTTAGTAAAACAAGCTGCGTGGAAACAAACGACACTCTGAGTTTAACTATTCATAGACGTACTGACACACCGAGCTGTTACCGGAGCCGATGTAGGTTCAATGGAGACTTTGTTGTTGTTGTTTTGAAGATTACAGTTCTGTTGAGGTTGTCATAATTTGTGATATTTTGATTATTTTTTATCGTACGTGTTTCAAAACTATTCAGTCTTAATGATCGATAGTATCAAAAAGTACCAAAGCTTTAAAAAAACAAAATACGTTGGCGTCCAGTTCCGTTTCTGACATTTTCTCTGTTTCTAAAAAGACTTAGCACTAAAATAACTTCATCATGAGGATTTATTAGATCTGTCAAATCTGTCAACCATCTTTAAAGTGCTCGCTCTTGGGATGGAGTTTGGTGTTTTTGGTGCATTTTTGATGCAACCACAACAAGACTTTAAGAGAATCTCAACACTGATAGACTTTCACAACAAATTCTTCACTCAAGTCAAGTTGTTGGTGCAGCGTTAGCATGCTATTTAGCATTAGCTATTTAGCATTAAACAGTGACTCTGTTTCCCCTAGGTTTACAGCGTTGGGGGGGCGATATGCCGACACGCCGACACAAACACTTGAAGGAATCTTGGTGTTCATGCGTTACTTTTAATGACAGATGTCCTTTTCTATCGGAAAGGTATCCTTAAATGACTTCTTTCCCTGATTTCCGACTCTATCCACTATCCTATCTCTACAATAAAGGCACAAAAAGCCAAAAAATAAATCTCTAATATAATGGTAGGGGAAACACTGGAGTCCTGATGAGGCAGTTCTGCAGGTTTGTTTGTCATAAAGCAAAGAACTGGACCACGGCTGTCAAGATTTTAAACACCTCAAAACTTTAAGTAACAATGCTTTAAAAAAAGCATTTATCAGACAGGTGTAGGAGAGCAATAAATCCATCTAAAATTACGCAAACTGTCTAAATTGCACAAAAAAGTGCAACATTTCAATTTACGTTTACTGAAAAATTGCCAATGTTTTTGTGCAATTTCGACAACATGCATGAGTTTGCTGTTTGCATGACTTTTTGATTATTAAAAACTATAAATTACCCAATATTCGGAGTGAAGGACTTCTGTTTTTGTTGTCGTGGTAACACACAGGTATCCATTACATTAGATTTTTACTGGAATCAAATAAAAGTTTTAAAATCTGGTAACCCTAAATTGGA